TGTAGCAACAACAAAAACCAGAGTGGAGCAACAACCACTATGCACACGTGGGGGTCTGACGTTTATTGAGAGAGAGAGTACATAAAAGAGAGCTTCAAAGAGAATCCCAATGCACAATATGCGGGGGCGTCGCTGTCGCAGTCGACGTCGACGTCACAACGTCTGCCGACTCTTGATGTGGAGCTCGCGCTTCATTCTCACCTAAAGAGAGCGTTCTCAGGCAGCAAATGAAAAACGTGACAGAGACGTGTTGTGGTTCTCTACTCGAAGGCATATTAACACCCTACAATCAAGTATGTTGGTGTTTAAAAGGAGTTCAGAACTAAGTTCTCAAATGAATACGTACTTTGTTTTCGTTGATTTTAAAGAAAGAATTGATTTTAAGCAAAGAAAAAACAGTTTTTTGAAAGTTCTTGGTAAGGTATACTGAAACAATATATTTTAAATTTATTTCAAATAAATTTTCATTTAACGCCAAAGTCCTAGGGTATCTACTCATTGATCAGCCTTAACCTTTTCTCTTTCCGCTGCTTCGTACCTTAGTGTACGTGCGAGTGAGTGCGAGCATAACAAAACACACGCACACCGACGAGGCGCGTATCATGTCAAAAAGCTTAGCGCGTATTATAACCTCTATTTTCGTTTGGTTTCTTCCGTTTGCCTCGTTTCTTTCACCTTTTCACCGCCTCTAATTGCTGTCTAATGTGGCTTTTGTTTAATTTTATTTAAAAAGAAAATAAGAAGAGGAAAAGAAAAGTTGATAACGAAATACTGGAATGGGTGGGCGAAAAACCATGGGCGCCTTTATTTATTATTTGTTGTTGTTGTTGCATCAGCAGCTGACTGGATGGTTTTGCGCGTGTGTAAGTGCGCCGCACGAGAGAGGGAAGCAGAAAGCGTGCAAGCCGCAAGTCTAGACATACACACGCACACACACTGATATACAGCTGCTAATTTAATTAAAAATATAAAATGAAAATAATGTTCATTCTTTTCTGGATCACCTAAAATATTTAGATTTTTTTAAATTAAATTAAAATTAGTTAAATATCGCACGCGACATTGGCCGAACTTTGCGTGTACAAGTATGTGTGTATGTGTATGTTACTCTCACTCATACCAGCATACCAGCACTAAACACACACACAAACGCACGGCTGTAGCGACAAAGACGGTGTACAGTCCACTTGTTAAATCAATAAAAATAAAAAGAAATCAAGCCAAAGAAAGGCAGGCCACAAAATTCGGGAAAATCATTCAGTTTTAGGCAATCAAAATTCTCACTGATTGCGGACACCGAAACGCCAGCAACCTTCAACGAATGTCAAGGACCTTTTGAGCACATGTGTTTGAACAAACAACACTATTTGAAAATTTAATTAGCACACATTGAATTAAAAATACACCACGATTATTAACACTTGTTGGTCGCAAGGGACTCTCTCGCAGGACCTATTGTACATAGGCTTACTTACCAAGTCTCCAAATTGCTAAACTTCTTCGTAACCACCTTGCCGAGATCGATTCCCAGGCGATCGACGATCCGCTGGGCCAAATCCGGATGCGAGGTGCCCGAAAACACTTTGATGTTCGGCATTCTGGAGTGGATTAAATTTAGACAACCAGCCTGTTTCTCCAAATTGTCTCGGATCAAACTTCTAGCGCGTATTGGATTAGCAGAGCGAACTGGCATCACACAATCTACGAGTAGAAGTTTTTATTATAAATTTTTTTCGCCAAAACGCGGGCAGCGACGTCGCCGTCTTATCGGTGTGTCGGGAGAGCGTGCCGTTCGCTCTTTAAGAGAGCTTTGCTGTCTCTTTTACAACCACAGCTGTGAGAATTATAAATAGTGAAAGAATGCTGTAAGGGCTAGTTTGTTAAGCTGATGATTTTTAGTCCAAACACAAAAAAATTACATTTTTCTCAGGCAATGCATCGATTTTCTAACAGATATCTTAAGATACAATGATTTTCTAACAGTGCTCTTTAAAAGAGCTTGGTACGCGCATTTCGCTCTTTCAATCGCTCTTCGGTAAAAGCCACCCCAATCTCAGACCATGTGATTTTTCTACGCCAACTGGAAAATCTATCGATGTCGATTTCGGTCTTATGCAGCTGTTCGATAGGCCTTTATAATTTTGAATATTTATTCTAAATATTATATTTAATTTTATTTTAAAAGTAAGCTGTTAATGTGTAATGATTAGAGAAAACGATTTTTCGTAAAATGTCGTTGTATTGTTCTTGAAAAGATTGCAATATAAATTAGCAATTTGGAATTTAATATAAAATGATTTTCTTGTGAACCATTTAAAAAATTAATTTTATTGTTAAAGTCAAAAAGTATTTTTTTTATAAAAGTTTTCCTAAGTCTCCATATCTATTACCTTTTTTTCTATTTATTTTAACCCAAGCAATTTTTCTGACATTTTCCACTAATTCCCTTTAAAAGATAAACAACTGCAACCTATAATTTCGGTTTTAGCATAAAAAAAATATGCTGGCATGCCAACAGGCGCGCGCCAAAAGAAAAGCTTTTTAGGCGAGACAAACAGCTGTTCCACGGATGTCCCAAGTTGGCCATGAAAATCGAACACACACACAAACACACATATGAATTGTAGGATATAATCTACACACCATTCTGCTCGTTCTCGGTGCATTTCTTATCTGGCATTATTCACAACTCAACTGCCGAGATCAAGGTGGTGCGACAGGTAAGCGGCGACTAAAAAATGAGTTTATTTTTTAGGTAGACCGTTTAACAACAAGTCGCACTCACAGCTGTTTTTCTTTACAGCAGATTAACTGAAAAGTGCACTGTTTTAGCGACAATTGGAGATTGAGATTAGCAGCGGCAGAGGGCCGCATCTGGCGAAATTGAGCGAGCGATTGGAACTGAGTGTCGTACAACATGGCGTATGCGTCTATTACACATACGCACTGGTTGCACACATACATCTATAGTTCTTGTGAGAATAAAAGGAAAAGAGCGGAAAAGAGAGAGAAAAGGATGATGCGCAATCGATGCCACAAAAGAAAGCTTTTGCAATGCCACAACGATAGTGCTTTCTCTCTCTATGCGGCATCAGCTGTTTTGAGGAGGCAATTTTCATTGAATTTGCAGTACGTCACATTGCTATTTTAGAAATTTAAAAGCCTATTGACTGCCACACAAAACGAAAATTCGAAATCAATATTTTATAGTTATAGTAGGAAAGTTACATCCATAAAAAATTTGTATTATATATAAATCCTCATCTTTCTTTAAAATAACAACAAAATTAAACCAGATTTACATTTCAAATTGATTTTCTAGGTTATTTTATTTTATCTTAGTTCGTGATATTGAATTTTTAGAAATTCATAAATTTATTAACTGCTACAAAAAAAAACTAACATGAGTTTTTTTTTAAATGTTTATGTTTTTTCTTTGTCATTGCAAATAGTTGTCGTTAAAGATGCAATGCAATCACGTTATTCATACTTTAATATTTATATGGGAATTAATTAGGTTTCAATTTCTTTCTGTGTATCCCTGCATTGTACGAATTTCAATTGGTTCTGGAATAATTGTTGCTCAGCCAGCTTTTCTATAGCGGCTATACATATGTACATACATATCTGAGCAAGAATGTTTGTTTTTCCACACAGGGGTACAGTTTTTATTTTCATTTTAAGGGGGCTTGTCTTTGCTTTTCTTGCCACTGAATATTTTCTTGTTGTTTGTGCAACTGTACCTGAGATGCTGAACAAAAGAACGTCGCTAAAAACACTGCGATTTGTTAAATTGTTTTTGCGTGACCAAGGCTAAATATAAATGAACTAATGCCAAATGCTGACGTACTCTTCTCCGTGTTTTATCCTCAAAAAACAAACTGACGCAAATGGCGTTGCAAGGGGACCGTACATAGGAAAAGAATAAATGTAGAGATCTTGCGGGGTGGTGAAGCGAAAACCACGTGCCGAATGCGACGCACGTTTTAAGTCAGGAAATCGAAGACCGGGAATTATACGAAACTTACTTGACACATGTGCAGCAGAAAAGTGTCGCAATTACTTTTAAACTATTAACTATATTAAACACTTGATGATGCGATTTGGACACGTTGGTCAAAAAAAATATTGACCGCTGTAGTTTTCGAATCCGTTTCTCAGAAAATGCAAAAGCTGAATGAATCAGAATGCTTTCGATTTGAATTTGAGCGAGGCGAGGGAAGTTGCGTTTCTGGAGTTGTGGTGTGGCGAGAGCATGAGATAACGAGAAGTAAAGCCTACAGCCACGATACGAATATTAAATACCCTTAAGTAAATGCATACATATGCATCTCATCCTATTTTACCAGATTTATGGAAGTGTTACTTTTCCAATTTTAATGAATTCTAACTTGTAAAGTACTTAGGAATATAATAAAATTAAATGTTAAATATATTAAATGTAAATAAAACATTTTTAAACATATGCTTTTGAAAAGAATTTCAAGATGCAACACAGTTTAAATAAAATGCTTATACTCCTTACAAGGGTATATCAAGGAGAACAAGAGAGTCGAAGAGCGGAAGAGTATTACAGAGAGAGAGCCGGCATTTTTTGTTTGTATCGGTTACTCGTTTTGTGTTGGAGGCCAAAGAGCGGCGCTCAAAGGGGAGCACAAACACGTGTGAAATATAGGCAAAAGCAAAAGAGTTCGAGAATTTCGAAACTCTTCTATTTTAATATGCATCCAAGAATGTTTGTTGGGTTGTTTTCCTTATACGAAAATTGTTGTTGCATTGGTTTCAAAACTTCGCCACACGCTTTTGCTTACACGTTTTTTCGCCATTTGTGTGCTAAGCAAAACGTGAATTTCGGCAATAAAAGAGAATGACAAGCTTTAGAATTTTTAACGTCGAATATACCCTAGAAAAATATTGTTAAAATATATTGTTAGATTTATTTTTGATTTGATTTTTGCTTCAAGAATTCTTATACGTTATAAACTTTTTATTTTTAACAATGTCAAAAAATGGACAGAATATTTATTATTACGAGTTAATATTAAGTAAAACGCAGTTTATGAAATGAGTCATATACCCGCTTTTTGCAGAAGTACCCATTATCAATACAAAATTGTAAGTCGCATAATAAATTGTTGTCTATATTTTCGACTGTTGCCAAGAGAGGCCTACGCTTTAGAAGAACTAGCTTCTTGTTTTTGTTCGTTAGGAGCAGAACAATTTTCAAATTTGTGACCGCAGACAAGGCAGGTAAGCGTAATGGAACCATATTACTAAGGTCAAAAGATCTTCGATCAATATAAATTACACACATATGTACATATGTATGTATTCTGTGATCAAGATCCGAATAAGAATCAGCAATGGAAAATAACCTTAGCACTTTGTCAATGAAAATCTGCGGCAAATTATTGCGTATTGTTGGTATATGGGTTTCGGGTTTATCCGATATCAAAAACAGGGTTAAAAAGAAAACTAAAATATTTACCATAACTTCTGATTGTTATATTATACATATTCTTTTATATTTTGGTTGACTCTTGGTCTTAGGATCTGGAATATAGAAAATATCTGGACATTAATTTAGGCTCTATGGCGGTACCTTTTCCCTTGGGCTGTGATCCAGTTTCCCAGAGAAAGCCCTCAGAGGAGGATATCAATTGTCCCAAAGTTGTTGATGTAGACGGAATTCCATTGCCAGAAACCCTCAAAGGTAATCCGGTGGATCCTCCTGATGGACCTCAACCAAGTGTAGGAGATCCGCCAGGCCTTCTACCCATAGTAAATCAACCTAGATTATCTAAGGACTGGGCGGGTGTAATTCCAAACTGCCTACGAGGATTGGAGTACTTAAAGGCCATCGACCAACTTCTGGTTAAGCAGAAGGTTGAAATTTTCGAGGCCATCACTGGATTTGAGACCAACAACCGATACTCCATTCAAAATGCTTTGGGGCAAAAAGTATTCTATGCTGTGGAGGAAACCGACTGCTGCACACGTAATTGCTGTCCCGAGAGACCATTTCATATCAGGATTTTCGAAAAATATTTCGAGGAAGAGGTCATCCATCTTCACCGTCCTCTGGGGTGCTCCTCTACTTGTTTTCCCTGCTGTCTGCATAGCATCGAAATATCCGCACCACCCGGAAACGTGATCGGTCGCATCCAGGAGGAGTGGTCCATTTGCCGACCCTGCTTCCGTATCCTTAACCAAAGTGGAGATGTCGTGCTGCGTATTAAAGGACAAGTTTGTTTTTGCCATATATGCGGAAGCATTGACTTTAATGTGGGCTTTCTACTCCATATATATAAATATTTATATGATTCTAAATATAACCCATATTTTTTCCAGATTATAAATCTCACTGGTGAAAAGGTGGGCAAGATCTCGAAACAGTGGTCAGGACTTGGCCGCGAGTTGTATACGGATGCAGATATCTTCAGAATCACCTTTCCTATGGATATGGATGTTAACCTTAAAGCGGTTTTATTGGGGGCAACATTCCTAATTGATTTTATGTTCTTTGAAAAGTCATGCGAATTTTTAAAGTATTGCATATGTTGCTTAGATACCTAAAAACTTACAAGAAAAACTTTCGAAGAGTGAAATATGAATTCACGTTATTAGTGTCCTTTGTTTATTTCCAAATAATTATTTTCGAGATGGCAGAAAATTTAATGTATTAAAGTATTTTTGTTGTTAATCTATTTTTGTTATTATGTTCGTCATTTTTCCAAAAGAAATAATTAAAATGGCATAATAAAATAAAGTGAAAAAGAAGAACTTATTGAATATTAATTACTACCCTTTCCTAAAAATGTAACTATTTAAAATTTTTATGTAAACTTGCAGTATACAACAATATTTTAAGTGTTAGAATGAAAATCTTCTAATCTCTGAATATTCTAATATTTGAATACTGAAATTTGAAAATCAACTTCTAAAATCGTCTTTAGTTTCCTGTGGCGTTTATTTCCAGAACCTTTATCGATATGGCAATCGATAGAAGAGCTTTCAGAATTTTTGGCATGCGTTGCGGCGGTCACACTTAAAAAACAAAAAAAAATAGCACAGGCAAAATAGACGTGCTTAGAGCTGTAAAAGTCAGTTTTTGATAAAATTGAGATATTGAGTTTGTTTGTTTATTGTGTTCGGGTCGAGCTTGTTGCTTCGACAATCCCGAGGATCGATCGCGGGGAACGATCTTAGTGACCACCATCCAGGCGTAATTTACGCAACGCACTACAAAATCGGCAACATTTGGGCAACAACAAAAACAGACGAAGAACAGTGAACACAGAAGATTGAAGAGAAGAGAAGAGGAGAGGAGCGGAGAAAGGAGAACAGAGAAGAGAGCCTAAGAAACGGAAGAAACATCATGGCGAACATGGCTGTATCGCGGATCAAAAGGGAGTTCAAGGAGGTGATGCGAAGCGAGGAGGTGAGTTTCGAAGGGCCAAGGACGAAGGACACTTACCCGCTCCTTTTGCATCGCCAGCTGCACCAACACCACCACTACCACCACCCTTAATTTCGATGCGGGGGGTGGGGTCCGAATGCGCGGACTTTGGTTCCATTTTTTAATGTTTTTTTGGCTCGCTTCTTGATTCCGTGTAATTAGATATATATATATAGTGAGAGAAATGTAAACACAGCTCGCACTGATTTTGTATTACTTTGTTTTTAAATTCATGACAGATTGTCCAGTGTTCCATCAAAATCGAACTGGTCAACGATAGTTGGACGGAGTTACGCGGCGAGATCGCCGGTCCACCCGATACGCCTTATGAGGGCGGCAAGTTTGTTTTAGAGATCAAGGTGCCCGAGACATATCCCTTCAATCCGCCAAAGGTTAGTAAATGCTCCTTTTCGGCATAAGATTCAAGATATATATGTAAAACAGACGCTATATTTATATCAAGATATTATCTAAAAGGATAATATTTAAATTATTACAAATCTAAGCTCTAATTTAGACTCTTCAAAGTCGATAAAGCACTTAAAAACTTGTAACTCCATTTCAGGTGCGATTTATAACCCGCATCTGGCACCCGAATATTTCATCGGTGACTGGCGCCATTTGCCTAGACATCCTCAAGGACAACTGGGCTGCGGCAATGACACTGCGCACCGTGTTGCTATCCCTGCAGGCCCTCCTTGCCGCCGCCGAGCCTGATGATCCACAGGACGCCGTGGTGGCATATCAGTTCAAGGACAAGTACGATCTATTCCTGCTGACTGCCAAGCACTGGACAAATGCATATGCGGGTGGTCCGCACACCTTTCCCGATTGTGATTCAAAGATTCAACGTCTCAAGGATATGGGCATTGACGAGCATGATGCCCGCGCCGTGCTCTCGAAGGAAAACTGGAACCTGGAAAAAGCCACGGAGGGTCTGTTCAGTTAGCTTGCCCCAGAAACAATATCATCTGTACCATTCACGGCGTCGGCAACACCAAGAATACCAGCAACCCTAGCATCAAACCATTCAAATTGGCAATCACGCTAAATTCTAGTACACACATCCACAAAATAATTCGTAATTGGTCAATTTTGTTCACGAAATCGCATTGCCCTGTAGTTACACCAATTCTTTCTGTGTTGTTTTAATTCTTTTATTTTAATTATCAAGCACCCTTTGCCGCTGGGTGGGTGACCAAAAGGTTGAGCCTAAGGCAATGCCAACTTCCCATCAAGCATGTGCTATGCAATTGAACCCAGGGTTCCATTTCATTTCCTTGCATGCAGTCGCATTTATTTGCAGGCTCTTTCTAAAATAATGCTGTTTTTCCATTTCAACCTTAATTTATAATGCATAAAAAAATTTAAACGAAAATTAAATGTGAAAATGAGAAAGTGTATAACAAATCGAAGTCTTTGTAAATTGCGTTAAGTTAATAAATAAATAAACAATTATTAAGAAATGCTTAATTAGAAGTTATTATTTAATCTGGTGGTGTTAAATGTGCAGTAAAGTTAATTATAAAACAAGCAAGTTGATAGGTTGAGCCAGAGCAGTTGATTAGCTGGAGCTGTTGATACGGTGAAGAGTTATCAGTGAAGTCTGCAATATAAAGTGTAAGTGTCAAACATAGATGGCGCTTATAGTATTCCACATTCACTACTTTTCACATAGTCTTCTAAAGTTTTTTATTACCTTTCGTGAAATTACTTAATAAAAACGAAGAGTTATACACAAAATATAAACAACTTTTTAAAGTGAGTGATTCAAAATTATTATTGAATTTCTAGGACTCATAAATATTGGCACAAAAACAGTGGTTTGGGTGTCTGTAATTATTTTTAATTATACAAAATAATATTTCATATTTTGATGTTTGACAATTGTGTTATAGAAACATCTCTAGATTGGTATATGATAGTGCCTTAACTCTACCTAAATAAATATGGCACCATAACGGTATGGTTTTTATTCTCTAGAGAGGGATTGTTTATTGAGACATCTATACTATTTCTCAAGACACCTACATTTGTGCATTTTAAATCTCTGAAGGCAACCTTAACCTATCTTAAACTAAAAGTGGGACAAAAGTAAATTCATTTAACTGGCAACAATAAATATCAATGTAGGCATGCTAGTCCTTGCGGAAGCCTGGTGGTAGCGTCACATCGAAAACTATAGGGGCATTGTTGGGTAGGTAATTGATGTCACAAGTGGATGCATTCACGAAAATAATCCTGCCATCGCTGGTGATGCCATAGCCTTCGTGAACATGTCCGAAAACATGATATTTTGGGCGCACCCGTTGCTGAACTGTGCTGAGTAGCTCCACACATCCTGCCCTCACTCCGGAACAGCAAAGATCTCCATGTCCAACAGGTGGCGTGTGGGTCACCAGAATATCGATGCCTTCTGGCACTTGGTTCCACTTTTCCAGACAGGCTTGTCCTCGTGGGACATTAAAGGCCCAGCGACAGAACTCAGGCTGCCATGGTGATCCATAAATACGAATACCCCATATTTCTAGTAGTTCATCCTCCAGATATCTACAGTTGGTCAGAACATCTCGGACATTCTGGGTCTGCACAGCGCTCTCTAAATTCTCCTTGGCATTTCCCAAAGTAGGCAGATCATCAAGAATCGACATTCCAGTGTGTTTACTGCTCGAAGCATGTCCCTTAGCCTGATTCTTCTGAAAAGGATGAGTGAAAGTTCTGTCGAAACTGAGTTCATGATTGCCAGCAATCACGATCTTGTGGCGATGAGGAAGGGCCCCAATCCAATTATTAAATTCTTCAACTTCCTCGAGCTGGCCGCACTTGGTGAAATCCCCAGCATGAATGAATATATCGCCATCCGGTATGTCAAACTTAATGTAGGGAGTCAAGGAGTGTGTGTCCGACATGCAAACTACTCGGGCCTTATTGGGAGCCACTGTTGTGGTGGGTGACTTCATGGTCACCTTAATCACCCGCTGCGTTTTGCTGATATCCCTCCAAGCGGCCGTGGGATCTTGGCTCAGCGGATGTACTGGTACCTCCATTTTAATATCTGCAATTGTAGATTGTTTGAGTAATGAATAATAACCAAAAGGTGAATGTCAAATTAAATTAACTGTAGAGTAAACTTAGCCAAAAAGTATTTAATTCCTATAGGGCTGACCTAGGCCTTATCTTTGCTTCTTAAATAGCTTAAAATATCCTTCTTCAACATTCTCTATTAATTCTCTATTTGAAGAAATAACAACAATTGAATGGAATTTTGGCGGAGAAATCAGTTCTTCTAAGAAAGTAATAGCAAGGTGGCTATAAACGTTATCGTATTACGGTAGTTAAATGATAACGTCGTTTTTTTTACTTCTTGAGTAACAAAAATACAAAAAGAGTTTATTTTATAACATTTAAATTACATTTTCCTCTTACTTACTATTTTTAAGTCGTTTAGTTTTGTTACCGCCTTGTTCGTTTTTACTTTGTCTATTCCATTGTCTTAGGCCTTTAACCATTCATTGCTATCGCCGGCGACATTGTCGAGCTCTGATAAGAACGCATTTATTTATGTTTAGTCAAGTATTAACAGTTAAATGCCTTAATAATTCAATAAAACCAATCAAATGCAAGAAAGTGACTGTCGATAAGTGACGTCATTGCCGGGGAAACAGCTGAGCGCCGATAACATAACGTAAGGACTTGCAACGTAACGTTACGAGAATTGCTTATCGATAGGCAAAGTTAAAACGTAGCCCTGGTCAAAACAAAAATCAGCTGGTTTGCTATATAATTTTTGCTTTTTCACTACGCGTAAATTTTTGTTTCTTTCAACATTTGCAATAAAAGCCGTCTTAAAATTGCATAAATCAATTTGTGAATAGTAGTTTTATAGTGTGCAAGTGTATTACACAATCAGAAGATTAATTTTTCGGTGTTTAAAGACCAGAAAAGTGGTTACTTGGTTAAATTCCACGCATGGATAGCAAAAAGATGGCCGCAGCTGCAACTTTTGCAGACGCGTATTGTTTCTAGCCATATTATTTGAAATCGTTAATTGGAATTAAGTGTAATGGATCAATTGGAGCTGCAGGACGATTTGTTTGCCTTGGAGGGAGGTGCTACAGGTAAGTTATTTTCGGTAGTGCGTTTTCCTTTTCTCAGCTGCCTAAGAGGCTATTTTTGGGACTTCTAACTGGGAGCAGCTTTTGCAAAAAAGTGCAGTTTTGTTTATTGACAATTGCTTACGCCCTCTAAATACCTGTTTGTGTGGGTGTGTGTTATCTCTTCTGCACTCGTTTCTTTAACACCCCCTCTCTTTCCACACACACCTTCATCACTTTTACATCTGTTTTCCCGTTTATTTGTTTGTTTGCCTTGTCTTTCTCATTTGTGTTAAGTGATGATTCACTTTGATTGCCGGCCATCTACAAGCACATGCACACATACAAAATCTCACCGTCTCTCCCGCTCTCTTTCGCTCTTCCTCTCTTACTCATACTTGCATGGTTAATAAAATCAAACAATTTATGGTTTTGATTCACTGTACCACTACAGTGGAGCCAGTTCCTATTGAACAGGAAACGATTTGTTTACTTTAGGCAACTCCAAACATAAGAGCCCTAATTGTTTTTATATATCTTCACAAAGAGTCGCCGGCTCCTTTTGTGTGTTGTTGAATTGCTTTTCCCGATTTAGATTTTCAATGAAATAACATCGTTTTTTTATAAGCTTTAATATAGAAAGTGTTCAAACATTTAACGGGTTAGGATTTTAATAGAACTCATAAGTCTTATACTAAGTGTGAATTTTGATTGACCAACAGATAGCTGGTTTAATGGTTTAATAGAAGGCGTATTATACTTGCGGCACTCGATTATAAAGATACATTTTTTTCTTATTCTGAGATTGATTTACCGCCGTGTTAAGTCGAGACGCGAACCGTTGGGCCCTATCTCAACAACTGCCTGAAGCACACCCCCAAACAATCCACCCACTCATTTGTACGCTTTTCATTCACAATCCAATCAAACAAAAAAAGAAAACAAAAAAGGGCGGGAAAAAGAGTGCCAAATAAACCTTGATAATGACATTCAGCATTGAAAGAGGAAGCAGAGCAGCGTAGAAAAACAAAACAAACGTCTGGCGTCAATAGGTGGATTGGATTTTTGCTGTGTTTTCGTTTTTTTTTTTTTCCTTTTTTGTATTTTGGGCTGGCTTGCCACCACAACCTGGCAGTTATCCAACGGATTTTGTAGCGCAGTGTGGCAAAATTAGAAAATTCCGCCAGCCATCCAAAGTCAAATGTCGAGTCGTCGTTACCATCACCTGTGCGCGAAATTGCATAAGTTCGGGCTCCAAACGCTCGTACATCAGCCCATTTTCATTCTCATTTGTTTGGCCGCCGTTGAGCCACAAAGTACCTAGAGATAAAGAAAAAAAAACGAAAAATCGGCGGAGAAAAGTGTATATAGCCCACTTAAGAATACAAAAATCAAGTGCGTTCCCAAGTGTTTTTAGCGGGTGTAAAGTGCGTTCCGGTCGCGTGTTTACCTTTTCGAATCATCGCGTGCCAATTCACCATTTAGTACTAGCAACTTATAGTTATGCGGTGGGCGTGATGTAATTTGCAATAAAAGCAGTTAACTAATTCACTGTACTAATATTGTACCAATGGAAAGTGCCAAGTGCTAATTTTTCGTACTTGCATTGCAAACAACCTGGACGCGTTCATAATCAATTTAACTGTTTGTCGTTACAAAATGCCTCTTGGTATTGTTTTTTATTTGTTTGTTTATTCTATGTGTTGGCGAAATCAATTTGCACCAAACATTTATAAGAAATTCGACAAGGCAGTGGGGCACTTCTATATATGGTCAGGAAACGAAATTATATATAGTCTCACCTTGGTGCCTCTCATTTTTCCAGCTCTTTTGTTAGTTTCCGAAAAGTGTTATCTAATTTTCGTTTTAAAATTACGGTTTTATGTATTTAAGAAGTTTTAGAAGTTCTATTACATATTAAAATCCTATTTTCGATTACCTTCTATTAAAAAGAAAGCACTTGCCATGAATTGAATTTCCGCGGTCTATCAGCACACGGAATTCGGGTTAAGGACGTCCTTTGAAAAGTTGTAGTTGGTTGTGGCTTAGCTCCAGCCTTGGCTTCTCAGCGGGTCTTCCACGGCTAGGAGAGCGGAATGTTTTCCACTTAGCACTGCTCTGCGGGAATGCTCTTCTGGGGTTCAGGCTCCAACGTAAATTGAAGCTAATGTGACAGATATATAAGCACTACCCGTGCTAATCAACTAGAATTCACTGAAGAGAGAACGCAAATAAGTAAACAAACAAATGGTTTTAATCATCTCGAATCTCTCGTATTTCGTATCTTTTCGTACAACGCGGCGTATGGGTGTTATTTTGAAAACAACTCAGCTGATTTTCATTTCGCCGCAGAAGAAAAACAGCTGTTCCGTTGACTTTGCTCTCTCTCTCTCTCTTTGTATCGCTCTCTCGCAATTGTTAATCATAATTTTAAATAGACAATAATCGTTTGTTTTGATTTCGAGCTTCCAATTTGCGAGCGTGCGCGAGTTGCTCATTTTTTGTTGTTGATTTTTATTCGATTTTTTTTTGTTTTGTATTCTGCTGCCATTGACGTCGCTCGCTGAGCGGCCCGTCCGTCCGTTTTTTTTCGGTTCGTTTTCGCCGCAGTCGAAATTCGTCGTCGTTGCCGCCGTTTGCCTCGCATTTTGCACTTTAGCGGTCCGCTCGAAATTTTTATTTTGGATTTAACGTGTGTGCTACTCGTCTATATATACCACTATATATAATATCCGTCTATATGTAAGACCATATCGAAATCGGTTCTATCGGTCCCACACAAATAATTATATTCAAATTGCCAACGTAATTTGACATCGCCCAATAAATAAACAAATAAAAACGCCGTACAAGTTTCGTTTTGGATTTCAAAATGCTGAGCTCATTATTTCTACCTAATTAGCATAAAAATCGTAAAAGCTCTAAAAGCAGCTGTAAATAATCATAAAAAAAAAACAAAATAATATGTTTGTATCATAGAAAAATGAGTGTTATTCGATTATCAGTGGTCCCCTAGTAATTTCTAGTGAAATAAACCTGAATAGTGACCCAGTGACACATTTGCAATCACCTTATCATCAGCAGCCCTCGTTTTCAATCGAATCTAATACAATCTCTAACAGTGCTCTAAACAATTGGGACTAACAATTAATAAATAAATAATTTGTGGATTGTGTGGGAGCATTGAATCACGTGCCTCTAATTGTTCGCGTTAATTATCGTTAAATACAGTCGCTTGCTATCGCATTTAGTTTTTACTAGTCGGGCAGTACAATTGTAAATCTGCCCGAATATCATTTTCCCAGCTGTGATTCCTTTACAAATTTATGCTCCACTTTCATGTTATGGAATTTTCAATGGACTCCAAAAAAACTAAAAGGTTTGTTTTGCTTTTTTGTTCTGTTAAAGATTACGACTAAAAACTTTACAAAACTTATAAGTACTGAGAAAACGATAAAATAAAATGGGGTGACAAAAAAATGTATGCAGGAAATGTTTGGTTTACATACGATAAAAATAAAATGTGATAAACAATTCGAAGGTTTCGACTGTTTGTCGAAGTTCAAGTTTATATTAAGGGAATGAAGAATCACGAAAGCTTACATGGTTCTGCCATATAGTGTTATCTTATCAGTAAGATTACGAAATTCTTATAATTTTCATTGTTTTCGATGTCACTTGCTGGGCGAAAAGAAGAGAAAACAAACTACATATGAGTTCAAGGGCGTAATTTGATGGATTAATGGCTTAGATAAGATAATACATTTTATAATCAATAACAAGTTGATTTGTATTTTCAATTACTTGATTACAGATGTTGCGATTTTTAAAAACCTTCGGACTGCTTTCTTAAGTTCTTTAAAGACTTTCATTTATTTTGACTTTTTGCCAACTCATTGTTATAATCATCATTTTTGTTATCATTCAGAATTGTTTTTAGAGAAAGTGTAATTTCCTAATAATTAATCACAAATCATCGATTTAGTTGAATGAGTTTTGTTCAATCATTTTCCTTCACATTTTTCTGATTTTCCCATAAATAACAAACACATTTTTTAAAGGCGAAGCAAACACAAGCAAAAATGTATGGCATTCTTAAAATATTCAGCAGAGACATAAAAAAGCTCCTAAAATATTTTCATCTGCCAAAATTAACTTTTTCCAACGAAATTGAATTTGTTAATCGAATAAGAAAAACAAATCAGGCTATAAATTGTATGTTTTACTTTCTGATTTGAAAAACTGCAAGAGTATACCTTTAACATCGGAAACTCTCTACTCTCTATCATAAAAAGTCTGAAAAAAGGGTATAGGGTATCTGAGAGTCGAATCTCTCTAAATTGGCTTACTTTTCCTGCCCCTGTTGCAGTTTTTAAATAAAAGTATTTTGGATTTGAGATGGTGGCCCAGTGCGATGGATTAGTATTAATCGGTTGGCAGAGAGATATTTGTTCGGGTTCGTCGAACATCTTATATGTGGCGTGGAATCGTGTTGTTTGCGTTTCTTTTTTGCTGTTGTTATATGACACATCCAGAAGAGAGCTTTTATAAGATGTACGTTTCGTTTTAGGAAGACGATTCGGTGATTCGGGTGAGCGTGTTAATACAGTATTAATAATACGGTCGTATATGTGCATACACGTATATACATATGTTTTCGCATTTTGTTTGAGTTTTCATTGTGAATTTTTTCGATTTTCTTCACACACATGTGTTTAGTGAAATGTCAAACATTTCCCAAAACCATTATTTATTCTGCCACTGATTATACACGACATTTATTTGCCTGGACTTTGCTGTCTTTAAGCTTAGTTCCATTGAGGAGATTTCACGGCTATTGCTACAACTTTTTTTTTGGGATCAACCTTTGCTGTCCCCTTGAGCCTCCTAAAAATGCCTTGTACTTCAACTATATCAATTATTCACGGATAGCGGCGATGGAAACCTTTACCCTGAACTTAAAGAGACCTTCGGCCGGAGCTCAAACAGCTGACTACGACGGTGCATGACACATGGCATATCGCTTGGATTACGTTTGGTAGCAACATCTATTATTTACCAGTCACATACAATAGTACTTGACTTGGTCATAAAGGACACTAGCAATCGTGTCTTGGTCTATTGATTGAATTCGATTTTAAAAGAAATTCTGGCCTGAACGGTTGGCCAAGACTAAGTCATGATAATTGTTTTGAACTATAGATTGAGAATTTATGGCTATCCAATAGATGGGTAATCTTTCATTGTTGTGAGGGTAATCAGTAATCGATTTTTTAAATTTGAACTTTAATATGTTCAATGTAAAGCCTCTAAACATTAAAGAGTCAAAAATATATATTAAATAAATAGTCTTTCTTTTTCATCATAAAACTGAATTTATTAAATGTGACATCATCGAATGTTTCCAATTTAAATAGAGTTAGTTTTCGTGGAAGCTCAATTCTGCAGAACTTTCATTACGCACTCCTGTTGACTACTTTGGATGGAATGGGGTCTCTGTTCTTATCATGATGCCAATAAACCGATATGATAGGGTGGCGGAATGAAAACAAAATCATCAATTGTGATTATTATTTTGCATATTCTGCAGATGGTGTATGTTTTTGACAGAAGGTTCATAGCAATCCATCCATCAGGCCATGTGGCTTTAATAAGTTTACAGTTATTTCCTGGCAATTAAGATATAAAATGAGCTTATTGAATGATAACTCGACACGATACAGCCCTGAAGTCCAGAATTGGGCCTCATAAAGGGAGTTCGTTTGGGTTTCTCTTCCTAATTTGAGTTTTTGGGGCGTGTTCTTGCCACACCCCCGAACACACTTGATGATGATTAAATTGTTGATGGTTTCTGATGATAATTTCTATTTACAGATTTCGCTTTATAGGCGTGTCCTAGAACCAAGGTTGGGTAAACAAATAAAACAACAGATCACTAATCAAAAATTCATACATATATTGCTCATACGCAGTTTTTAGAAAGCCAAAACAATTAATAAATGTCATGGCAAACATATATAATTTAAAGCAAACATATATCTTTATTCCATAGAATATCTAGCTTGACTTTTTAAATTTTTATTTGAAAAGTTGGCACGTGTTAATATTCGTTCTATGGAAAGATAAAAGAACATAATTTTAGGAAACATAAATACATTCCAATCTGTCATATGTTTAGATTGGGCTTTTTAACACATTTTTCTTGTTTCGAAAAGTAAAAATCCATAATTTGGGAATACTCGTATAATGTTTGGACTATCATTTATTTTATACATTGGCTATGTTTATGTATAATTTCTGCCCATACTGAATCATTTTTGGGACTCGTCCAGCTATCTGAACATGTAATTCCGAGCCTATAAATAACTGATAAGTGTAATCCGTTTAATCATAAAACCGATAATGATAATGCTTTTTGTTCTTTTTTTAAACAAGGCACAAATCAAAACCCAAATGAGCAGCACCTGAACGATCCGGCTGGCTCGCCCTCCACCGCCAGTCCCAACAACAGCAACACCGCAACCGCCGCAACAGCAGCAGCAGCAGCAACAACAGCAACTGGGACTGCTGCGATTGGAGGAGCGAGCGGAGGCGTAGTGGGTGTGGGCGTGGTGACACCAACAAAGAGCCCCCAGCGTAACGCTTTCCAGGAAGATGCTTATCAAGCAAACTTGGCTGGCGGCGATAGCGTCGATAACGTGGAATCAGCTCAATTGGAAGGCAATCCGAGTGGTGGATCGCCCGGCCAGCGTCACTCGATAAACTCAGCGGAGTATACATCCACGCCGAAGACCACTCGGAATGGTCCGAGTAGCACAACAGCCAGTGGGACAACATCGCCTATTAATTACCAGCTGCCCGGCGATGACTACCCGTATGGGATAGAGTATGAGTCACAGCAACTGCAATACCAACAGCAGCAGCAACTACAGCCCCAACAGCAGCACCATTTGCCAGTAAGCGGCGGAGTGGAGCAATCGCCAGCGATTACCTACCAAAGTTTGCCGGCCAGTCGCCAGAGTTACGCTTCACCGCCAGCTTTGGTCATTCCACAGCGGCAATCACTGCTTCCCTGGGGTGCTCATTCAAGAAGTTCGATTATCAACGTCTTGCCCAGTTACACACAGGCCGAGATGCATGCCTTGGCCGCCAGCATGGCCAGTGTAGAGATCTCAGCTCCACGGCCTGGAGAGATTGTGATGCGAAACCTTTTCAGTGATTTTACCGCACAGGCTGAGAAAAAGATTGAACTGGTGATGTTGGAGAGTGCCGACAAGAATCTATCGAAGCTGCTGCAGCGTGGTGAGGATCAGCAATTTGATCAGTTGCTATCAGCTTTGGGTTCTGTTGCCGAGCACTGCCTGCCATCGTTGCTGCACACTTTACTAGCCTGGCATCGGCGACAGTTGTCCGACATGGAGATCAAAAACGATCTGAAGAAACCGGCTCCGAGTGGCAGTAGCAACTCGCAGGCGGGTAGCAACAAACCCACAGTGGATCTTGACTTTCAGCTACAGCGACGGGAAGCAGCTGTGGAGTTTATTTTCTGTTTGGCACTCATTGAGATACTCAAGCAGCTGCCCTATCATCCGGGACACGAGGATCTGGTGCGCAGCATCGAGAATCTGGCTTTCAAGCACTTTAAGTATAAGGATGGCTTGCAAAATAATCCAAATGCGATTAATATCCACATGATTGCCGACCTGTACGCAGAGGTCATTGGCGTATTGGCTCAAAGCCGATTTTCCTCGGTACGCAAGCGCTTCATGAGCGAACTGAAGGAGCTGCGCGGCAAGGAGGTATCGCCCACAACCACCCAAAGCATCATCAGTCTGCTGATGGGCATGAAATTCTTTAGGGTCAAGATGGTGCCCATTGAGGAGTTTGAGGCCTCCTTTCAGTTTATGCACGAGTGTGGTCAGTATTTCTTGGAGGTGAAGGATAAGGATATCAAGCATGCATTGGCTGGACTTTTTGTGGAGATCCTGGTGCCTGTGGCAGCGGTAAGTTATAACAGTATCCACTTTGTCCACAAATAGTAATACACAAAACTATTCCCTTGTAGGCCGTCAAAAACGAGGTAAATGTTCCTTGCGTAAAGAACTTTGTGGAGCTGCTTTATGTGCAGACATTGGACGCCTCAACAAAGTCAAAACATCGTTTGGCTCTGTTCCCGCTGGTCACCTGCTTGCTCTGCGTCTCGCAGAAAACATTCTTCCTGACAAACTGGCACTACTTCCTGGCCATGTGTCTGAGTAATCTGAAAAACCGCGATGCCAAAATGAGTCGCGTGGCCTTGGAGTCCCTGTTCCGCCTACTTTGGGTCTACATGATCCGCATTAAGTGCGAGTCTAACTCAGCCACACACTCCCGCCTACAGAGTATTGTGAATTCCTTATTCCCCAAGTAAGTACACAAACTTGGCTTATCGAATTCTTTGTTTTACTTTTTCTAATTTCTATCAATTATTCTCCTAGGGGTTCCAAAGGAGTTGTTCCCCGCGACACGCCGCTGAACATTTTTGTAAAGATCATCCAGTTCATCGCTCAAGAGCGGCTGGACTTTGCCATGCGCGAAATCGTCTACGATCTGCTGTGCGTAGGACGTTCGATCAAGCTGATCCTCAACCCAGAACGCATGAGCATCGGACTGCGAGCCTTCTTGGTCGTTGCCGACTCGCTGCAGCAAAAGGCCGGCGAACCTCCGATGCCCAGGACAGTTCCCGCCCTGCCATCGGGTAACACCCTCCGCGTAAAGAAGACGTACATCAACAAGATGTTAACGGATGACACCGCCAGAAGTATAGGAATGTCTACGTACTTTCCTCATGTCCGTAGGGTTTTTGTGGACATTTTGAGAGCATTGGATGTTCACTATGGTCGTCCACTGATGATGACAAACACACAGAACCAGAACAAGGAGCCAGATGAGATGCTTTCTGGTGAAAGGAAGCCACGCATAGATCTCTTCCGAACATGCGTTGCCGCAGTGCCACGACTGATACCCGATACAATGACCGCTCACGAGCTTGTAGACTTGCTCTCCAGATTGTCCGTTCATATGGACGAGGAGCTGCGAATTCTAACCCACCAGTCGCTTACGACTTTGGTCATAGATTTCCCGGATTGGCGTCAGGATGTCGTGCACGGTTATACTCAGTTTCTGGTGCGCGACGTTACTGACACCTATCCTCAGCTGCTGGAGAACTGCACTCGCATCCTATTTAATTTCCTGAATATCTGGCGGTGTGCAATTAACGTAAATGGTATTAATACCACAAGTGCTCCGACTGGAGGATCAAATGTGACTAATGCTGCCCAACCTAAAGTCACTACCGTTACGGCCACAGCCACAGTGGTACAGGCTACTGTCGTGCAGGTTACAACTGCCCCAGCCAGGGATACCGCCAACAGTCAGTTGTCCAAGCAGCAGCACCTGAATACGGCCAGCAGTGCTGCCTCAAGCATCACGACCTCAAGCGAAATGTCAAGCATCACCCAGCACACTGTGCTTAACATGGCTAGCGATGTGACCAAGAAGAACGAGACACCGCTGGCCACCACTCTTCATTTCGTTGAGGGTTTTGCTTTGGTGCTACTCTGCAACTATCGGCCATATCTGCGCAAGTTGGCCGCCATGATTCTCAAGGAGGTGAAGAACCTAATGCGGGCTTTGGGCATCCCAGAAACGGAGCCCCCACTCATCGATGTCATGGATCGCTGTGTGCCGACCATAATTGAGAAGTGCTTGCCACTGCTGCCGCAGGCAGAGAAAACCGCGATTCTCAACGCCAATTGCATAGACCTACAATGGATTGCAGAAAGATCTAGTGGTGTGTGGCTGGCAGGGTTAACAGATGGTAGGAAATCTACTTATAATATCCAGAAATTCAATAATTTTATGTTTTTCCTTGCAGACAATTCGAAGTCCTCCACCTCTACGCTCAACCTATCGCAGTCAAGTTCAACGGCGAATGCTTCGGCCACGGTGGCCACCACTCCACAACCTCCATTCGATCCCTGGGCCACCTGTTTGTTTGGTTTGTTGGAACGGCATCGCATCCTGCAGCAGTGTCCATCGGCAGTGGCACAGGCCTGGCCAATTTGTTTCACCCGTCTGAATGCACTGCACAGCGTCATAGATCCCACGTAAGTTAAAAGGAGATTAAACATGTTGCAATATTTTACTTAATTAATTAAATATTTTCAATTATGCAGCCCCGTGAGTGACAATCGAGCTTCATTGCTGCGAAGCTCGGCGCCCACCAAAAAAGTGCCCACCGAGAGCCAGAAGGATTCGTACTTGCGTCTTTGGAGGAATCAGGTGGCCTGTGCCATGCGATTGGTTCCTCAAATCCCAAGCGTAGCCGTTCGTTGTGCCTCTCCAGATTTGAGTTTGAGGTGAGTGGAGAAAATCAAAGCTGTTAATCATCCTCACACAGACGAACATATAACTTCCAAATTGTCATTAAACCTGTTTTTATAACAAGGTATAGTGAAGTAATATCCTGATTGATGGCCTTTTGAGTGTTATTTTTTCTGTGCATCCATTGTGTCGTTTCACTAACACCACCCCAAAACTCAAAACAAACAAGACACTTCATTACTTCTATTTGACTAACGCTGTGCATTCAATTAAATTCGGCACGAATTCATGTGTAATGTGTAATAGTTGTTCTGTGCTTTGTTATTAAAAATATGTGTAAAGATTGAAAATCAAATTTCAAATTCAAATTTTGTTATATTTTTTGTTGTTTTTTAAGTTCAATAAACTTTTTCTCTTTGAGAAAGAGGGCTTGTTTTTTGTTTTTAGTTGGTTTCACTTTTATAATTTTAGATAACGGAACACAATACATTTATATATCTATTTTGATATTTGAAAATATGTTTTTGTCGTTCTTCATTTGCATTTTAATATAGTGAAGCTTTATCAGCTTAAATTTGTCATTATCTGTGATTGCCACATCTGCGTAACTCACACGCACGTTGTGTATGTTTAGCTGGATTGTTTTACATGCATGCACTCGATTGGATTCTGCAGAAATCACCCGTAAATTTATATATAACTTAGCATATGGAAAATTATGTCGTACTCGTACATCAACCTGCACAAACATAAACATTAAGGCACTTTTGTCAATATTGGTTCCCCTCCCTCAAGGGACGTTTATTAGTCTGTTTATTATTTTAGGGAAAAAGGTTAAAGGGTGGGATTTAATTTAAAAGCTTGGGATTTATGCTGTTGAATGCTGTTCAAAATAAATTGAAAGTAAACTGTGCTAAATATACAATTGTAACTCAATTTAAGCTGCTCAAGCGAACTTAATATCGGTTAATTAGTATAACATTTAACCATAGCTAAACTAGAGTTTTTCAGAAACATTTCAGTCCCTTAAAAAAGTTAATAAGCTAGTTCTTATACATGCATTTACTTTCAATTTGATAGCTTTTATGTTGGTAACTCAACGTTGAAACCATATACTTCAGTAGAGCATTTAATTTCATTAAACATAAGTTTTTGTTGGCTTTTCATATTTATTATTAACAGAAATAAATGTAAAAACGTTTATATGATTGGTTTCCTCAGAACTATTTTTTGATGAATGATAATTAATTTTCATATTTCGAACAGTTTTTTGTAGTAAATCCTAGTAAATCATAGTTAATCTACTTTTGGGGCTGCGTTAAGAATTTAACTAGATTTACCTGAATTATAATGCGAAATATTGCAACCCACGATACACATGCAAAAACTCACTCGAAACCTTTCCATCACATCACTGTGTAAATGTTGGCCAACGTGGAAAATGTCAATAAAAATGTGGATTTCACCAAAAAAAAAAAGGGCACACCAACTACCGCCAACATACCACCCACCCATCACTTTGCATCCATGCCTCTGTGAAGGTTAAAGTCCGTGTCGTCCACACCAACAGAACACATCCAATGTGTCCTCGACACAAAGAATTGGTTAACTATTTGCCAAGATGGGGTATCTGTCCAAATGCGAACATAAAATATTGATCATATAAATCGAAATCGTTTCATCACAAGTCGTTGAAAAAAAAAAAACAAAACCCATAAACCTTATTGTTTATCAATATCTATATATGGATTGTAATTTATAGTTTACAAGATCAGTCGGACTCGCGTTCGCTGTCCGATTCCCTGGACAATATACCATCCAATGTGTTTGGGCCCGAGGGAATCGTCACGCGTTTCACGCTGCCACTCTCCTATGGACGCAAAGAGGCACGCCAAAAGCGACTTGGGTAAAGCAAATAAAAACTAAAACCTAAAACCAAAAACCAAAAACCAATACCAAAGCCAAACAATAATGCAACAAAGTACCAGCAATAACTCTTACTTTGTACAAATACCTATGACTATATCCTTAACGCAAAAACTAGTTTATTTCTGTGTTTAATTATGTTGCGTGTTTGTGTTGTTGTGCGTGTAGCTTTGGCATGTAATTAAAATTATTTTGATTTAGCTTGAAAATTGCTTAAATAACTTTGCATAAATAAGAGTTTTAAACTTGTTCTTTTAGATTTTACTTTGTTTCTAAGAATTTCTTGGTTATACCTCCTTTTCCTGTTGCTTTAAAGTTCCTAATTTTCATTTTATTACCTTGCAAGTAATATATACGTTTGCAAACTACTTTTTTAAATGAAATATTTTAAATTACACACTAAAACCCAACAAATCAAATAGACTTTGAGTAGATTCTGCCAGTCAACATGTTTTTCCAAGTAAAATTTAGGTAAATATCAGTTTTCATTTCCCACTGAATTGGAACTTATTTGACTTTGATTTTCAAATATATTTTCCCATTTCCATTGGCCAGGCTTTTATTTATGTTCTTGCCGTTTAATTTGGCAAACAGTTTGCTTGTCTTCTTCTATCTATCATTTTTTTTGTGCAACACGCCTTCGAATGGGCCACGCCTCCCTTGTTTGCAGTGTGCTGAAAATAATTTTAAGACAAGATTGTTTATTTTTCATATAGCGCATGTCAGCCAGTTCCCCACAATTCCCAAAGAACATCCCAATTTCAGCTGCCCAAACCCGCAAAAGCTTGATTTGGCTTCGTGTTTCGCTTTTCCGCAACCAAAAAAAAATAAAACAGAAAAGTGTATATAAAATTGTTATTTGCTTGCTGTCATTTATTATTATTCGTTCTGACCACCCCTCGAAAAGGGAGAGCGAAATTCAGGACGACAACAACAAATGGGTTTTAATTGAAAGATGGTTTCGAATTTAAAATTCATAACGTTTATCGTTGCACCGCAGAAAGAAAGGGACTGGCACAAGGGTGCTCTGTGACCCTGTATACTATATTTAAATACTGAATTACTGTCTGGAATTTGAAGCATGACAAGTCAGCAAATTTTTACAGATCAGTTTAAATCGCAGTAAACTTTATGGACTTTCGTTAAATGATGAACTTGCCAAGGTTGCACAAACACAGCTGCCACAGCCGACAGAAAGCAACATTAACAGAAATTACTACCCTGGAGCGTTCACTGTTTGACACTAAAATCCATGGCCATAAATTTATTTTACAGCTCATCGCCGGACTCCCTTAACGCCGATCGTAGTGACAAATCAGCGATGGGCAGCGCCTCGCCACATGCCCTCTACAAACTGGTTGTGCCCCTGCTACGGTGCGAGGTTGTGGATGTGCGAGATGCCGCCGTGAATGCCCTGGGCCTTATAAACCACGATGCGCTCAAGTAAGTCTCTAAGCTATATCCAACTTGATGTATCCCTTCTGACAGAGTGCGTGTGTATTTCTGGCAGGGATTTGATGGAGGAGCTGGTGGTGTACATCCGTGAGGCGGTGGATCGCAAGCAGGAAAACATGCGCAGGAGGCGGAGACGGGATGCTTTGCGCCTGCAGGTTGTTCGAGTGCTGGAAAAGATTGCCGAAAACGGTACCTTCGGTGTGAGGTAAGGAATTGCTAACTCGTTAGCACCATCTAAATTTTGTATAATGTTTTCTTCATCCATTTTCAGCACCTGTGTGCTGGAACGCGACACTATGTCGTTGCATCCCACATTCGTGGAGTACATCGAGGGCGCCATGGCCTATCTAACGTCAGAGACGGACAAGGATAATCTGAGTATTCGCGAGGTGAAGGCGCACTTTTGCAATTTCATACGAAAGATGATTAAGAACTTCTCACGTAAGTCCTCGAAGGGCTGTCATAGCCACAACTTTGGCGGGATATCCATCTGCTACAACTGATTGCCTGTTCATTTCTCTTAGTCGAAGCCTGTGCCACGCTGCTGTCTCGGGTCCTCAAGCGTAATCTTTTCAATTTGTTTGCCGCATGGTGTGGCAGCTTCTCCAAGCCACTAGGCATAACCGTACAGATTGGCCAGACTCTCGAGGAAGAAAAGCTGCAGTTCAGCGCCCTGCAGGTAAGTAAAAGAACAAAGAAGGATAAGACTTATTAAAGTTTCAAACTATGCAAAATATTGAACTATTTTTGTATAACTTATTTAGTTAATATATTGTGTTTATAAAATATTTAAAGTTCCTGGTTTCCCCTCTTTAGGCCATGTCCGCCCTACTCTGCTGCGGTCACATCTTCTATACACCTCATCTGCAAGATGAAGGCATCATATACAAGTGGCTGGATCTGCTGCTGACCTCCAAGGACGAAAAGGTAAGGCATCACGCACTTGTCCCTTTACTTGAACCGCATTTAATGCTGAAGTGCCTTTCACAGATTTACCAACTGGCTCGGGATACAGTGGTGTTGCTGCTAGAATCAAATCCGGATATGGGACAACTTCTGGAGTGGGTCATAGATCGGTGCTATACGTCGACACCTCGTGAGGCAGACGCCTGTTTCCTGGCTCTGGCCTCGATCTTCAGCGCCAAGTAAGTTGAAAAAAGATGACAATTTAAGCATGAGCACGAGTGGCGCTTAATACGTAATCGCCTTACGTTGTTCTCTTTTAATTTATTTAAACTTGTTCGACAGCCAAGTACGTTACCCTCCATTCTCCGCTTCGGGCCGTAATCACTTGGCCTATATATAATATGAACAGGGCAAGGTTGGGGGGATAAATATCCTGAATCCCGCTTACTGTGGTCCTCTTAAGTAGCACTTCACGTGTCTACCCATTGTTGGGTACTCTTTAAATTTACGTACACACATGAACGGATGACAGCCTATTTGTTCAGGCCAAGCACGTTTTTTATTTCCGTTTCCTGTTCCTTTCTTTTTTGGTTTGGCCATAATGGCAGCGAGCTGCAGCGTTTCCTGTATATATTGCTAGATAAACAGTTGGGGACGTGAACCAAACGATGCATGGCTCATTGCCTTTAATGCAACTAGAGTCGGGAGACAAATGTGTCACGGGCGATTTCATTATAAAGTTTATGAGTGATTAATTAACGTAAACGAGTACTTCAAAAAATAATTTATTAAGTTGGAAGCTTTAAACATTAATTACGTATCCTATTTTCGTTGAAATTCCATCACTTTTGATGTCATTCTCATAATTATTCCATATTTACATAGCAGACAGCTGGCTAATGTGAAAAGCAGACGTGCAACAACAACGTTGTTAGTTTGTTTGCACAATTCTAATGGAAACTAATTAACTATTCCAAAAACCAAACCGTCGTCTGTCTCACCACAGTTTAAGCTCTCAGTTTGCAATTTGTCGACATTTGTCGATGTCGAAGGGATTTTATCCTGCAGCTATAGTAACGAAAGCACATCGGATTGCGGTTCATCCTAGGTGGGTATGTGATTTTGTGGTTTTTTCCCGAAAACCGAAGGTCACATCCACAGTGGAAGTAACTTAACCACTTGACACGACCAACCGCGTGCAAATTACTTGTCGGCTGGACATTGTGGGAGAGGCTATCTATTTTTGATACCCTGTAATTGTTGAAAGACAATATATATGGTTATGTATGAGAAAGAAAATTTGAATTCTTGACGGCCATTTAACATTTTTACCTTTTTTGGGAAATGTAATTTTGTAAATCACTTAGGAATTTAGGAAATTATTTAATGATATTTTTATATAATATTTATTGTTATTAGATAGCAAATTGTAAACAAGATGCAAGTACAGGTCATATGAAAGCACAGTCCACCTTTGTTTTTTTTCTGGAGAAGCTCAGCCACATGCAGCATCTGGCCAGCGCGTGGCATTCTCAACTTTATTTTCCTTTATTTTCCGCTTGTCCTGATTTTTTGTGGCAGGTGGCGTTGGCGTGCTGTTGGCACATCGAAGCGAATACCATTTTCATTTTAATGGGCAGTATGATAAATTCTTTAAATTGCAGTCCACACTTAAAGGCATTGAGAAAGCGAAGTAGCTATCAAAGCAACTTGGCCAAGAATTGATTGATTGTCTATCTAAACGGATTTAGGGTCTACTGTTGTTTATCGCAGCCAATTTGCACCCTGGAAATCGCATTATTTGAATAGGCAGCCATTTTCCCTTGAACTTTAATCTTTACAACCGGCCAAAGCTCTAAGAAATACATAAAACATTCTGAACTTTTTGTTTTCATTCTTTTAAACTACTTCTCATATAAGGAGGAAGAAAAAATGAAAACCACAGCATACTTTGTAGCGCTGAAGGCTTGTGTTTGCGGGGATGCAAAGCGAAAATCGATTTGCGTAAATTATTCAATTCGATGCAAGCGTGAACCTAAGGTAAAGTGGGTGGTTCTACGGCTGGCGTATCTCTTGTCCGAAAGTGTTATTCCGCCACCCAAAATGGGGTGAACATTTTGCTTGGATGCATGTGTCTGTGTATGCAAACAAGGAATTGAAAGTGGGCAACGACATTTTAATGGATCTGTCGGGCTTTGGATGGGGTGATGGCTTTTCTGGGGTTTTTCCATCAGGTAGGTGAAGCAACAACTGTTGATTGTTGGCACGTTTGGCTTGTGTTTGTTCCGGCGCGGTATGTTCTACACACAGAACCGCATAACCACAAGCCAACAACCTCATTAGGTTACTTTGTAAGCTTTTTAGACTTGGCTCAATACAGAATCAGAATTAAAGCCTTCGGTTTTCTTGTTTTTTAATTACAGAGAATACCCGTGCGACCATTATACATCCGTGATAACCGTGACCCTGCTGATGACGGGGTGTCCCCGAGTAGAGGTGCATGCAACGGCTTTGCAACTGTTGCAGATCCTGGACAAGCGATTCTTTGGCAGCGTGGTTGGCACACTTCACAGCGACAACGAGAAAGGTATGAGTTTTTCCTACTGACACGACAACTAACCTGGGGTGATGGCAATAAAATGAAAATTAAGTGACAAGGAGATATTTTCAGTGGAATGGGTAGACTCTCCATGCCAGGGACTCTTATACCAGTTATGTAATAGCTTGGAGAGCAGTTTCCTGTGCTAGGATTTATAGATCTAGGAAAAAATACCTTGTTAGTTGTTTAAATGGAATTTCGATTCCTATTTTGTAAACTATAAATGGTTAATCAGACCACTGCTTGCACAGATTGCACAGAAAACGTTAAGGAAAACATTCGCAAATATAATTTTTAAAGATTTAACAACCTACCTTCTAAAGAAAATATAATAAAATTTTGCCTAAGTGCCTAATCGCTATTGTTCTTAAAATCTCTCATATCCTGAGATACTTATAAAAGAACGAAAATATGCTTGCACCCACTCCATTAAGGAAAATTCTTTCCTCACCTCTCGGCATGAATTCTCCGAGGTGAAACCACTTTCATTCGCTAAATTTCCCAATGTGGCAAGTGTTGTTTATTCTCCAGCTTTGTTGCTGCTGCTTGAACTTTGCATTTTAATTTCATATATGTATGTAAGTACCATCCTGTTATGGTTGTACTTTGGGTGTGGCTATAGAGTTTTTATTGGATTACATAAGAAGCTTTAACAAGCTTTGTATGCCCGAATATCTCGCATATTCGATGTTTTTCGATTGTTGTGTTTGTTTGCTTATATTTAATGTTGGAAAATTGGAAATCTGCCTGTCTGTGTTTTCCTTTTTAATACTATATAGATACTCTTGGCTAATCTTCGAAGGTATTTTTATGCAAAATGAAATCTGTAATATTGTTGCGTACTTCCGAGAAGGTCTTTGGCAGGCGGCTACTCTACTATCTTCGTAATTAGCTCAATTTCAATGCTTGCACTTGAACTTTTTCGTTTACCTTTTGCAATTTCAAGCTTAAAAGAACTTCATGCTGTTTACCCAAAAATGTTGACCTTTTTTCGGCCCTCAGCACTAAGCCGATGAAGCTTGGGTGGCCTTTTGTCCAGGATGCTGCAATATAAGCTTAGCGTTCTGTAAAGTTAAAAAGATAATAATAAATCCATGACATTGGGTCATCAGCAATGAATGAGATTTGCTGAGCTCTGGATGTATCCTTTATTGCGTACATTCACTTGGTTTAACATCCCAAATTGTGGTATTTAATAAGCTGTATTCCGCAATTTAAAGTTGATTTAACCAAATTACCTTATCAGGTTAAGTCAATTGGAAAATGTTTTAAATACTTGTTGTTGTGGGTCGCAATTGGGAATCCAATCAAAACTCACTCTGGGCGGCTTTTCATTTAACGAAATTAACATTTATTACATGAATACATTTTCGTGTCGGTTGGTTAGACTGTAATAAGTTTTTTATTAATTTAATCTATTGGGTTTTACGTTTGACGTTTTCAAATTCTGTGGTTCGATTTTCAATTAGGTTAGCGTGCGGATTTTAATTGGTTTGAGGTTTATTTAACAGCTGTTTGAATATGCGTACAACTTTCGGAAGCAAATCAAAATCGAATTAATACATTACTATATGGTTAGTTAAACACCTAAATAAATATTTTTCTGTGTATACAATACATTCCTTCTTTTGATTTCAGTTTTTTTTTTCGAATTTCATTTTGCTCGGCCTTCGCAAGCAAATGAATTCCGCTTTTATTTCTCAATTCTGTGAACTAATGTTTACTTTTTTTGTCCTTTGTCCTCTTATATTATGTTTGCTGAAATCTAATTAAAAACGAAATTCCTGCTTATCCCGCGGCGTATTTCGCGAATTCACATCTTTCAATGGCCTTTGGGGCCGCTAAGTTCTTTTTTTCCTGTTCACTTGAGTGGATGCAACTCATGCATTTCGTTCCAGCAATGTTGCGTCATCATCCGGCGTCGCGTGGATGTGCCAGTATTACGACAATATTCCGAAACTAAAAAGAAAAACCAAACAAAGTTAGGTTAACGTGTGAAAATGTATGGAAAATTCTGCGGAAAATTAGGTTTGCAAACATGTGCATGTTAATATAATCTAGCTTTGAGGCCTTTGAATTGCCATGGCGAATAGTCATTAAGTTGACTCTTAGATATATGTAATGCGAAAGGTAACTAATGAAACATAATCACAAACTTCAAGGCTTCTCTAAGTTCCGTGTTAAGAAAGAATATTTATAATTATGGTTAATTGGCTTTTTGCCAATTTTATCCTTCAAGATTTTTCATTAAACTTGACTCTATAAATACATCTGTTGTTATTCCTAGACATTCTATTTTAATAAAAGGAATTACAAAATCCTAATGGGATAAAGTGCCTGAAAACAACAAATCTGAAGTCAAAAATAAATAGCCATCACTTTACTAGACCAATGCTTTTTTTGGCAATCATGCTGACAAAATAGCCCATTTATTGTTTTAATTCTTATTTGTTTATGCTTATTAAACTCATTTCGAAGCACTCTGGATGTTCTTTTATTTACCTGGAAATGTCAAAGCTGCGATTTACTTTGTCACTCGTAGTCAGTAGTCAGTATGAAAATCCCAGCAGGGCGCAAAAAAGTATACTATAAATTCGGTACTTTGGGGTTTTCAATGGCTGTGCAACTGGCTTTTGGGCTTATTTGTGGCCCAATTTATTGGTGTACCGTTAGAAGCAAATGTAAGAACTCGAATACTGAACAAATCGGATTTAAAGCCACCCAAAAACCCAACGAGTCGTCAGCATTTATTGGGTTTTTGTTAGCTAATTTAACAGAGTACAACAGCAGGATATTCATTTTGTTTGGTTTCATATTTTTCTCTCTCTCAAAATATTGTGTTTCATGGAAATCTGAGCTAATCAATCATTCGTGTTCAAAAGCACACAAAGCCAGAACGAAAGTGCCAATAAATTGAGACCAGCGGCCTTTTCCAATAAACACAATGTTTGCCTGTCGTGTTTGCATTTGTACTCTTATGATCTTTGTACTGGGTAATTATGGTTATTCTTCAAACTCAATTTTCGGAACTCATTCAGATTCACCTCAAAAATTTAACTTTTATTCATCAGCCTGACTTTCGACACACTTTGTTTCGTTTTAATTATTTTAAATGTCTCTCCGGCAAGTCAACAAAAGAAGATGTATAAATAGCATTTCGCCACTTCAGTTGTTCGAGTAAGATTCCACCCACCGCTCCTTGGCTTTTCCAGCAAAATTTTTGTTGATTGCCATGTGTGGATATTTGTGGCCTGGCAAGATTAATGATGACGTTCTTCGACTGTCCTTGAGGCGTGCTTGATGCTTCCTCCGCTTTTGTGTGGAGCTTTTTTTTATTTGTATTTTCTTGCTTTTACAGTAAGTTATTAAATAAATTATACAGTCAAGCACAAAGGAACAGACTTCTCGCGTCATCCCCAAGTCTTCCTTAGCGCCATTTTCCAACGGAAGCCATCGAAATCTAAAGTGAATTATTGTGTTGAATCTCTGTCAATGAATAGCATAGCTATCTGAATGGCTTGCCTAAATTTGTAAGTTTGCTTATATTTTAAGGCCTTCGCATCTATAAAGCTGCAGCTATTGCCCAGCCACTTGATATTCCTAGCACAATCATTTCCTGGCCAAACTCATGATTCATTTGAGAGATAAATCGTTATAAGTGAGTCCATTAAACACGATGCTTACTACAGTGAAAGGTCAAGTTTAGATAATAGTCGTTAGTTTTTCTAGCAAAATATATTTGGATAATTGTACTTCAAACAGCGGTTTCCTCTTTAAGAATGTAGAGCGTTATGCATCATAGAAATTAAATTGTCTACCCGCTAACCAATCCTCAAATCTGAATCCAAACTGGGCAATAGCAGAAACCTTTCTTGAATAGGAAATGTTAGCGAATGACACTGTGTTCTCCAGAGAGAAGCACTGATTGACTCGCCAAGGAAGTGGCCGCAGGGTACAGAGCCTGGCTCCAACCAAGAGGCATCCTGAGGGCTGCGTGACTGGATGGGTGGTTGGTTGGTAATTTATGGCCAATAAGCAACACCGTAATGAGGCAGCGGGCGAATCCCGAGGGGCGCGTCAATTGCCAGTGCATTCAGCACACGTACCACGTTGCGTATGAGTAATGCCGCGTGAAAAAAGGAAAATGTATTTTCCAAAACTAAAACCTTCGCACTTTCCGCAGGCCGTGATTAGGCGCGGATTGGTGGGAAATCCAAAGTGCGAACGTAACGCTTTTCTCATTAACATCCCTTGTTTGACTTTCGGATTATCCTGGCTGGTTTTCCAATCCATCGAGAAAGTATTATGAAAATTGAAGTTGTGGAATTTTTTCGTATTCTTTGGTTGGTTAGTGAATGAAGAGAGAGATTGATAATTGAAACAGTGAAAGATGGTACTCGACCTTCTTAGTAAGGTAAGTAAGGAGCTAGCTGGAGGCTATTGTCTCTGAGAAAAAAGCCAGGAAGTGCAAACAACAAATAGTAATAATTTTTGTAAATCTCTTCCATTGCGACTGTGTTGAGTGTAATTTCAATTGCTGGAAATGTTAAAGTCCTTCCTCTCGTGTTTTCCCTTACCAGGCACGCAAACAAAACAAGGACACCTCGGGTATTTGCATGGTGTCAATATTTGCATGGAGCAAACTCCTTCATCCCGTTTGATCCTTTTTGGCTGGCAGCTTCTACCAAGGAATCCTTGACGTCAGCTAAAGCTTTCGCGTTGTTCCTTTTACATTTCCCTCCAATTTTTATTTTAATTTACATTTGAATTTTTTTTTTTTTATTTTTTGCTCTGACATGTTGATGGGATTTTCGTGGCGTAGTTCTTCAAGCGGGCTTAAACTTTTTTCAGTTACTCTATTTCCCGCTTTTAACGAATTGGCAAACACTTTTAATGAACAAGTGGAAAACCATACTGTAAAATAAATATGCTCCTTGACATTTTTATGGCTTCCAATATGCCACCAGAGAGCCGAAGAAAAATAGCTGTTCAAAAATGCTCTTGGCTTTAGTAAGAAATTAAAAATTTATGCGCCCCAAAGGTATGCCGGAAAATCGTAAAACTAAATTTTACGGCAGGTGAATGATGGTTGACCGAGAGGAGGGAGATCCTTGCTGTCTGCTCTTGGACCCAGTGGAAAACCCAACTGAAGTCATAAAAGAATGAATTTGAATTTATATTGAATCCATATCAAGCCGAACTACATTCTTGGCAAAGTTAGCATCATTCAAAATTAATAGCTATTGTAAACTAATATTCATGAATAATATGCAAAGTTGATTTGATTAAATCGAAGGTGAATTTTGAGTAAACAGATTTGTCCTAGTCTAACTTAATTTGTACATAAACATATTAAATAGTAGCCTTAAGCTTGTTAACCAGAAAACATCTGCTGGGTGATGGTTTCGTTGAATGGACGAAGAACTTCGAAGAAAACCCTGAAGCGTAATGGGAAATCATTTAACACTCGATTAGCATTTGCCCCAGTTTACTCTCGTGTCCTTGGCTGCAAAATTGCATACTCCGATTGCCTTTGCCTCCTATTCAAAACCAAAGTGAGCAACTAAAGTACGATTTGCATTCATAACATCGAGTTGACCAAGGACTGGCCTGCAATGGCTTTGTTATTTAATTAGCATTCTTTTATTTGAAATCAGTAAAGGGAAAAGGGTTTTAGTCAACTATTTCGTTACTTGGCTACCTGAAATTCATATATAAATTAAAATCATAGCTGAAATCATTTTTAAAAGTACATTTTTTTCCCTGTGCATCTAATAAACCTTTTCCATTCCCGATTAGCGCTTACATCCGGCTTCACTTGGCCCACCCGCTGGTTTTCCCTCCGGTGACATTGCTCACCGCTTTTCATTAACAGAAAACGCGGCGTTAGATGCTGATTTGTTTGTCTCCACTGTCAGAGCGTTTATAGGAAAAGTTTTTCCCTCTTCTCTTGACCAACAGCAAAAGAAACAAAACAACAATTAGTGTTCCGGCTTCTGGCAGAGGGAAAATTGCAGTGCCTGGGCAGGGATTTAATTCCCAAGTAGAAAGTTGAGTGGTCGCTTTAATCCTTACAAATCTCTGCTACAGACATCTGTTTCTGTCGGTTTGTGTTGAGTTTATCTAGGTTTTTGTTCAGCCTGAAGAGTCAGCCGGAAAATTCAAGTGTAAAAAAATGTTTATTCTGCATTTGCATAACGGAGTCTCAAAGCTTCTCTAATCAGCAAGGTGTCCATTCTAATCGAGCCATCATCTCTTCAAACAAACTGAGCTCTCTTTTGGAGAATTATTACAAAATTTATGGTGAATTAGCATAGAAATTTTGTGAAGTGTAAATGTCAAGTGCAGCAATATAAACCGCAGCTGGGTTGGCATTTTGTACACGATTTAACCAGCTTTAACTATGCGCTAAAGTTTATTTAAGACCAGTCCAGTCTTGCCTTTTGTGTTAGTTGAAGTTGCAGAGTTTTTTCTGTAATCTTCTGGCAGAAAATTTGTTCTTTATCTGAAGGAAAAAGTTTCCTTTCCCCTTATTTTTATTGAAAATTTAAAACCAACTCATGCTTGGCCAATTTGATGAAACTAAATCGAAATTTAATGGTTTTGTTTATTTGATCTCATTTGAAATTTTAATCTCAACTAAGTCTTAAATAATTGGCCACTAAACTCTTTTGTCTCGATTTATTTAAAGTGTTTAAATAGAGTTTTACGTTTCTTATAAAGGATTAAGTTGAATAGCAGATTAGATTCTGCTTTCTCTGAAAATATTTAAAAATATTTTTAGAGATTAAATAATTTTGAAACTCATCCTATTCACAAAGTTTATGATTATTAAATATGTCAAGCAGCTTTTCCAAGACAACAAATTACATTTTCAAGCTTTTTGAGCACATAAAATCGCATTTGTCATATGAAAATTTCTTATTTCTTATTCGGCTTTTGAATGCATGATGTGCCTTTATTATTGGAGAAAAAACCCCTCAAACTCACCCGTGACTTGGGTGTTTCCCGCCTCTCGTTGAGCGGATGAAACCCTCCGGAAAATGCTCAATACGGCCTTGCTGTGAATTCGAGAGAAAAGAAATCAGATTTTAATGGTTGAAGTAATGTATTTAAATGTTGATAAAAGTCAGTCATATATAAACATGCGTTATTGGGCTAATTTGCGGAAGATTACTTACCGGAAATTCTGTCCGCTGACGCAGTAAAGCACAAAATTGATGCCAAAATTTGTGATGAAGAAAGCGTGAAAAATATATTGCAAGGCAATTGTTGAGTTCTCGTTTCTGGCCGACTCCGTCTGCAAATGAGCAAATAACAATAATAAAAAAATACGGAAATAACATTAAAACGAATTTTGTCTACCAATTAGGAAATTCTTCGTTGCTGTGGAAACTCTTAATACTAACAGCTTGCCCTTAGACCTTTGAGATCCTTAATAGGGATATCGATACTATTGTTGCAATATCTTACATAACTCGTTAATGGCAAAATCAACTTTTAGGGTTAAATACATGTGTAACGTGGCACGTGTCGTTTTGGTTGTTGACCTGTTGATTTTGAAAGAAGGCGAAAAAAAGGAATAATAATTCAGCCTTCTTTTTCCACTCAATTAATTTTGTGTCGCAATCAATTTTTGATTTCACCGCATTTCTAAGTTGACATGTGAATTTGGGTGTAAAACTCAATTTTTATGCCCTAACTTTATGGTTATATAAAATAAGAGTTAGTATTTGATAAAGGCATTAAAAGAAGGATGAGTTTTAAGTAAGTCAAGTAAGTGAAAAGAACAAAAATGTTTCTATACGAATTATTAAATATCAAAAATATTTCTTTTCATATTTTGTTTCCGAAACTCTTTAGTCGGTGTTTTCTTTGGCTTCTATAAAATCTATGAAATTATATGCCAGCCTCTGACGATTCGTTTTGCATACGAAAAATAAACGTCAAATCCCCTGTAATTTATAATGCCAGGACTTTGTCGAAAGCTTTGAAATTATAGAAAACCAAATTGCAAAATCAAAAACGAAATAGTAATCTACAGTCGACAGCCGCATTATTGAAAGCAAACTGAAAAGTGCTTGTGGATAAATGTAAAATTTAATTAACATATTTGCATTCCGAAAGGGCTTAAGTTGTTCATCCTGAAAGTTCATGTCATTTTCAGATTACAACTTAATTAACTGTCATTAAATTTAATTTGCAATCAGTAAAATCATTATCCCTCGAAGGAATGTTATTTTGCGATAATCATGAGTATGATATACGTTGCATTCAGCACCTGCACCTGGTGTATTTATTGTAACACGAAACTGATTTTATTTTTACGACTTGCCTCCAAAGTGCACAAACTAATTAAAGCCTAATTAACACCTATGTGCGTCTTTCACCATGGAAACCCCAGTCTGTGTTCACATTGGCGAGCACATTAAAATGTTTTGCCTTTTGATGTTTGTAATTCTTGGGTTTAACACGAAAGTTCAGCTAAGTGGGTGAAAATGCAAGGGATTTAAATTGGAAACAGAAAGTGGGCCACAAAAGCAAAAACATATGGTTTAGTTTATGTTGTCATGACAACTTTATGGGCCTTGTTTTGGCCAGTTCGGATATGATATGGCCAGGGTCAGATATTGAGCTGAACTTTACCGCCCTCTCTCGTATTTGTGGGCAGATAATTAGTAGCTAGCAGCTGACGACCAAGTTATAGGAGTACTTATTCTCTATTGTTTTGGCAGAGGCATTAGGAAAACCTGCACTGACAAAAGGGCACTATAAAAATCTATTGGTTTGAATATAAAAATAATTGAAGGCGTTGAAGTTTCTCTTTCTGACATAAATAAGTAAAAATAATCATTCCTATTTATTTTAAATCTCTTTAACTTAACCTCATATTTTTTCGGTGTACATATCCTCATGTTTACTCTTACTCCAACGCACTAAATTTAGAAGCTGGCCAACGGCTGCTGATATAATTAGTTGCTTCAAGCCAAAGTAGAATCCCATCATTGTCGTGGCATAACAATGTGTACTGTCTTTGTGCCACGGCTCATAATAGAAGAGGCTTCAACTTGACTGATTGGCTGAGAAGAGCGGTCATTATGCTTGCATCACTTACCTCCCAATAAGCCTCGATGCGTAGCAGGCAGCTGGGCAAATTCAAGCAGACAAAAACCGTTGAGACAATTAGCAGCATTTTGGTAACCTTGATCTGCGATGAGTTTTGTACCTTACGACGAGCTAAAAGGGGAAAAAAAAAGATAATACAACAACCAGCAAAGCAGTTAAACAGGAACACACTTTCCACCTTCCCGCAGACTTCTTAATTAGTTGGAAATTATACGTAATAGTTGGGAAATTGTTTGAAAATTTGTCAATGTCGCAAACTTGGCAAAAGCCTGCAGATGTCAGAAAGTTTTTCATACATTTTTCCCTACTGCTTTCATCATCATCTTTTGTTTTGTCATTTTTAATGTCAGACGCCGTTGCAAAATGGCTGCAAACAAATTCACAAAATCGCAAGTAAACTTAAATGGCTTAAGAAAAAGTTGTAGCCTCTTGCCAAGTTTCTAGCAAATGTCAGCAGAACGAACGAGGAGTTCCTTAGTGAGAATGTCAGGTAACCGAAGCAGTGACATTTTCCGAATGAAAAGCAATGCCAGGTGCTTAGGATCTCTCACCTGGTTTCTGTGTAATCTCGCAATGGTGTTGGCAATTGTTTATTTGATGCTGCTGCTGTTGCTGCTGCTGCGGTTGTGACTGTTGTTGTTCCTGCTCATCCGGCTGCCTGATGGCTACATTATGCTGTCCGCTTGGATGCGTTCCCGTTGACTTCTGCCGTTTCAGGGATGTCGAAATGCGATACGAGGTCACTGCAGACGTTCCTCCGGATGAGTTAGACGAGTTCGATGGCATGCTGTTCGTTTGGGGTTTCCTGGTTAACGAAAGGGAACATCAAAGTAGAAAAGATGAAGTAACATACTTGATATGCGGCTTCTACTAAGTCTACTGCTAGTGCATGAAAAACATGGCAGACATTCAAATACTAAGTTCTTTCATGAACCCTTTGAATATCTTCAAGTAAATGTCTCAGAAAACCAGATGCAAATTAGTTAGTAGACAGCCAAAACTACCTTAAAAGTAAACTTAACTTTCCTTATAGGTTTCTTCCATTATACAAATTGGATCTGCTTATTAAAATTTACGATTGAAATTAAAATGAATTTATAGATTGAAAAGAAACCCATTTGATGCGTCTGAAAGCGACTTCACGGCTACTTAAATTTACAAAGGATTCTCATTAAAATCCATACTTTACTGTCAAGTGTAATAATTGTAATGTAATCCGAAAACCACTGAGACCAAAAATGAAATGAAGATTTTCCCATGGACGTGTCATTTGGATTGCCGTAGTGGGTTTTCATGTCAAAGGTGAATGAGTCGGATAGCGATTAACCTGTGGTCTGGTACTCACATTTTGTGCATGGTCAGCGTGCGGCGAACGGTGGCAAATTTCCAAACCGTGCAACCTGTACAAGTATTTAGGACGGCGATGGTGGTGAAGGGCACCGCGTAGACGACAATCGAGTCCCAGTAGTTGAAGAGGGCCAGTTGTTCCTGCGAATAAGAGGGACGTGTTGTGTGTGTTTGGTTGTTTTATATTTTATTATCATTGCGCTCGTTGCAATTCAATTGATTTTTGTGGCTAAGCCAACGTGGCGTATACGCAAACAGTGTTATCAATTGAGTATACGCCCGGTAAACGTAATTTGACCTTGCAAAACCAACTAGCTTTAATCTTGTTTGGACAAAATTCAATTTGGTTGGGTTTTTGTCTAATACCGTTGCCAAAAACTCTTTGCCGAAAGTAATTAGATTCTAAACAAAATGGAGGAAAAAGTATTTTTAATCCATTTGCATGTCACGCAGAGCGCCTGGGAATTTAGTTGTCGACTACTCGTGTATGTTTCAAATTGAAATAAACTTCATTTTTCTAAAAAAAAATAAACTTAAAACCTCATTTCCCCTGATAATGCTTTCTATGGTTTAGCCAGACGAGCGGTAGAATCCTGTTTTAATTTGCATAATTCGCATGAAAAGGAAATTTAATGAAATTATTTCAAGCTGAACCGATAAGTTTACGCTCTCAACAACAACAGCTGACCTTCTCGGCTGTTATCCTTAATCTCGGCATACTTCTTGGCATTTTCTGCTCGGCCAAACTCTTTTCCCTCCCTAGGGGGGACTCTTTGAAGGGGTAAACTATTTTCACATCGTCTTGTGCATTTATTTTTCACTTTCCCCTTGGGCTAAGAGCTTTCAAGCATACAAATTCCTGGTTGCCTGCATATTTTCATGTCCGAAATGTTCAATCTGAAATGTTCCAGGACGCTCGAATTAATCTCACCAAACAGATGTGGGTGGCCGTTTGGCCTGGCTAATTTTTGGCCAAAAACAATCCCATTTGTTTCAATCACAATTAACCAAAAATAAGAGCATTATCATCCATTAAGAGCCATCCAACTGTATGCCCGTATTTCTCTAGTCAAACCATCTGGCCGTGTTAGAATTTAAGTTCAAATAATTTAAAGGACGAGTGTAATTCTGTAATTCCCCCTCTAGATATGCAATCATCATCAGTGGGTTTTGTCGTAATTTCTATCGGCTGCTTTCAATTTACATAATTTGAAGTGTCGGCTTTCATCAAAATGTGTATTACACAACCATTGAAATTATGTTAATCACCTACTGGCAAAATCAAAATTGTTCGTCAAGTAATTCAGTGCTCCAGACTGACTGACTATACAGATTCTGTGCCCAAAAATATTTCCGAAAATATATTTAAATAATTCGCCATCGGCGCACACTTTTCGCCCACATTGAATTAAGTGTTTTGATTACATTTTTGTTTATCAAATTTTTACCGCTCTTCCCCCTAGCCTAAGGGTTTTAGTGTTTTCCAAAATATAATTGTTATATAAATTGTATTATTATTACATATTTTATGCCAGCCTAAGACGTAAGCCGAATGTCTAATCTATTGATTGGACATTCTATTTGTCGACTGGCCACTTGAGTTTGGGCCTTCTGGCCAGTAAACACCTTGGGAGGCGCCCTGGAAAATCCCCCCAAATGGTCGTCATAACCGTAAAAGCTGACCTGCTTGACCAAACCATTCAATTTATTTGCTTTTTGCTATTTACTTTCTATGTCCCACCCAATTTTTTCATAGGTTTTTGGCGCCTGTGTGTGTGTCAAGTGGATCAAAGTGTAATAGCTCGTAAATTTTCAATCAACAGACGATGATGATGTCTGCCCTTTGATGCTTTTAATACACGAAATTGCCATGAAAGTATAATTAATTCTTCCGGAAATGTAATTCCTGTTCGTTGTTATCCTTTAAAAGGCACTAAAGAGTTTTCAGCTATTTTCGTATTATATGTATTAAATTAGGTTACGAGTAAGAAGGCTTTGACTAGTTTTACATTGATTTTTGGAAAATCATAAATGTTTCTTTATAGTCAAGGCAAAACTTATGCAACATAAAGGATTTTCCCCATGAAAAGATATAAACTTTGTACAAATCCAATTTAAATTCGAACCGAGAATAATGTTAGATTCTTAAAGTTTTGCAACTGCCAAGGGAAAATGCAAAGCCTCTGGCTAAATCTATTTCCATGCATATGCTATTTGTACTTTACTATTCCTTGGACACTTCCTGTTGCCACATACTGTTGCGAGTAGATTTTCATGAGCTTAGTCGATTTCAATTTGTCTTCACATCTGCTGCCTAGTTACATCAAAGGGAGTCTTCTTTATTGATGACTCCCGGCAATAATATCGAACTTAATTAATTATAAAGAAGATCTTAACATCTTGAATATCATTTCGTTAAAAGTCTTTGGCTGGGGTTTCATTTCCAGAGAATGCTAAATTTTAGTTAATACTTCTTCAGTAATTTGTCTATTCATTAAGAGTCTACTCTGCCAGTACTTGCGGAGCTTCGCGAGGAGCATCTGTTCTTGAGGGCGCCTGCTCCTGGCTCTCCTTCTACATGGCTATTACACAATGATTTGTTTCTTTCAATATGCCAACCGCCCAGTGCAAAATGTCTATTTACAGCTTAGAGCCGATGTCTGTTTCAAAATTTATGTGGTCTTCCCCCCTCGAAACGCGATGTCTGTTACCATTTCGCAATATTGTTCACCGCACGTTGCAGCTTCCATTCCCCCGCTAACCTCACTCTCCCCTTCTAAATCATTTGGCTTTCCGGCGCATGGCTGCCATCGGAATTCATGCATATTTTCCTGGCCGTCCGCCTTGTGCCATCTGTTGACTGGCACCGTTGTCGTGGTTCTCATCGCTCAAACGAAATTGTTGTCAAACGAAATTGTTGACAATTCACAGGTACACTTAGGAGAAAGTTGTAAAGTTTTTAAAATATCGAGAGGATATAGTTGAAGGTTTAATCAAGGATATTCCATTACAAAAGATAAATTCTTAGTTTTTTTTTAAACCTTTATAGAAGGATAAACTTTCTTTTTAAGAAACTAACTTTGTAAAGTAAAGCGTATCATCTTTCGTTTTTGAAAACCTCTTTTCATATTTTCCCTTAGTGTAAGCTCTGCTGATTGAAAGCGTTTTTCACCGTTTGAGTCTCGAAGAGCATCGTCCGCTCAACTCATCCATCATTCTACCAATCGAATCGAGAAATGCACGTAGGCGCGACACTTAACGCTTCATTGGGGCCAATTTGGCTAATAGGCTGGCTGACTGTGCCAGCTTTCCACAGCTGAGTTTCACATATTGGCTTAATTCACCTGGCATTCTGTTTGCATTGCATTGCGTCCGCCCGCACATAATGAAAAATTAGCATTGAATTTCAGGCCCAAAAAGCGTCTACCGCTGAGCAAAGGTAAACAGTTGAAAAAAGCAAGTGAAATTTGAGATTTATTGGAGGCAGGGAATTGGAATTGTCATCCTTGAGACGCACGGGACACACCCAGTCAGTCCACGTGCCTGGCGGTGGGTTCGATGATTTTTTTAGGGCCACTGTTTGTCCTGCGGTCGCAGAGTAAATATTTGCCCTGGCTTACGAGACGACAGGGTCCTTTTGTTTTTTAGTCATCACTGTTTACCCAAGGTTTGAAAAGTGTATGTCACCTTAAATTTTTGCTACGCAGTTAAGGGGCTATGGATTTCACAAATAATCAGAAAATCAATCAAGCGAAAGTAATCCTCAGGACTTATGTGTAAAAAATCCAAATTATTTAAAAAAAAAAATTATATTTTCCAATTACAATTTCCTATATACTTTCTCAACAAGAGCATTGGATTCTTCGACTTTCAAATGTTTTACATTTTCTTCCTTCTTAACTGGTTACCTTTGTTGCTATTTCTGGTTTTGTTTTGTCTTTTTTTTTGGGGCAATTTTTTGACCCATTCGTTACCCAATTTGTGGTGGCCTTTTCTCGTCTTAGCCAATAATTGCTTAATTTGCACGGTTAACCCACACAGCGGTTGGCTATCCGTCATTCGGGACCCAATTAATAGACTAATTGCTCTAGTTCTGGCCAAATTAGTGGCTGCTTCGTCTTTTGGACCGGCGCATGATCGGCATATCTTGGCGGTATTTATTGGGCTTAATTGACAGAGTGTCAGTATCAAGTCAAGCAAGAGTGACGAAGGATTCGGGAACTCAAGAGCTGTCAAGTCAAAGTTTACTTGGAAAAGCAGCTGTAAATGCCGGTGACAGATTCTTCATATCCTCGTGAGTTTCTTTTTTTCAACGCATCCCTTTTGAAAATTTCTCACCGAAACCATATGCTTTAAACATTTTTTTTTTTTTTTTTTTTTAATATTTGACAACAATGTTGCTGGCCATTTGGCAAGGCAAACATACAATGCCATTCAAATTCCAATAACAATACTAATGGCAGACAAAAATTCACAAATGCCAGCACTTCCACGTGTGGGTTACCTTTTGAAAAACCGAATCTAGGTGCGGGAACTGGTAAATACATTTTCGTTTTGTCGCCGGTTACCACTGGTAACCCAAATGAAAAACTCGAGGCACTAGAAAAATGCGTTTGATGAAGTTGGATTTTGATGTGTGAACGGGGATGAGACTGTTACGTATAGATGGAGGAACTCAAGTAGTTTGCCATTTAAGGCGAACACCTAAAACATTTTCTAAAATTCACTGAATAGTAGTGGTAATAAAGAATTTTCTCTGTTATTCATACCACCTTAGCCCACCTCTTGTTTGCGTATTTTCTGGTAAATGCCGAGAGTTTTCTCACAACTTGTTATTTCTAACTGCTGCTTTGTTGTATTTATATATTAATTTAAACACAATTTGCATAAAAGTTGCTTGGTAATTTAAAGGGAAATGTTTTAATTAAAATATTTTCAAACAGTTTAAAAACGAGGTATTTATTTGGTATGATTAGTGATTTGAATTGCTAATTTGAGATGTGGAATTATTTTAACGGCTATTATTTAATTGGTATTTCTTGTTATATTATTTATACATAGTTTGAGAGTCATTAAATATTTTGCAGATTTTTTGAATTTGTGTATCAACAAACAGATTTTCATTCATATTTCGATCATTTCATTCTAGAAAATATGTGCTTGAAAGCTCATTAAGAACAAAAAGTATTTGTTTACATTTTCCTTTGTTGCGCGATTTTAAAGTCCAATATAAATTTCGAAATGATTATTTTTGAGCATACTCACTTTGTATTCCGAGTTGAGATCGCAGATGGTTGCATTCAGTTTCGGCATAAATACCGGCTTGGCAATTAGTATATAGGGCAAACAGTGCAGACAGCCCACGAGAGTGAGGCAAAAGAGCACAATCTTGGCCCGGCGCACGGTGCACATGGTCTGGCGTTTCAGTGGATAAATGACTGCTATAAAACGCTCCACGGTGAAGGCCACCACAAACCAAACGGAGCAAAAGCTGGCCAAATAGCTGAAGAAGGTGAAGAACTGGCAGAAGTAGTTCCTATTGTAGATATCCACATTGAGAAAGTTCAGCCATTGGGCAAAGAGTCCAGCCAAGAAGCAGGTATCGCTGACGGCCAGAGCGGCCAGGTAAAAGCTTGAGGATAGCTTCCTTAACTTGGTTTTGAAGAAAACAAACACGGATAGGATATTTCCAATGCTGCCCGTGCAACAGAGTACGGGAATGTAGTATTGATGTACGAAATCCCCTATAAAGAAAGCTATCCTCAGCATCTCCTCATCCTCGTTAGCTGATTCATTCGTATCCATTTCTGTGGCATCCGTGACATTGGGTTCACCTATAGTCTGTCCAAATTCCGCTTCCGTAGTAGCTGATATGTTGCCACTAGTGCTGGCCGTATACTCCATATCCATGTTCGTACTGGCTATAGTCATTTATAATTGATTTTATTTCAAAAAACTTGCAACACACTTTAACTTTTAACTTTTGGTTTTACGCATCCATTGCTGCACTTTACTTTAACTTTTTTTGTCAAACACTATTTTAATTGATTTGGTTCAAAGGCCAGAATTAATTGCTCATCTTTGGGCAGATATTTGTCCATTTGAATGGAATGTTAAAAAGTCCCAAAACTATTTCATTCGGCACATGTCAGCCATCTAAAGTTTCGATTGGTTGGTGAATTTTTCACACGAATCCCCGTTTCCGCTTAACCAAATCTTAATTAAGAATTTTTTTTAAACTTCTTTGGAAAGTTTTTCTTTCGGCAAACTTATTGAAACTCCCGATTGCTGTTCACTTTGAGTTCATTATCGTCGAGATATATTTTTTGCCCACAATTCGTAATGATGTAAACAAAGAAGGAACGCCAGGTAAATTTAAAAACTTTTGCCACACATAAAAAGTTTTTTCCTCAAAACTTCTGAGAGTTCTTGTTTTCACAAAGCTCAATATATTTTTGCGGCATAGTTTTGTTTTTAATTTCGTTTTCTTTTTTCTTCTTTTCAAAAGCCAAAAAACTTCTGTAAGTGGAGGCAATATTTTTTCGATTAATTGCTAATTCCCGGAATAGAATTCGTTTGTTTACTGCAAGAGGTGCTAATACAATTGATTAAGAAAGAATAATTTTTGTTAACTTTCCCGCCGGTTTTCAAATGCTCTGCTGCTTAGCTTGTCGGCTGATTGAGTTTTTGATTTCTTGGCCAGTTCGTCCAACCATCAGGACAATGAGCGCGCAACTAAGCCGAGACAATGGACGTGGCAGCCTTTTAAACCACTTTCTATTGACTCTTGGAAGGCGCCAAGTGAAAGCTTTCACTCGGCCATTGCGCCGGCGCCGTTTCATTCATAAAATCAACAGGTGACAAGGTCAGGGTTGGCAGGAGCAGCAACAAGTGGTAGTTTTGCCCGTCAAGGGATTAGCCCAGCAGGATTCGCAGAAGGAGAACAACGACACTGGATTATAGACAATGGACCGCTAAACAGCCATGCTCTCGCGCGATATTGTGGCGGTCACATTGTCATTGGGCAGTAATGAAAACAATAACAAACCACCGCGCGCTTTTCCAGTTGTCGGAAAAGCTCTTTCCTATTTGGCATTGGAAAGGCCAACGCCATGGGCGAAGGTTACACTTTATTCACAGTCGCCTTTGGGCCTTGCTCGAGTTCAGTGCTAGTGAAATGTGTTCGGAGCTTGGGGCAGTGCACCCTGGTTGGGCCTTGAATATTGCGTAAAGTCGCAACGAGTAATTTTATTTAATTTTCTTTGTTTTCTTTTTTATTTCCAGAGGATGACAAGGTCGGCACCTTGGATGTCTTGCTTAGCAGTGCTTACTGCCGATCCCAGCGCTTCCTGTCCAAGCAATTGGCTCAGCTGCGACCCGAGCTTACCATGTCCATCTTTTCGGGTGAGTAACTTATTTCTTTACTCCCATATATAGTACGGATTTTATTGAAATGTATTTCCTTTTTTTTCCAATTTAAGAAATCACCCATCGCTTCCAAAGCGCCCGGGAGGATGTGCGAGCTCTGCTGCTGCAGTGCCTCCTGCCCTGGCTGCAGAACATGGAACTGGTGGCAACCAGTGTGCCGCCCGCCACCCCATTGTCCTACATTATGGTAAGCGATGCATGAAATAGCCTTCCATTTTATTTCGGAGATGGTGACGGATTAAAACCTTTGCTCGCTTCCGCAGTATTTTCCGGATTCGGGGACACGAGGTCGACGAGAGGGAACCGGTTCGACAGAGGCAACGGAAATGATTCTGAACAATCTTTTCTACATCACAGCCAAGGTATAGGGAATACACTCATCGCTGCACAGCGGAAGGATTTCCATCTTTAATCTTTAATTGTTTCCACTGCAGTTCTCGGATGCTCATCCCCGGGACATCGAAGAGTTGTGGGGCACACTCTGTCAGTTTTGGCCCAATAACCTGAAGGTTATCCTGCGCTACTTGGTTATCATGAGTGGCATGGCTCCCACTGAACTGCTGCCCTATGTAAGTGGTGGATTATTGTGGTTATCTGATGTAGTATAACGTCTTTCTGCGATTCCCTTTTAATTAGGCCAAGCGGGTGGCTCTTTATCTGGTAAGGAGCTGTCCGGATCGATTACTAGATGAGCTCATGGCTGAACTCCAGACTGTGGAGACGCTCAATTGTCTGATTGAGCGCACGGAAACGCCACCTTTTTATCGATTGACCAGCATGCGGAAGGCGTCCAGTCACAGTGCCGATGGTAGGTTGAATGTGAATTCATTAACAATTTTTTTTTAAAGATTTTATTAATTATTTTGTTACAGGGCAAGCTGTGGGTGGCATTAATGACTCCAGGATTCAGGACCTGGCTGTCGAAAAGGGAACCATTCACACGAAGCGGCATAGCGGCGAGGATCCTATTAAAATTGGGTAATTCCATCAGTTCACATCTGAAAAAGCTGTTATTACCTTTTCTATTCTACCCAAAGAACCTGCAAATCGGACAGCGGTATTCGAGCCTATACCCAAGCAGCAGCTGCTGCTGCCGCGGCTGCAGTTACTCCAGGATCGGGTGGCAATCGTCCTCCTCGTGGAGCCGATAAGATTCGGGCCGCCTCAGGACCTTCCGTACTGCCACGTCCAGAGGATATACTGATCAACGACCCGGAGCTAAGGCAGGAGGAAAATGTTGAGCTACGCGGAACATCGGATGGTCTGCCGAATGCCCATCCGCATCCACTGCCAATGCCTGAGTATGGAGGCTACTTTGCACCACTGACTGAGTTTTTACCCGATGTTAGTTTGCCGATCAGCGGATTCCACAGGTGAGTTTTTCTTTACCCTTTCTGTAAGAATAAACTTTCTTCAAATCCAATAATGTTGGGTCGCTAGCAGAAATCTTCCTTAAGAAGTCAATGAGTTGCAGTTTTCAAATCAATTTATTTAAGAGAACAGAGACTATGTAGAAGAAACCTTCACATTGCCATTCGCTGGTCCTCAAGAATTTAGTAGGAAATGCCAGTGTGGTCGCGGATCCATCCCAGGTAGTCGGAGACGCGGGTGTAGCCGGAGGGACCGTTGTGGCAGCCGACGGAGGCAAAGGTGATGACACCAACGAGACGAGCGTTGTCATGTGTGACCAGGGGGCCACCGGAGTCTCCGCCGCACACAGACTTTCCATCAGCATGGCGGGTGCACATGTCAGTACCGGCGACCGAGCCGTAGGCCTGCTCGCACTCGCTGTTGCTAATGATCTGGACGTCAGCGCACTGTAGCCAATCAGCCAGGTTTCCGTTGTCCATGCCACCCCATCCGCAGGCAACGCACCAGGTATCTTGGTAGCGATCGTTTTGCTCGTTCATGCTTGGCAGAGGAATCTTGTTGATCAGAGCATTGAAGTCCACATGGGGAGTGTGGATCAAACCGATGTCCGTGCCGCCCTGGGAAGGCCAGTCGGAGTGGCTGATGAAGTTGTCACGGCGGACAGTTTGCTTGAAGGCACCGTTCCATCCCCAGTTAGAACCGTAGTGAATCTCCACGTAGTCACCAGTCAGGCAATGAGCAGCGGTCAGGATCCAGTCGTTGGCGATGATAGAACCAGCACAAACAGCGCCACTGCTGCTTCCATCATTGCGAATGAAGAGACCCACAATGTAGGGAGCCTTGCCCTCCGGAGCTGGGTAGCCGTTGACGATGCGACCCTCGGGGCCGGTCGGAGAGCCGGCGACCAAGGCCGCGGCCACAGAGAGAGTTAGCAGAAACAGTTTCATGGCTGGGAATAAACTTAGTGTTATGGCCGTAGCGATCTGCTTTTATACTACTTTCCAGTTGATTATGATTGATAATCAATCAACGATCAACTCGTATCGCACAGCTACGTGCTAAAATCATTTAGGCTTTGTACTTTAAATCGCTGTCCCCCTTTCTAATCACTACTTGTAGAATTTGCATCTCAGAGGGGATTGGGCCACTTCACATCCTTATTATCGGTCTGAGTCAGAAATGCAAAATATATTGAGGGCCATGGGGCCTCATAAATCTATTCTACCTCTTGAGTCCTAGGTGTAGATAAGACGCAAGAGGTAGAACTCACTGTCAGCTCACTTAAATGATGTAGATAACTTTCCCTAAACAAAAAGCTAGCAACAACATATGAAAACAAGCCATATATATTACTTTATTTTGATTAAATATGTGAGTTATCTGGAGGTTAGGTATCTTATACTGTAAATATATTAATGGGTTTTTACCACTTAGTCTTATAATTATTAATTTATTTAATTAAGAAAGTGCTTCACTTTAAAGTGCAACAGGAAGTGCACTTCAGGGCGCGTGAATAATATTATAACAAATAAGAGTGTATATCGAAAACATTTGGAAAGTAGGTGTTCCTACAGTATTATAGGTTTTACAAAAGTGATAGGAAATAGTTAGTTTAAATAGTTACTTTGTATGTATAGCAAATAAATACATTTATTAAACGTCAATCAACATTAAGAAATATTTATACCTAAATAACTAGAGATTAATAGTCGTAAGTCTGAATTACTGTTTTAGGACTCGAGTAACTTGGCGTCCTCTTACCCAGAGATCGGCAGGTTACCTTCGCTTTAGACGTCTTTTGAACTCTTTGTACTTTCATGACGTTAGAGTCTAAAGCCATGCCCCATAAATGGATGCAGTACTACATGGAGGGCACCACAATTGATTAAAACATTAGCACTTTGATTGTGGGCTTCTTTAACGTCGAGAAAGATAGCATAGCATAGCATAGATATTGCTTATTCTCAAAGGCATTTAAAATTTGGTGCACATCTCGAAGGACTGGCTAGACGTCCCATGTTGATGCCTAAACCCAAACTGGTGGTCGAGAATGGCGACCTGAATGGTTCTTACTCCATAATTCCACTAAGAAATATTGTCTCGAATATTTTTATTTGTTTGCATGAACCGACAAGGTTGTCCGGTTTCCTTGCTTTTGGTATCATCGTTTTCATAGCACAATTCCATTAGGAGAGGAATACGTAAAATTGAGTTGAGGAGAACAAGGAACAGAAGTCTCTTTTTGAGGAAAGCCTTAGAAACCCTGCTATCAATGCACTAGATTCCCAGTACCTTTTTACTAGAGTGCAGCTTTTGGATGAAGGCTAACCTCATTTGAATTTATGTGCTGACTGCATATGAAGAAGGGCCCTGAGGAAGGCCAGTGTATCTGCGACATCCTCAGGGCTCGCGACGTTAAACGGCTCAAAGCGTTTTTCTAGCTCGTCAGCAAACGAAATCTTTGCTAGCCGCTTCTGTTCAAATGCAATCTTCAATCGCTCCAGTTGTTCACAGTAGAGGTCAGAATTGATGGTTTGGCCATAGGGCAACACTTCATAATGGATAATTCCTCTGATATCTCACCATACACTCAGCAACACCTTCTGAGCCGTCAGTCTTGGCTTTGCCACCGTTTGAGACGACTCACCGTGCTTCCACCAGGATCATTTACGCTTTATGTTGTCATATGTGATCCATTTTTCATCACCAGTGACTAACCGATCCAGAAATGAGTCGAGTTTATTACGGTGCAACAAAGATTTGCCGATTGATTCACGGCCAAAAATGTTTTTTTGGGATAACTCAGCTTTTTTGTTACATTTTTCGACTTTAAATGCCTATGGACGGTTTCCGTGCTTAGTTGCAACTCCTCTGCGATGGTTCTAATAGTCACATGACGATCTCGATCCACTATTTCCACGATTTTATCCGTATCAACGGTAACTGGTCGTCCGGAAGGCTTGGGTGTTTCGGTATCAATATTGCGACTTCGGAATCGCCTAAACCACTGTTCGGCGGTTTGAATCGAAAGGTTGTTATCTCGTAAGACAGCAATAATTTGTCTGCGAGATTCCGCAGCAGTTTTTCCCTCTGCGAAATAAAATTTCAAAATTGCCCGAATGTCTGCGTTTGTGAACTCCATTTTAATCGTTTGTAATTTTTTAAAGTGGAAGCTCATATAAATAAAATGTCATTTTAAAGGTGATGCCAATACCTTTTGAAACGATATACAGCATTACCAGATACGATTATATTTGACTTCACATATAATATTGATCAGTACCAATAGCGAAGTCGATTAAGCCACGCCCGTCTGTCTGTCAGTCTGTTAAGCAGGATTCTTGAGGTATTTACGCAGCGCAAGTTTATTTCAGCAACTTTCCACGCCCACAAACCGCGGAAAACTGTGGCGACCATAATATTATAGTGTATGTTTTCGTTTGACCTTGTTTAACATATTTTTGTCAATATCTATCGGTTTACCAAGATGTTTCAAATCTGAACATTTTTTCGCTATTTATGAAGAAATTTAAGTTATTAGGCCTCACATGGGCAGTGATCAGTTTCGAAACATGCTTAATCTGACAATAGGTGGCGCTTTGTTTACTTCAACTAACAAAATTAATATTTTAAAATTGTGTAAAACAGTAACGGGTGTCTTATAGTCGCGGCACTCGACTGTAGCGTTTCCTCTTGTGTTTTAACTAAAAAAAATGAACTAGAAGAAAAGAATGATAGAAATTTTGTGTTCCCTTTGGCCAGGCTTATATAGATTTCCGATCGATCAATCAGGGTAGCCGATTGCCAAAGAATAAGTTTACACCTTGGTTTAAAAATTGCATTTTGTTTATTATGAAAGGAAATGTTCCTCAGTTTTAGTAGGAGATACCGGTATGGTCGCGGATCCATTCCAGGTAGTCGGAGACGCGGGTGTAGCCGGAGGGACCGTTGTGGCAGCTGACGGAGGCAAAGGTGATGACACCAACAAGACGAGCGTTGTCGTGTGTGACCAGGGGGCCACCGGAGTCACCGCCGCACACAGACCTTCCATCGGCATGGCGGGTGCACATGTCAGTACCGGCGACCGAGCCGTAGGCCTGCTCGCACTCGCTGTTGCTAATGATTTGAACGTCGACGCACTGCAGCCAGTCAGCAAGGTTTCCGTCGTCCATACCACCCCATCCGCAAGCCACGCACCAAGTGTCTTGGTAGCGATCGTTTTGCTCGTTCATGCTTGGCAGAGGGATCTTGTTGATCAGTCCATTGAAGTCCACATGAGGAGTGCGGATCAAACCGATGTCCGTGCCGCCCTGGGAAGGCCAGCCGGAGTGGCTGATGAAGTTGTCACGGCGGACGGTTTGCTTGAAGGCACCGTTCCATCCCCAGTTAGAACCGTAGTGAATCTCCACGTAGTCACCAGTCAGGCAATGAGCAGCGGTCAAGATCCAGTCGTTTGCGATGATCGTACCAGCACCAACAGCGCCACTGCTGCTTCCATCATTGCGGATGAAGAGACCCACAATGTAGGGAGCCTTGCCCTCGGGAGCTGGGTAGCCGTTGACGATGCGGCCCTCGGGACCCTGGGACAACAGGCTAGTACGGTTAAGGCCGGTCGGGGAGCCGGCGACCAAGGCCGCGGCCACGGAGAGAGTTAACAGAAACAGTTTCATGGCTAGGAAGAAACTTACTTTTCTGGAAGTGGCGACCTGCTTTTATACCATTTCCAGGCTGATAATGACTGATAAAGCTTCTCTACTTACAATCTACAATCAAATCATATCGCACATATACGTGCAAAAACTGTTTAGGCCTTGTACTTGAAATCGCTTTTCCCCCTTCTAATCATTGCCTGTGGAATTAGCATCTCAGGGGGGATTGGGCCACTTCACGTCCCTGTTATCGGTCTGAGTCGGAAATGCAAAATATACTGGGGGCCATAGGGCCTCATAAATCTGTTATACCTCTTGAGTCCTAGGTGTAGATAAGACGCAAGTAGCTACTCAATAAATAAGAACCCACTGTCAGCTCACTTAAATGATGTAGATAACTTTCCCTAAACAAGATGCTAGCAACAACATATGAAAACAAGTCATATATTTCCCTTTATTTTGATTAAACGTGTCAGTATGTTAGGGTTTTATTAGTTATAGTATTATAAATACATTAATGGGTAACTGGGCCACAGCTATCTCGATTTTTCTTACCACTCTCAGTCTTATAATTATTAATTTATTTAATTAAGCAAGTACTTCACTTTAAGTGCAACAGGAATTGTACTTCAGGGCGCGTGCAGAAATCTTAAAGATATGGTACGAGTATGCATATTTTAATAAATACGAGTGTATCTCGAAAACATTTTGGAAAGTAGGTGTTTCGACAGTAGTATAGGTTCTACAGAAGTGATATGAAATGCCTTTTAAATAGTAACTTTGTATAACCTAGAAGAATTATGCAACCGACTCCGTTAATCATAAGTCGGCAAAAGTTGAAATAGCTGAACATTTTTTTGCTTTTCATTTGTGAAATATATATTTCTTCAACTAAAACTATTAATAATCTCACATTAACAGAAATTTTGTTTCCCCTTGGGCAGATTTATATCGATTTCCGGGCATACACACACATATATATATATATATATATTAATGCATCAATCTGTGTAGTTCCAATAGTTAAAGAATAAGTTTAAAAATATTGCATTTTGTTTATTAGGAAAAGAAATTTTCCTCAGTTTTAGTAGGAGACACCGGTATGGTCGCGAATCCATTCGAGGTAATCGGAGACGCGGGTGTAACCGGAGGGACCGCTGTGGCAGCCTGCGGATGAAAAGGTGATCACACCAACGAGACGAGCGTTGTCGTGTGTGACCAGGGGGCCACCGGAGTCACCGCCGCACACAGACCTTCCATCGGCATGGCGGGTGCACATGTCAGTACCGGCGACCGAGCCATAGGCCTGCTCGCACTCGCTGTTACTAATGATCTGGACGTCGATGCACTGCATCCAATCAGCCAAGTTTCCGTTGTCCATGCCACCCCATCCGCAGGCAACGCACCAGGTGTCTTGGTAACGTTCGTTTTGCTCGTTCATACTTGGCAGAGCGATCTTGTTGACCAGACCATTAAAGTCTACATGGGGAGTGCGGATCAGACCGATGTCCTTGCCGCCCTGGGCAGGCCAGTCGGGGTGACTGATGAAGTTTTCGCGGCGGACGTTTTGCCTGAAGGCACCATTCCAGGCCCAGTTGGAACCGTAGTGAATTTCCGCGTAGTCACCAGACAGGCAATGGGCAGCGGTCAGGATCCAGTCGCTGGCGATGATCGATCCACCACAAACAGAGCCGGTGTTGGTTCCATCGTTGCGGAGGAAAAGACCCACGAGGTAGGGAGCTTTGCCCTCGGGAGCTGGGTAGCCGTTGACGATGCGACCCTCTGGACCCTGAGACAACAAGCTAGTGCGGTTTAGACCGGTCGGGGAGCCGGCGACTAAGGCCGCGGCCACGGAGAGAGTTAACAGGAACAGTTTCATGACTAGGAAGAATCTTAGTGTTCTGGTGGTGGCGACCTTCTTTTATACTATTTGCAAGCCGATATTAATTGATAAGGATAAATCACAAATCTTTATATGTCTTGAGCATTAGGTGTAGATAAGATAGAAGTAGCTGCTCTATAAATAAGTACCCACTGTAAAACCATTTAAGTGATAGGAGGTACTTTCCCCTAAATAAGAAGCCACCTAAAACAAATTAAATTTATAAGTCTGCGAAGCCAACAGTTGAAGAAAAGTTGAAACTTTGTTTAAAAATGATGCTTTTTATTTAGTAAGAAAAGGAATATATTCCTCAGTTTTAGTAAGAGATACCAGTATGGTCGCGGATCCATTCCAGGTAGTCGGAGACGCGGGTGTAGCCAGAGGGACCGTTGTGGCAAGTAACAGACCCGAAGGTGATCACTCCTACCAGACGGGGGTTGTCAAGGGTAACCAGGGGACCACCAGAGTCGCCACCACAAGAAGATTTGCCATCGGTCATCCGGGTGCACATGTCAGTGCTGGCCACCGTGCCATAGGCCTGCTCGCACTCGCTGTTGCTAATGATCTGGACGTCGATGCACTGCAGCCAATCAGCCAGGTTTCCGTTGTCCATGCCACCCCATCCGCAGGCAACGCACCAGGTATCTTGGTAGCGATCGTTTTGCTCGTTCATGCTTGGCAGAGGGATCTTGTTGATCAGAGCATTGAAGTCCACATGAGGAGTTCGGATCAGTCCGATGTCACGACCGCCCTGGGCGGGCCAGTCGGGGTGGCTGATGAAGTTATCGCGACGCACTGTTTGCCTGAAGGCACCGTTCCAGCCCAAGTTGGATCCGTAGTGGATTTCCACATAATCTGTGGTCAAGCAATGTGCGGCGGTCAAGATCCAGTCGTTAGCGATAATGGTACCAGCTCCAACAGCTAAGCCGTTGCTGCCATCGGTTCCGATGAGCAGACCCACAATATAGGGGGCCTTTCCTTCGGAAGCTGGGTAGCCGTTGACAATGCGACCTTCAGGACCCTCAGACAGAGTTACCTGGGGCAGAAGGTTGGTGCGGTTAAGACCAGTCGGGGAGCCGGCCACCAGGGCTAAAGCCACGGAGAGAGTTAGCAGGAATAGTTTCATGGCTCTGAAGTTACTGAGCCTCCTTGCCGAGCCGATTTGCTTTTAAGCGTTTTGGGAGCCCATTGATTAGAAATCTGTTTACACTTGGGAAGGAAACCTTATCGCTATCACGTCAAGCCTTTTACGAAAGTATTGACAACTCTCATTTTGATATAAATGAATTCATATTAATGCCATAAACACGGAGACTTTTCATGTCAAGAGCCAATATAAATAAGTGTGGTACTAACTAATGAAATTTTTAATTAAAGAACCTCGGTCCCAATAAAAGTTCGTTTGTTTGCAGCTTATTGTGGGTATATATTTACATAAGTAGATGATTTAATATATTGATTAGTTTATCAGTAATCAATCAGTTGGTTCCCATTCAGCCATAGTCGATTTTCAAGTTAGTAGTAGGCGATTCCCGACTTCTCCCGGATCCAGTCTAAGTGATCGCTGACACGGGTATAGCCCGATGGTCCCGACTTGCAGCCGATGGAAGCGAAGGCGATCACACCTACTTGAATGGGATTGTCGTGTGTGACCAATGCACCGCCAGAATCGCCGCCGCATACCGACTTTCCATCGGAGGCACGGGTGCACATATCCGTGTCGGCTACGGAACCATATGACCTGGCGCATTCGCTGTTGCTGATGACCTGCACGTCCATGCACTGCAGCCAGTTGGCCAGGTTGCCATTGGCCATTCCTCCCCAGCCGCAGGCAACGCACCACCAGTTCTCGAAACGTTCTCTTTGCTGGCTAAACTTGGGCAGCGCGACCTTGTTGATTAGGTTAGTAAAACCAACGTAAGGGGTGCGAATTAGTCCGATGTCATGACCAGCGGTGCTTGGATACCCGGGGTGCCGGAAGAAGTTATCCTTGTTTACCGTATGCTGAATCTGACCATTCCAGGCCCGATTCGATCCATAGTGGATAGTCACTGAGTCGGTGGTCAAACAGTGAGCAGCGGTTAGAACCCAAGTGTTGCCCACTACGGAGCCTCCACCCACGGCTCCATTGTTCATACGGAGACCCACGGCATACGGTGCTTTGCCTTCGTAGGCTGGATACCCGTTAACAATTATGTCCTTGAGCTTGTCGACATGAGTTCGATTCCCATGTTTATGGGCACAGGCTGTGGCCACAAGAAAACTCAACAGCAAAAGCTTCATGGTCAGAATGGATATTGAATGTAATTCGCGGTGATCCCCAGTTTTTATAGTCAAATTGCTTACTACAGTAATTAGTCGTTCAGGTTTGGATAATTATCAGACTTTAGGAAACTTAATGGGTGTCGCTATTAGCAAGTATTCTTTCGTGTTTTTTTTCTGGGTTAGTAATTAAGCAGAGAAGAGGCGCTTTTATTTATTTTTAACACCTTAAAGGACAGATTTCTAAACCTATTTCACTTACAACTTTTTTACATTTAATTTTTATTATTTAAGATGGTAAATTTTCTAGTTCTTAGTAAGCGATTCCAGACTTTTCGCGGATCCAATCCAAATGATCAGAGACGCGAGTATAGCCGGATGGCAGTGCTTTGCAGCCTTTGGAAGCGAAGACTATCACACCCACTTGAATAGGGTTGTCGTGTGTGACTAGGGCCCCGCCAGAGTCGCCTCCGCACGCAGACTTCGAATCAGTCGAGCGGGTGCACATATTTGTGTCGGCTACGGAACCATATGTCCTGGCGCATTCGCCATTGCTTATGATCTGCACGTCCATGCACTGCAGCCAGTCGGCGAGCTTGCCATTGGCCATTCCTCCCCAGCCGCAGGCAACGGACCACCAGTTCTCGAAACGCTCACCTTGCTGGCTGAGCTTGGGCAGGGGAATCTTATTGATCAGATTGGTGAAGCTTACGTACGGGGTGCGTATCAGGCCGATATCATGGCCAGCACTGTTTGGAAACCCAGGGTGACGGAAGAAGCTATCCTTGTTCACAGTATGCTGGATCTGACCATTCCAGGCCCGATTTGAGCCGTAATGGATGGTCACTGAGTCGGTGGTCAAACAGTGGGCAGCGGTAAGGACCCAAGTGTTGCCAATTATGGAACCAGCGCCAACGGCTCCATTGTTCATACGGAGACCCACGGCGTACGGGGCTTTGCCTTCGTAGGCCGGGTAACCATTCGTTATTTTCGCCTGGATCTCCTTTGTCAGGACTCGATTCCTTTGAGCACAGGTCGTTGCCAAGAAAAGGAGCAACAATGCAAGCTTTGTGGTCATGTTGGAAATATTATCTATATCGCCTTGGTTTTCCGTTTTATAGGAGAAATTCTGTCTTATCGGGTTTATTGCTGGGGGTAATAAAAATCGCAACTCTGAAGAATTATCATTGTTACAAACATTTAATGAGTGTGATTATTGCCTAAGTTAATATTGAAAAGAAATAAAGCGAATAAATATTGAGTCATAGAGGGGAGCAGCAGAATGAATTATTCTCCTAATGGGACTGAGAAATATAGCAAGCAGGATACTTTATCTAAGTTAACGTATAAAGATACCTAATACCCTTTATACCTAATATCATTTACTGCAGATGCAATGTGGCCGTGATGCTCCTTACGGACATTGTAGTAGACGGCATTCCGGGCATCGACTGGACCCTGCACTTACCACTGATGCTGCACATCCTATTCCTTGGACTGGATCACACACGCATCATTGTGCGGGAACATTGCAAACAGCTGTGCGTCAATCTGCTGATTGTGCTGGCGGAACACAACGACCACCTAACGGTTGCCCGAATCCTGCTGAACAGCGAGACCAGCAAGCTGGATCTAGGACTAACAGTTCCTGCTCTGCCCGTAATCGATAATAATTTTACTGAGCTGCATCAGCAATTTGATAGTTATCTACTGCACGTCAGTCCCCAGGCAGCCGCCTATGCTCTGCAGCACAACCTCTCCAGTTCCACGATCATAGCGGCGCATCAGCAGAATTTGTCACAAACGCCGCAAAATCAGCAACAAGCGGGGTCCCAGACAGGACAGAATACGACGCCCCCTGGCTTGACAGCAACTCCGGCTGCCCTGCAAATAAATCCAAATAACTCGGAGAATTCTGAGGTGCCGCTCATCCACCCTGATGAGCATGCGCCTCCTCAGCCAGGTCCTAGTATGCCCATTGCCCATGTGATCAAGAGCTTGTTGAAGTTCCTCGCCCAGGATACGTGCCAGCCACTTTGGAACTATGAGGATATTACGGCCAAGGTGTGGGCCGTTAAATCGGCCGAGCAACTTAGTTGCTTTCTGAAGCACATGGTCAAGGTTTTCGCAGACAGTTATCCCCAAGCTCGCATAGCCGAGCGTTGGGCACAAACGGCTCTTCAGTTAGGATTATCCTGCTCATCCCGACATTATGCAGGCCGCTGTCTGCAGATCTTCCGAGCCTTGAATGTTCCCATCAATTCTAGGATGCTATCAGATATACTCTCCAGATTGGTGGAAACAGTAGCCGAGCAGGGTGAGGACATGCAGGGATATGTCACGGAACTGCTGCTTACTTTAGAAGCTGCTGTGGATAGCTTGGACTCGGACTTCCGACCCCTAGATGTGATGAAGGATATATTCAAGAGTACGCCGAATCTGAATAACAAGGATGGGGGACCCAACTCAATATTGCCTGGCAAGAAATCACCTTCGGGAATGACCCCACAATCCTCAAACTATTCTATACCCAGTCATGGGAGAAGCACGAGCTACTCGGTGTCTTACTGTGGCCGCAAGGCCAACAATTCACCTTGTGACAAGCAGGTTGAGCTGAGAAACCGATCCTCGGGAATCGATCTGGAGCGAAGTGCCGTCTCTAAGTTCGGTGTCGGCGGTGGTGGAGTGGGAGCTGGATCAGCGCTTTCCCGTTCCCGAAGCGCCCAAAGCCTAAAGATGCTGGGTGATACAGCTACGCAGGATGACAAGATGACTATACTGGCGCAACTCTTCTGGCTTTCCGTTTCTCTGCTGGAATCGGACTATGAACATGAATTTATGCTGGCCCTGCGACTGCTGACGAGGGTTTTGCACCGTCTGCCTCTAGATCGACCAGATGCACGGGACAAGGTGGAGAAGTTGCAGCAGCAGCTGAAGTGGACAGCCTATCCGGGAGTGCATGCCCTCCTCCTGAAGGTAAGTTTCTGAAGTCTAAACTAATATTTTAAGATTTATTTATAATTTCCTACTCCTACTTTCAGGGCTGCACCCACAGTGCCACATATGAACCAACTATAACCCTGCTTTCCCAGTTTGCACCTCTGCTGACTCTGCCTGTTTGTGATCCCACCCAGAGCTGCGCCTTTCCCATGAATGTCATCGCTCTGTTGCCTTACATGTTATTGCACTACGAGGATGCCAACGAGATCTGCATTCGCAGTGCAGAAAACATTGCTCAGGTTTCTACGGAACTGGGTGCCAAGTTAGAAAACTTGGGCACAGTAATGACACTCTATAGTCGAAAGACCTTCTGCAAGGAGTCATTCCAGTGGACCAAGTGTGTGGTCAAATATCTCCATGACACCTATGCTCACATGGGACTCCATATGGTGGCGTTCCTCATCGAGGTTCTGGAGAAGGGACCGCAGCAGGTGCAGGTGCCTGTGTTGAATGTGATTCACTGCATGCTGCACTACGTGGATTTGTCAGCTCCGCAGGCTCAAACTATCAACGCGGACTTGTTGAGGGCCATTGGGAAGTACTTGGATGTAAGTTTACGAAAAATCAAAGAAGACAAAGTTTGACAGACCGGTTTCTTTCTCAAGTACTATTAAAAGTCCGTCTAAAAATGTTAGCCCCTCACTTGTGAAAATTTAAACCGGTTTTGGTATAATGTAATATATCTGTCAATAGAACGATTAAGTTAATTTGTTTGTTTTTATAATAATTGAATTACTTTAGTCATTCTGCCTTAGTGGGCTTAAATCTAATCTAAATACGCCCCGAATTTAGATTATATTTAAGGTAATAAAAAAATTAGTTTTCTTTTCTTTTTTATTAAACGATCTTTAATCTAGGTTAATACTAGTTCAGACTAGCAACCAAATACAAATAGAAATAATGTATTTTGTCTTTTCGTAGACTGTGAACTGGAAGGACTCGCTAAAGATCCTAAAGCTGATCGTAACCCGGAGCTCGTCCCTGCAAGTGGTACCACCCAGCGACGGCAGCAGCGCCGGCTTATCGTTCTCTTTCTATGGTGCATATCCGGATTCGGATATGTTCTGTAAAAAGGAACTGGCCGGACGCACTATGGAGTTTACCTTTGACGTTTCCCAAACGCCTCTGATCGGTCGTCGAATTCTTTTAAAGACAGAGGAACCGGTGGCTACCGGTCCCGCCTCTACCACGGGCAGCTCATCATTAAACTCCACACTAACGAATGCCACCACAGTGACGGTGGCAGCCAGTGCTGTGCAACAGCAAACTAATGCTCAGCTGCAACAGCAGCGTGCCCACAGCAATGTGGCGGCCAAGGCAGCCGCAGCAGCTGCCCAACATCAACAGCAGCAACATGCCATTGGAACAGGCAGTAGCGTGGTCGGAACACCAAACTCGCCGCGTCGGAGTGCCAGTCTCTCGCCGGCGGATACGGTGCCATTGAGTGGGTGGAAACGACCCTGGATGTCGCAGTGTCGTGTGCGTGAGTGCTTGGTTAATCTGCTGACCACCTGCGGACAGCGTGTTGGCCTGCCCAAATCTCCATCGGTAAGTGTTGCCCAAGATGCTCCCAGCCGGCCGCTTGTACATAGCCAGGTGCATGCCTTAGGCTCCCCTAGAGCTCCCCTCTTCTCATGCATTTTTGCAATTATTTACCTCTAACTCTTTTTCTTTCATGTAAACAATACCAAATACCAATCCAAATCCAATACCAAACAAAAAACTAACACGCATTATCATCATTAACCAATCAATCCGATACCAAAATCGAAACATATCTAGGACGATTTCATAAACTCAATTTGCTCAAAGGTAAAGGACACGTTTCTATGTGCCGCGTCTAATTTTGCTTTTGTGTGATTTAGTTTTCCGCATGTAGTAGCTTTACTGAACAAATTTAATCATTTTGAACTTGACTCGTGTTTTGTCGAGTTCTTTTTGATATGCAAATTGTTATGATCATTGATCATCATTTTTAGTTGGCCAACTTTCCGTTCCACACATTCCAGTCACACAGAAATACTGCCATATGCTTTCCTGTTCCTTTGTTCCGTTTGCATGTTGCATGTTTTGTTTCAAACTGTACTTTTCGTTTATACTCTTTATCTAAACACATTTAGTCGTTGAGCACGTCACTACTAACCGGATCGATTGCGACCAGACAAAGCGTAAGCTTTATCTCTATTACTCTTCTATATTAATCATCTGAATGTTTATCATTAATTTTTATCAATTTAACTAATGTCTTAATATGTAACCACCAATAGGTGATCTTCAGTCAGTCCTCGGATCTGATGGAGCGCCAATCCTCGGCCGCTTCTTCTACAGAAGAGACCTCGGGTCCTCAGGGCGACCTGAGCAGCGGTTCGAGACGCGACGATGGCCAGCCCGATTTCACCGTTTTCAAGGACTTCGATTTCCTGGAGTACGAGGACAGTATTGCCGGTGAATCAACAGACAACTTTAATTGGGGTGTTCGTCGTCATCAGCTCTTCGAGGGCGATGAAGACCGTTTGAATTGTGGCAGTGGCATTGGTGGCTCCATCAAGGGAGGTCACTCATCAGCCTTGGAGGACAGCTTCAGTGATAAGACTCCAATTTTGAGCAAGAGAAAGCGGCAGATTGCAGACGATTCATCTGATGAGGAGGCTGAATCTGAGTCGCCTTTGGATGAGGATCATCGTCAGTCGTTCTTGAAGTCTGGCTATAGTGCAGTGCCTCCAACTTCCTTAAGTCTTCGGGAGCGTAGGCGTCGGAACTCAGTTTCGCGAAGCGATACAAGTGGTTCCAGTGCTGGAGATTTGGGTGACCTAACACCCTGCAATGCCTCGCCACATCTGCCCGGCATCATTCGATTTGCCGCAATTCGTGATGAGGCAGAGGAAAATTGGCGTCGTCAGTTGCAGGCCATGTTAGTTAATCAGCCCTCTGCCCACACCTCGGAGCTGCTACAGCAGCTTTACAGGCTAATCAAGGAGCTGACCTTTAAAACTATCAACATTTCCAAGGAGGCGAAGAAATTCTTCACCGGCATTGGATCACAGCTGGGTAATAGGATCTCCCTTTTCACAGATCTACTGAGTTCTCGGGCGGACCCTCCCCAGGTTTGGTGCAGCGAGCTGCAAGCAACCACTCCCAAGCTCTTTGAAACGCTACGTTTCAATGTACTGGAAGTACAGGAACATCTGGAGACTTTCTTCGATCGCAAGGATCAGGTTTTAGAGGTACAGTGAATGGCTCATGTAAAATAATACATTTTTGAAATGCTTATGTTTTACTTTTAGTGCTTGGATGCAGTGAAAACCAGTTGTAAACTGTCGCTTTTTAACGAGGCGGATGTGGCTGCTTCTGGCCTTGAGTTACCAAGCTCTTCCAGCATTGCCTACATGCCTTTCGATCCAGCCTCCACCGAGGTTGTCCTAGACTTGGGACGCTCTCTTTACAAGCTGATGTTCCAACTTTTACTTCTTATCGAATCGAATCACAAGATATCCTCGAATGTGGTAAATCATTTCCGTATCAACGAAGACGTGAGTAAAGACATTATATTTCAGTTTGAATCAGTTAATCCAATGAAAACTTTTGCAGATGCATGACATATCCGATCTCTATGCCCTTGTTCGCGATGCCCTTGTGAGGTACACCAGTGAAGCCGAACTTGATTGCCTGGAATCCTCCACATCAACAGAGGGCGAGCATACTCCCACACCTTCTCCGGGATTGCCGATGACCCACGAGGAGTTTGAGGCTGGCCTGGCCGAGCACATCGATCTACAACGCTGGCCAAGCGCTATAGCTCATGTGCGTCAGTACCGACGGATTTCGACGCTTAACGCCAGCGGCGATCAAAACCTGACCATATTTAGCTATAGCAGCCTTGACAGCCGCCAGAAGTGCGATGAGATGTCCGTGATACTAAATGCATATGCTCATGGTATAATGAAGGATCGCACAGGTATGTCGTTAAGGAAATAATATACGCGATTTAGGATTCATGGATATCTACTCTTTCAGCAGAAGCCTTCATAGTATCCAAATCAGACTCGGAGCTATTCGAGATTTATGCCATTCTCTCGGAGAACTTGTATCACGTATCCAGCGCATTGACTAACATGGAAATCAGCATGAAGAGCTACACGGCAGGCAGTGCATCGGGCAATTTGCATCGCAGCGAACAGGACATTGTGACAAATCTTTAAAGTAACCGATAGACTAAGTTATTCACAGCAGATATAAGATCCATTTTTATATGTAATCTTTTTGAGTGTAAGCTGCATACTAGGCACTACGGTCTACGTAAGCGATCATTATTCATGTGCGAACAAATGTGAGTTAGGTACGATCCAATATATTTATCAATTACAGCACAATAAGTCCAGTCTTTTACTTTACCTTTTTTGTGGTAAACCACTGACTGTTGGTAAAACAACAACATTTATTAATAAGTATTTACATTCAAAGATGCCATTCAGGTCCGCGATAAACTAATAACGATATAAGAAAATGTTGACTGGCTGCCAGCTAGGCAAAAAGATTTTTAAGCGCATTTCGTTGCTGTCGGTTGTATTGGGCCAGAAGCTGCTTGGTGCTGTTCAGTTCGTTTAATATTTGCTTGTTCTCCGGAAGGAGATTGTGGGCTTTTTTCAAATCGTTTATGGCCTCCTCGTAGTTACGCAAACCACGCTGTGCCTGGCCACGTCGGTAATAAGCTTTACTGCATTTGGGATCCAGACGAATGGCCTCGGAACATTCGGTTCTGGCACTCATGTAGTTGCCCAGCTTCAGATCCACGGCGGCTGAGTTTATGTTGTTTACTACCGAGAAGCCATCAACCTTGAGAAGATCCGTATCAACGAGGTGTTTTTTCAACGGATTTAGTTGCTGCCAACCGAACTGTTTGCTCAGGCAATGATAGTATCGATTCGCCTTGCGATATTTGGCTCGAGCTTCGTGATAGCGTCCGAGCTGATAGAAGTGATTGCCCGATTGGCGAATGCCCGTTAGCAGCTCCACCGCCGCATCAGCCTATAGTAGAGTTAGTGAAATTGGGTCAATGATAGTTCTGATGAAAAGTGTTATTTACTCACTGTAAACTTGTCGTACTTGCGAGTCCAGTCTTGCGGATAGGCTGGCAGCTTGTCCGCCGTCTCATCGCTGCACTCCACACCCCAATCTTCACCAGGAGCAATCTCGCCACAGTCCCGTATCACGATCCTAGCCGTTGGATCGCCCTCGTCATTACAGTTTTTTTCCATCTCCTCTACTATACCTAAGCCGCGTAGAACCCGACCTACGACTACATTTGTTCCATTTAGATTCTCACAGCCGACGGCCGAGATGAAAAACTGAGAATTGTTTGAGTTGGGCTTTCCATAATTGGCCATGCTGACTACCCCCTCTTCATTATGCTACGAATAGATTAATCAGGTTATTACAGGTATGTAAGGGTACCTACAAGATGATACCTACTGTGAGTTCAAAGTTCTCGTCCTCGAATACTGGCCCGTAGATGGATTCGCCGCTGGTTCCATCATTCTTGACAACATCCCCGCTTTGGACGGCGAAGACACGTTTAATCTTATGGAATTTGGTACCCTTGTAGTGGAGCGGTTTCCCCATGGTTCCAATGCCACATTCACCCGTGCAGAGGGCACGGAAATTTTCCGCTGTTTTCGGCACAACATCCTTGCGCAGTTCAATTATCATGCGACCCGCTGAGAGATTATGTAGAAGGTTTAGCTGGTTGGCATGGCAATGGCCTCGATCTCGGGCAGATTCTACTCACCATCCTCCTTGCCAATGGAAATGTCCAGGTAGACAATCGGATTTGTTGCTTTAACTGCTCGGAGCAGCTTGCGTTCCTCCATTTTACCCCTTAAGGGCGGGCTATGATTTTTGTGACTTATCACTGCCCGCCAACTTGACCAGGCAAGTACAAATTATCACCCGATTTCTAACTTGCGAATAATATTGTTTATGAATTATTTTTCAATGATAACAGCGGAGAGGGTGGGGTGGGTGAAGGGAAAGTAGTGGTGGCAATGGAGCAAAGTGGCGTTGCCAGATGGTAACGAATCGTTTTCAGCAAAAATATTATTGCAGCCCTGAATGTAGATATTTTTACACGCCTTTACTGTATAATTGTACAAATTATGTGGGAAATTAAAAAAAGGCGCCACTTTTTCAATTTATTATTTTATTCTCTCTAGCTAAGGATTTCATTGTAGAACATTCTAGGATCTAGGCTTATAACCACAAATCTTCAATATAATCTTTCCGCCATAAAAAGTCTTACATCTATTAGACTTGACAACCTTTTTTGAAATACAACTTATGGTTCATCAACCTTAGAACTTATTTATAGGCAAAATACCCATAATAAATTGGGTTATTACTACGAAAAGCAACAACTTTTAGAGTAACGTTAGTTTTTCAATGTTTTTATATTTTATATTTGATATAATCAAAAATTCATGAAGTAATTGAAGTTCAGACCATTTATCAATAGAAGTCAAGGTGATGCTTCCCTTTCCTGTTATGGCTAACACTCCTTCCCATGAAGTCTGACTTGAATTTCATTAGAAGGTTTTATTGTGGCTTTTGTAGCTACACACCTTCGATGAGTTTTAAATTTTTAATGCTTTTTAGAAACGCCCATCCAATTTTGATAATTATTTGTGTCCTCTATTGAGTTGCACAATAACCAGGCCTTATAGCAAATTATTCTAAAGGAACCATATAATTTGGGGCCAGTAATTGAGACCAGGAAGCCATTGCAAATGAAATTTAAGCGCAGGATATAGGTTCTCTATAAACAGTCTGGATAAAAACTCTAAGGAATGCAGGACCTACTGGATCAAGAGCTCGAGCGCATCGACAGGCTGCCCAAACTAGGGCTTCTATGGGTGGAATACAGTGCCTATGCGCTGGGTGTTAATATTGCACCCAGGAAGCGCAGCTCCAAGTACTGTCAGTTGTAAGGAATTCCCTATTACACCCAAATCTTTCTTTTTGATTTTAACTCATAGTAATCTAGAACGCGCATTCTGGTCTTAATAATTAACGTGAGTATCATCTATAGTCTAGTGGCTTTCATAATGGAAAACTATATGATCTCCTTTGAGACCTACGTAGAGGTATGCATGAGTAAACTTATTTAATTAATATTTACTTAATAATCTTTATATAATCTATTAGGCGGTTCTACTTACCTTCCAACTTAGCGTTGGTGTGGTTAAGATGTTTCACTTTCAGAGTAAGGTGGAATCCTGTTCTCAGTTGGTGTTTTCTACAGAGACAGGAAAGGTTTTAAAATCTTTGGGGCTCTTTGACTTGGGTAAGGCTATAAAAAAATGATGTTTTAATTTTTCATCGAAATTCTGACAGATATGCCAAAGAAAAGGGAGCTCCTACGATCTGTGAGCTTGATATTGCTCAACAATTGGCTGATCATTGACCAACAAGTCATGTTCTTCTTTAAAATAGTTTGCATGCCTGTGGTATACTACACAATGCGACCTTATTTTCAATACATCTTTGATTGCTATATTAAGGATCAGGATACCTGTGAAATGACACTGAGTATGGAAATTGTAGAACATAGTTTTGTTTTCCTGTTTCACTTATGCTTAGCATTGCAGCTTACCCAGCTATTGTTCCTTATGTGCAACTGGGAAAGTATGAATTTCCCTCATATGTGATTCGTTTCTTTCTACTACAATCAGGCCCCCTTTGGTGCTTTTTTGGTAGGTGCTTAAATTAGAAAATATTAAAATTTGTCATTAATTTAAGATTTCCTTTTAAAAGCTGTTTTTGGATTTAACAGCCTGTTTGTGGTTCTTACTCGATATGAGTCTGGTTTAATAAAAGTCTTACGGTTTCTGGTTCAAAATTCAACCTCGGATATACTGGTTCCCAAAAATCAGAGAGATAAATATCTTCAATGTTGCGTTAGGCTTTTTGCCCGCATATCAAGGTGAGCAATAGTTTTCTTTCAAAGAACCTTTGTTAACCACCTTTCATTTAGCCATCATAATCAAATTGAAAATCTTTTTAAGTACATTATCCTCGTTCAGTGCTCTGTAAGCAGCATTTTGATTTGCATGCTGCTTTACAAAATCAGCACAGTGTTGGTAAGATGTTTAGATTGATTATAAAATTATTGAATCTTATTTTAAAATCTCTTATTAGGAAGTTGGCTGGGTGTGGATGGGTATGATAATGGTATACTTTGTGACTATAGCTTTGGAGATCAGTCTGTACAACGTGAGTGCTCAGAAAGTGGAGACCCAGGTGAGGTTTAAAATCTTACAATTATTTTTCTTCAATTAAAATATCATATTTCAGAGTGAGCTACTATTTTATGATTGGTACAACTGCAGTTGGTATAATGAGTCCAAGGAATTCAAGTTTATGATCAAAATGATGTTGCTTTTTTCTCGTCGAACTTTTGTACTTAGCGTGGGAGGATTTACTAGTCTCTCCCATAAATTTCTAGTGCAGGTATTTCCGTAGAATTTATTTTTTACTTCATGTACTAAATATTTGATCCACTTTCAGGTCTTTCGGTTGAGTGCAAACTTTTTCCTGCTACTCCGGAACATGAACAACAAATAAATCAATCTTGGTTTTTACAAAATTACAACGTTGGAAAAGTTATATTTTGAAGGGAAACTCTTTAAGCGACTTATAGACAAAGATACATGGTAATTGTATTGGCACATTAAACGTAGATGACAAATATGTTAATATATAAGTGTTTAGAATAGACTTCAGGTGGAGCTACGGCAGAGATATAGATATGCGATTGGATTATCGGATTGCAGGAGTACAAGGTCTTGTGTTTTATTTTCGATTAGTGTTTCTTTAACATATAATACAGTCCGTGGCTGGCTTGAAACTGGTGAAGCACAGTTGGCAGTTGATTCTCGATGTGGGCATCCCCTTGTATCATTATAGTATATGGCATACAATATGAAATCGATGATGCTTTAAAGCTTAACGTTGCTCAGTTGATCTCTTTTGTGGAACCTTGTCTGGGTCACTAAACAAAATATTTCGGCTAAGGCACTAAAATTACGTAATTTCATTCAACGGCTACGTTCTATCATAAATCTGATTTGTTCGTCTTGTTCTGATCTTCGTTTTCGTACTTAGTGTTAATTGAAGTAGTTGTTATTGGAAGTGGGATGGTGGAGTTCTAGGGTTCCAGGCGATTGCGGCTAAAGCAACTGTCCGGCAGAGCCTTGGAAATAAGGCCAATATTCTGCACCTCATCTTTGAGCTCCCTCAACTCAGCGTCGTATTTATCGATCAGATTCTTTTGAATTGTCCGCTGTTCCCGGTACTTTTCGATTCGTCCCGTCAGATTGACACGGTTGATCTCACCCTCAACAATGGCCAAACGATTCTCTGTGGGATGGGTTAGAGTACTTATAAGTTCAGTTCATCAAGTTTAAGATTATTGATCTTACCCAACTTATCCAAATCGCCTGTGTTGATGTCCTTTAGATTCTCAAGCTCGTCCTTGATGGCCGTTAGTTCGGCATTGGCCTTCTCGATCTGCTTCTGGGCCTCTTGGGTATCGGCCTTGGCCTGACCCACCTTTCGCTTTGCATCATCAACCAGGTTATCGTCTTTGGTCGAACTCTCCTCCAGCTTGAAGATGTCCATTTCGGTGAGCTTCACCCGGTGATTGAGTTGGTCAGCTTCATCACGCAGATTGCGGGCAGCCACCTTGGTTTCGTTGGCCTTGCGGCGGATCAGCTCGGCATCCTGTCATAAAATATAAACCAATTTCAGGATAACTTAATTTTAACATTGTGCGGAATGCCTTACCTTGGAAGCCTGTTCGGCATACTTCAATTGCGCCTCCTGGGCGTTCTTCTTGGCCTCGTTGGCATTCTTATTGGCACCGTCCAAAGCCTCCTCCGCCTGGCTGATCAGGCTCTCTGCATTTTGGATCTCCTTCTCGATGTTGGGCACAGCCTGCAGGGCTTTGTCTGCACTCTCCGAAGAGCGCTGGACATCCGACTGGAAGCCGGCCAACTTTTCGTAAGTATTATTGGCCTCCTTGAGGGTATTGTCACCCTGTTCCACTGCCTTTGTGGCTCTATCATGGGCGGCCTTGGCGCGCTCCAGCAACTCGATGTCATCCTGCTGCTGCTGTTCAGCTCTAAAAGTTAATATGTAGTTAATGTTATTAATCTATCTAATCAAAAATAAATTTAGGATAACCCACCTCTTTAGCAGGGCTTCTGTCAGTTCCTGCTCTGATTCGAAGTCCGAGAAGAGTTCGCCGTTGCTATTAGATAACTCAGTGATTTGCTTGAGAAGTTCATCTGCTCGATCGTTGGCTGCTACTGCGTCCTTCTTCAGCTGACTGATATCGATATCCGGCTGAGTCTGACGGTTTACGTCATTCAACAGGGTCATTGCGGTATCGTAAACTTCGTTGGCCTTGCGCAGAGCCTCCTTGGAGGTCTGGACTACGGTGCCTAGGGACTGCTTGACGTGGCTCAGTTCCAAGCCCACCTCGGAACGCAGCTCAGTACCGATCTTCTCCTGCAGCTCGATGGCACTCTTGGCCAGTTGGTGAGCCTTCTCGACAGCATCCTTAGCATCCTTGGCGTTCTTAAGATCAAATTGTGCCTCCGACTCGAGTTTGTCTGCTAGGGCACGTGCCTCGCGCGAGATGTCCGAAATCTGTTCCGATTGTTGGCCAAACTCCACGGACTTCTCCTTCGCTCGTGCCAAAGCCTGGGCACCCTCGTCATTAAGGAGGTCGAGTGCCTGCTGGAGTTCCTTCTGGGCATTCTCAGTTATCTGGTACAGAACGGTGTAGTTCTGGCGCGCCTTTTCGATCTCTGCATCGGCATCCGACTGGTACTTATCAGCACTCTGCAGGTGCTCCCTCACGTTGTTCAAATGCTTGTAAAGATCATCGATGACCTCCGCGTAGGTCTGACCACCTTCACCCGAGTTATCGCGAGCATCCTGGGCCAAGACAGCCACCTTCTCTTGTACCGCTTTTAGCTTAGCTTCGAACTCATCGTCATTGGTCACCGGAGTGCGGGCAATCTCGTCCAGAGTTTGACTGAGGTTATACAACTTAGCCCGATGCAAATCGGCAGCATCTTGTACGAGGTTATAGCAATCAGGACAATCGATACAGCCCCGGTGTCTGTCGTACTTGTTCTCCTTGCACCGATCGCATCGTCGTCCTTCGACATTATCGTTACAAGGGCATTGGCCATTCTGGTCGCACTGGAATCCCTTAGAGCCGCTCTGGTCACATTCGCATGGCTTACAGCCCTCACTAGAGAATCCATAGAAGTAGTTCTCGCACTGATCACAGCGCTGACCCATCACACCTGGTCGGCAGTGACACTGGCCGGAGTACCGATCACAGGTAGCGTTGTAACTACCAACTGGGTCGCATAGGCAGTTCTCGCAACCATTGCCCGATCGGATATTGAAGTATCCGGGTTGGCACTCTCCACAATCCCTACCAATTACATTGGGTTTGCAGTGGCATTGACCGGTAACTTGATCGCAGCGCGTGATGCTCTGTGCATCCTGCTCGGTTCCAGCCTCATAACAACTGCAGCGATCGCAACGTCCATGTGGCAGAGCCAATGGATCTCCAAAGTGTCCCGACAAACACTGATCACAGTGCTCTCCGGCCGTATTGTGGATGCACTTCAAACACTCGCCCGTTGTCCGGTTGCAATTGCCCACGGCATTGGGATCAACATTGCCATTACAATCGCAACTCTTGCAGGTTTGCACGGCGCCCAAGAGTCCCGTTGGGTCGCCGAAGAAGCCATCGCTACACTGTTCGCAACGTGATCCGAAATAACCCTTTGGACACTCTGTACATATGACCGTATCCTCGTTGATCTGCAGACAGGCACCATCATTGGGACAAGGACACCGCTTGCAGTCGTTGGGAGTTCCGCCCAGGGCATTTCCGTAGAAGCCCTTGGCACACTGATCGCAGTTATCCCCATGGGTATTGTGCTGACAAATACACCTGCCAGTCTCTGAATCACAAATGTCCGCATGGCCATGACAGTCGCAGGGAATGCAAGGCATAAAAGGACCTCCGCGGGCGGGACTGTGACGATAGCCAGGGGCACAAGACTCACAGAACTGACCAAGATAACCCTCTGGACAGGTACACTGTTCAATCCAGGTGGCCGGATGTCCGGCAGCTCCACGGTGAGCTGTCTGCAGTTCCACGTCATCCAGGATAGCCTCACCCTGCACAGAGTACGTGGCCCTTATCTTAATAGCCGTCAGGTTTGATAATATCGACAGGAATCCGCGAGACGACTGGCTAGGTTGCCATTGGTAATCATGATGTTCGTGTAAACGGAATGTGTACTCTTTGACTCCCTGATCGGGAATTCCATTGCCCTGGGCGAAGATTGGCAGCGAGATGCGGCTGCCAGCTCCCTCCAAGATCACATCACTGACACCAGTATTGGCCACCTGGCCAACCAGTTGCAGTTTGAACTTCAAATCCCTGTTGTAGGAGGCACGCTGATCGCCGAGGAATCGATCTGGTGCCTGGAAGTACACGTGCTCATTGCCCTGGGCAGTCGTTCCAATACTGCGACTGTACTGATTGTACTTGATGTCCACTTCGCGGTTGTTCAAATCAGCGGCTGTCCAGCGTTCCTTGAATTTGTTGAAGTTTGAAGTAACTGAGACAATTGAATAGCTTGGTGCAGTCGTACACTCCGAAGTATGGCCATAACAGAAACAGGGGGTGCATCCAAATCGATTGGTCTTGTCCAGGTTGAAGAATCCGGGCTTGCATCTAGATTAGAAAAGATGTGATATTAAAGGTGAATAATAATTTAACTTAAATTGCCATTGATTTGTAGAACTCACTCATTGCAGCGTCTGCCTTCGACGTTCTCCTTGCAGAAACAGATTCCGGTATCGGCATCACAGGCGGGAGTGTTCTCATGGGATCCGCGACTATCGCATCCGCACTGCTGACATCCATGGGGTCCGAATTGATAGTAGTTATTGTCGCAGCGGTCGCACTTGTCACCTGTCACTCCCGGCTTGCACTGGCACTTGCCGTGGCTGTTGCACTGTAGCGATCTGGAGCCCACGGGATCGCAGGCACAGTTCACACAATATCCGTCGTCGCGCATATAGAAGTTCTCCTTGCAGTGTTCGCAGTTGGGTCCATCACGATTCTCACGGCAGTCCATGCAGTGACCACCATGACCAGTCCGATTGAACAAAGCTGCATCGAAGAAGCACTTGTCGGCCAGTCCATTGCAGTTACAGGCTGTGGAGAAAGGATATTTTTCACTGGGTTTCCTTTGTCTAAGACAAAATTATATATACAGTTAATCATGTACCAGTTCGGCACACCTGGCCCTATAAGATTCGTTTCCAAACTATATTCATTGGACCAGCCTTGGGCCAAGCCCAGCTGTAAAAAGACCACAGGCAAGCAAAGCACAAACATGACTGATGGGCTGCCATCGCTTCTTTCAACTAACACTGACTCTAACGGCAAAGTGGTCTATCCTTATATAGAACTTATAGACTGGACATTGCGTCCAGCTGATTAAAAACCTGTAAACTCATATCTTCTTCCTATGAAAACTACAGTTACGAAAAACAAGTTCAGGCAAGTGTTGATAAGTGTTTCAAAAAGTGAAGTTTTTTAGAGTTGCTAGAGAATACATTTTTCTTAATTGATGGCAGCATTCTGACAGTCTATTTGAAGTGGCATCCCATAAACTTTGAGTAATTAAGCAAATACTTTATCAATAATGTTTAATACACCTACCTTTGCACTCGTTTACTTCCGTTGAGGTGGACCTCTTCCACTTCAGGTCGTTATAGAGGGGCAGACAACGGTCACAATCCGGTCCATCGGTGTTATGACGGCACTCGCAGACCAGAGTCCTCTCACCATGCATTCCTGTACTCGAGACACACTTGCTGGCATGTCCGTTGCACTTGCAACGTGCACCCACGGCAATGTCACTGATGGCATAGAAGTATGACTTGAGTACCTGAGGATCTCCAAAGACTTCATCACCGAATGTGTTCAGACGATCTAAGGTAATTCTGATATCCGTAGCCGTGACCCAATCCTGCAGCTCGGCACTGCGCTCGAAATTGATACCACTGGGACGACCCTCCAGCGTGGAGAAGGCAATTTCACCGTCTCTCAATGGCGAGATATCACTGTACTCGCTGGTACAAAGGGCATGAGCCTCGCCCTCCCCCTTTCGAATGTCTCGTGAATCGGGCAGGGAGTAAGTGTCTCGACAGGTGGCACTGTAGTACTGGTAGGGAATCCAGGGACCATTCTCCGAGGTCCTCTTGTAAATCGTAAAGGATTCAGGACGCGGCGAACGGAACAGAATGCGAACGTACGTGATGTCGTAGGATTTTCCTGGTATTATTTGAAAAATATAATCAAAATAATATTCTCTAAGCTCATCTGTTGTACTTACCGAGATGTAAAGTCAGATTCACGTAGTTTGTGTGCTGGATACCCTCGTACATGGTTTCCGACTGCCACCAAGTTGGGTTCTGCGGATCATGCAAATCCGTCAGGAATGAAGGATCGTGATCATTGTATCTGTTTAAAATATGTTTTTAGTTATTAACTAGAGGAAAGTAAATTAGAATTCTTTACTTACTTGCAAAACTCGCAGTTTTTGTGATTCTGATTCATGGTTTGTATGCAGAAGTGATTGTCATTCTGCTCACCACAGGTATTAGTTGACTCGATTCGTAGTTGGTAGGCAGCATTAATAAATTCTGGCAGACATTTCTAAAAAGGAATAATATTTGGTAAAATGTAAAATGTTTGTATAAATCATATAACATTCTGATGCCCAAAATCAACAACATTTAATATTGCTTGGTGAGTTGTAAATTAATTTCATAATATTATTAAAGTCGTAAATGAGAAATTCCCAGAAAATTTGTTTCATTCTCCCATATTGTCGCTTTATTACTCAATTAGTTTGCATCTCTCACTCGAATTGACTCAACCCAAAAGCTGAATGCCCAACCACTAATTCTCAATTCTCTTCAATTGGTTTGTGGACAAACAAAATGGGTAAACAGTGGTTCCTCCCCCTTACCTGTGGTCTGCCATATGGCTCGTAGCACTCCAGGGCCGGCATAAAGGTGGTTCCGCGCAGCTCGTGACCTCCGGCGGAATTGATAGGTGGACGCTGGGCGCCTAGGATAACGGTGGAACTGCAGGCAATGAGGGCTCCGATCAGCAGGAGATGCGCCGTGGAGGAGCCATTGTGGCTCCACCGGCTGCGCTTCATGGTGGGTTTAGTTGGGTGACTTTTTAGCTATAGGTGGGTGTGTCACTAGGATTTGTATCAGTTCTAAGACTATTTGGTTTTCTGGGTGGGTTTCCTTCAAGGTTGTCCTTTGGTGTTGCTCCTCAATTCATAACGAAATATTTCCTATTATTGGTGCCTGAGCGACTTCATATGCTGGAAAATGCATGAGATTATGAATCAGTTTAGATACCAAATCCAGTAACATGTGTGGAACACATTGTGGAGGAGAGTGGAAGGAAGACCATGTTCCGGGCCGAATTTTTAATTAGTTCGCCGAGCAAATCGCTCGAAAAATAAACTTTACTGGCCGGGCCGGCAATGAGTTGATTTGCTTTTGGGTAAACAAAAGCGAAAAGTCGAAAGGCAAAAACTGCAAATGAAAATCTTAAACAACAAGCAACCGAACCGTGTGTGCGCAAAGACATAAATAAACTCTCGAGCATGAGTTCCAGCGGCAGTAGAGTTGAGTATATGTGGTTGTACTGCCCACAAGCATGTGTTTTTGCTATTTGGGAACTTGAAGTAATTCTATGCGATGATTTCATCTACTCCTCTATTCATTCCCATTCCCATTCTCAATTTCAAACTGCAATCGCCGCAATTACGGCGGCTGGCTTTTAATAATGAGGATTTTTTAGGTCTTACTATATTATACATTGCACTAAATGCAAGGTTGGATTAATTTAGATTTTCGTAGATCCAAGATCCAAGTCTGGTATTTTTTATGAATTCAGTTAAGTAGAGGTTCTAATTAGCAAATATTTGCTTGGATATTGCGGGAAGATGATATCACATCCTCTGAAATGGAATGCAATGTGAAAGAAAACTCAAAGCTTCCCCTTGAAAACAAGACAATACCAGTTCTCGTGGGTAAGATGCGGAATTCAAGATCGAATTAAGCTGAAAGTGCTTGGTAAGAAATATTCCTGTGGAATTTAGTTCAGTGAAACCAATATTATAGGCTCTTATTCCGAATTTGAATTCCTAGAAGACTCGTTCTATTCCAAAGCTGCTTGCAATCACAATCCGGATCAGGGTTTCATTATATTTTTAAACACACAATCACCACCGAGATTTTTCGTCTATTAATTGTTTGCACATAAATTATATATACTTTGTTTTTATCAATGGCACCCATTTATTTCCTTTCTCGGGATCCCGTTCACTGTCTTGGCTGTCTTATCAGCTGTTTAAGTTCTAAAGCATACGGCTCAAAACTATACGAAATCTGTTGTCAGGCCGCCCGACTTACAGATGAACCCTTTGCGCAGAGTTCAGGCGAGGCCAAGACACAGCCCACATAACACTGATACTGGAACTACACACTCCGCACTCACACATACTATATGTAATATGTATATAGTCGGAACGAACATCCGCTCCATTCAGATTTGAGATTCATATTGCATATATGGTAGTATATAGACTGGGTCTTGAGCTGGGACGAGATACGAGACTATGAAAACGAACACGAGTTCCTTCGACATAGCGATAAGAATTTGGGACTACGAACTAGCTGATATCACACTCTATATAAAGACTTTAGCTCTATGTCGAGAACGGTTTTTTTTTGGTATTTGTTTGTTTTTTTTTTAGGTTAAACTGCGTTTTTGTTTGCACCTTTTGAGCTGTATCTTTATTGCGGGGTTTGTTTTTATCCACTGGTTCAGATGCACGCACACTCACAAAACAGCAGGTAGAGGGAAATCGAAGGAAAGCACTCAAAAATCACTCAGATACTTTTACGAACTCCGTTTCGTATCTTTTCGTATCTCACAGATGCACACAGGGCGCAGCAACTGCGTTATTTTCGTTTATTTATCGGCTATATTTATATACATATATGGTAGATACATTTTCCGCTGCAACCGTTTGTAGGACAACACATGGCACTTTTTTCGGCGATTTCCAAAATATTTTCTTACTATTATTATTAAGGAGAACTGTTACTTGGCTGTGGATAGACTGCAGTTTTGCTCACTTGTGTGCACACTTTTCTGCCCAGTTGCATTTCTGCTGACTGGCGTTTTGAACTGGGAATTTTGTTGCCTCGTTTTCATGTAATTGTATCGGCAACTCGAAGGCAAGAACCTCACGGGTAAACACTCTGTCACATGAAAGATACTCTTTTTATCTAGCTGAGGCTTTTCTTTACCGACTGAGCTGGCCAACAACAAGTCGAAAAACAAAAAATATAAAAGGTGACCCGAGAAAACTTGAGACCACACAATGCAGCACACCCGAGTGGATTTGGTTCCACTACTTGGATGTAGTAGCTCCACCACTTACTTCGTCGCTCAGAAGACGCAGGCAACCGCTAACGAGGACGTCCAATGCTCAACTGACTCTCGAGGAATGCCAGGCCGAACGATTCGATCGCTCGATCTTCGCTCGTTGAGTGAAACTCTCTACTCTGCGCTCAGTATCTGTATCTGCTGGTGTACGAGTATATTTTATGTTGTATCTGAAACATTATGAGAGAGCAAACGGATCTGGTTGGAGTATTTATGCCTTGGAGTTGGACTAAACAAAGCTTTCCAGTTGCGATGATCTTCCTCATTGAAGTATTGCGGCTTAATTGCCTCTCTCATATTTTCGTACGAATTCCATTAATTGCTCATTTGGGCGGGCAAATATTTGACCAGCAGTCGTCTCATAAGATTCGTCTCGAAATAAATGCTTTGGAAGCTGCTCTACTTTTGGCTTACTTTGTAGTTATTAGAGCTAGCGGGTTATCGCTGGCACTGCTGATAAGAAGGTTAATGTACCACAAACGCCGGCGCACTTTCAGTTTCATTGAAGAAACCATAATAGAGCAGTGAAATTTTGGAATATGATAGTTTTTTAACCTTTGGATCGTTTTATTTAAATCAAATTTAATATTTTCTATAAATACACAGACAAAATCTGAATAATAGTAACTTATGTAAATGCTGATAAAAAAAACTGTATAAGTATTTACTGTTGTCTACAGAATCTTTTTGGTAAACTCAACGAAAACTCAAGCACACATTTCCGGCTTGAAACTTTTAACTGTGGAACATATTGGTTTATGAATTGTATGGCTTAAAATCTTAAAATATGGATTACGTGCAGAAGACAAGGCTTACAAGGTTAAGAATCTGAGTTTTTAAAAACTATGTTCTGGTTTTCTTACCTTTTTATATTCTTTGAAATGCAATTTAAATCTGGGTGGCGCCACAAAAGTTCGGCCGTTTTAGAAACTTGAAATTAACTGCTTGCACTGCTTGCAAAAACGTTACCCAACACTAAAGTTGCGCGCGTTTTTTAAATTGAAGAAACTTAGTATCATATCTGAGTATTATGATTTAAGGCAATTTATATATTTATTTTAGTTAGTTAAAAAAATGGTCTAAGTAAAAATCCATTTAAATTCTGTGCAATATAGAGTGGTTTATTTTAATTTCTTTTGGAAATAAACAAGCAGATGAAATTTCATTTTCCAAAATGCTGAAGAACAAGATTGAAGCTAAATGGTTAGTAGAGTAGGAAGAATGCTAATTTCTTTAATTAAGAAGACAATCTGGCGTTAAAGGCACTTAACCAGCAGGGTTATTATTTCTCCTGCTCGTTCTCAATGTCAATCTTTATGATGTTGACCGTTGGCCCCGGGGAAGTACTTCGCGATTCGGGCAGTCCATTTTGATGTGCAGCTGCATCCACAATGCACTCATCGCTGCCGGTGGTGCTAATCGTAATGGTGGGTATATTATCCGACCAAATCGAACTCTGCGAGTCCTGGCGCATGGTGCGGCGTCGATGGGAATCGCTACGTTTGGGGAATGTAATTGGACCGGCCATGTCCAGTTCCTCTAGATCATCCATCGTGGCCGTAGGAGCAGTGGTTGATGTGGGAACAACTGGAGGCTTTGGTGGCTTTGTGGGGGGACGAGAGGAAGTGCTACTGCCAAAATGCAATGGTGCACTGGGCGTGGGAGATTCCGGTTCTGGAGTGGGTGGCATTTCCAGAGCTGTAGAGCTGGACACGCTGGACAATACTGATGGTGGTGGTGGTGGAGTGTAGGCTAAATAAGTGGGCGTCGTGGGACCTGGCGACTCATCCGAACCTTGTTGCTCGACATCATCCTTTTTGAGATTCACTGCCTCGCGAACCAGGGCCAACAAGTTGCCGATCTTTTTCCGGCCCTGACGCGAAAGGACAGACAATTGCCGCTGATGGTGACCCTGACCTTGGCTGGGAGTAGGTGAGGGCAGACTTTTTTCCTGTTCTTCCCCGCCGCCTAGCTCACTGTTCAGGTGCTGTTCCGTAGCAGGAGTGGCTACGTCCGTGTTCTTTTCCACACTCCGCTCGTCGAACTTGAACACTTCGGGCTCCGGCTTTGTAACCGCATTATTTGACTTGAATTTGTGCTTACGGAACTTGAACTTTCCCAAACTACCGCCGCCGCTACCTCCGTTACTACCCTTGGTTGTCGGCAAGGGTTTATCTTCGACCTCCTGCGGCGGTTTTTTTTCATCAACTATGTGGAATTTGCTTTTGGCCAGCGTAGGAGTTTCTGGTGTGGATTCCTCCGGAGTCTGTTCCACAGGCTCAACTGGCACGGTGGGTGTTTGCGGTGGTTCTGGGGTGGTAGGTGTTTCATCTTCCTCTCCACCCTGCGCCTTGTGGCGCCTCAGCAAACTGGCGCGGCGTTCGCTGACAATCCTTGAATTTGTATCCGGATCATGTTCATTGTCCTTGGGCGATTCATTGGGCGGCGGCTGCTGCTTGTGTTTGGTATCCTTTTTCTCTTTCACGCTTCCTCTGTCCTTGCGCTCGTGTTTCTCGACTTTGAATCGGCTCTTGGGATGGGTCTCCTTTACCGGAAAATTGCCAGTACCCGTAGAGCTAGTCCCAGCCACAATGGATCCTGCCCGTGCCCGCTCCTGCTTGGCAATCTGCACGATGTCCACGAGAGATGGTTTGCGGGTTCGCCGGATTTGCTGCAATCGCGACAGGCCGAACCTCTTGTCTTTGGCCTCCTCGTCGTGAGGCAAAGAATCCTGGTGCTCGGTGTCCGTGTCATCGTCATCCCGCCGCACAAACGAGTCCTCATCCGAGGTGGCAGAGCCCTTGCGCAGCGCCTTCTTCATGATGCGTGAGATTAGCTCTGAATGGGGGAAACGAAACAAATGACTTGTGAACTCAAATCTCTCTTCACTTGGCTTACCTTTCCGGGCTTGATTTTTGTACTCCTCCGTATCGAAATCTGGCGGTTGGGTAGGTGTAACTGGAGAGCTGGCCTCCAGGACTTTGCGCCACCGATTTGTTAGGGTGGTGGCAGTAGGTTCCGCCTGCTTGACCTCCGGCACCTTAAAGATCTTCTTGCGCTCCTCCTCGCGTTCCTTTTGGAGCTGGGTGCGCAAATCCTGATTAGCTTCTCGAAGAGCACCGGTCAGGGAAACCAGGTAATATATAATAAGGATGAGCAGGAGCAGCAATGGAATCACAGTGCTCGAGGAGGTTAGATAGTCCAGGGGCTCGTGGAGTTGTCTGGAAAGTTTCAATCGTGATAACATACCTTACCATTTATTCTAACAACTTACTTTGGAAGAGCATTTCTGGTGGTGTTCGTGATAAACTCAGCTATTCTGTTGTACTCCGAGAAGGGTCCACAATGCCAGGAGGGTCGCAGCCACACAATGGCATATCCCACTGGCAGAACGCAAAGGAACAACATGGTCAACAGCAGCGATAGGTAGAAATTGTTCGATTTCGAAGCTCTGAATGGATTACGGATTACAACGAGCTCCAATCACCAGATAAGACCACTTACTTGAACACCACCTCGTGCGGCACATTGCAGGTGAGCACTATCCAAGAACGGAAGTACATCATGATCATCAATTTGACCAGGTTGATGAGCACCAGGCCCGGCGAGAAGAATATGCCCATCCACACTTGGCCCTGGTTATTAATCAACGTCAGGATGTTCTCGGCTATCTTGAAGTCGCCGTACTGCGGTTCAAAACGAAAAACAAAGACAAAGCCTCGCATTAGTCACGTCGGACAAGCCGAAACCGGATGGGGTCCTCGGCTCACCTGGGGAAAGGTCTTCTCCATGTCCCAGCACCAGTTTTGATTGACATACCGCACGAAGAGGGCGCGCAGAAAGTCAATGCACAGTGGCGCCACAATGGACATCAGCTATATTGGGATGAGATAGGGATCAGAAATGTATGGCATGGAGTTTAATAAGCGCTTTGTAATGAACTTGGGTGGCGCTTAAAAGTTGCCACACGTAACCCGTGTCGTTGCATCTCCGTTGTTGTCCCATCTACAATTCTAGTTTATGGCTCATTTTGCCTTCTCGATTCTGTGGTCGAAATTCATGCACGAACACGTGCCCCAAGTTTGAATCGAAAACCGAACGAGATGGAGATGCGGACGGGAATACAGGTTGCAAACCCAAACCGCACATGACCAAACTCAATTCCCCATCGCCGCAGCATTTTGTTATGCGTAAAGCATAAATGCGTTTAAGCCCCGGCCCGTAACTTGCCTAATTTATGTGCTTAAATCGTTTAATAGAGATTATGTACGCCATGTCGGGGGAGCATAATCAAATCGGGCTCGAGACCCATGTCTTTATTTTTTCAGGGACTCTTTTTTGCTTGGACCGGAGGCCTACGCTCAGTTTACACAAATGTCGGACAAATGTTAAGTACGAAATAAAAGGGCAAGTAATCCCTGGATTGAGATGCCTTTGAAAAGTCTGAGCTAAGCTTGTCTACGACCAATAGGGTTATTGACTTGGCAGGATATGTACACCGAGTCCTTATCTCAGAAATAGCCAAAAGTGTCTGACTGACCTTGAAAACTTTAGCAATTCCATGAATTTGTTTACGATTAGACTGAAAGTTCACAGCCCAATGGGATGCCAATCGACACTCGACGTGGCAAATGGCCAAATAAAAGTTGGCATTCGAGGGCCAAAGTTCACAATCATGCTTATGGCTTATGTAAATTTTTTGACTGGAAATCGAAGAGCGCGCCCCAAGTTCCTGTTCCTGTTCCGGCTACCAGCTGCGATTCCCATCAGAGGAAAAGGACTCCCGAGAGCGATTATTTATGATAAAATGCTATTCGTTTTGCTTCCATTTTTGCCTTTTCTTTTTTTTTCAAATCTTTTGGCCTTTTAAGTCAAGTGGATTTTCGGTTTTGTTAGACGAGTGCAAAAAATTTGATTTTCAAAATTCTCATGACCCCGCCAAAAGATAGAACTGGGAGGAAAAAAAATAAACGAAAACAAAGAGTCCTCAAGTGCAGAAGCGGAAGACAAATTTTGCGTTAAATTTTCCGGACAATTTAGCTAAACGGGCTTTCACGCCCAGACAGCTCACTGTTACTCCCTTTTGAGTTCAATCATATTTAAGGCTAAATAGATTTTGATACAGAAGCAGTAGCTTCCGAGCTGGAAGCCCAGGGAAATTGATAGCAGCTCATGGTGATAAATTTGGTTTTAAACTGCGGCAAAAGGAGCACCCTCAACCCCACTCACCCCGTCAAAGACGATAACTTTCGAGAGCTCCTGGCCCAAGGATGTCTCCCAGCACATGGTAGTCAGATTGGTTTGTATTTGCTTAATCGCCAGCTGCACTTCCTTCAGACGCTTTTGCTTTCGCTCCAACGGAGTGAGTTTCACAGTGGTTAACTGTTTGGAGTCGCTACTCTGGGTTGTGCTATCCGAACTTTCAGTGGTGCTGCCGAAGATTTCGTCGCCCTCGGGGCATATGGTAATCACACAGTCCTCCAGAAACTCGCTGTCTCTATCATAATAGGTGGTACTCCCCTTCTCAGAGAAATTCACAATACCAACGTAATAAGGGGACTTTGGTCCTTCCGTGGTGGTGTACTCATCTTCTTCGGTGGTTGTGAAGCCACTACTACTACTATCATACGCGTTAGTGCTGCTCTCTGGACTTGTCGATTCAGTGGAACTCTCCGTTGTGGATGATTCCTCCTCGGTGGTGCTTGTCAGCTCTGTAGTCGTGGTTCGATATCTTCTTCTAGGCTTTGCAGTCGTTGTTGTAGTAGTACTTGTGGATGTGGTTTGCCTATATCGAAGGCGTTTAAGATTTTCCCATTCCTCTTTTGAAAGAATACCGCTCGGAGTTCTCTTTGTTGTAGTGGTGCTCGGTGTGGTTTGTCTGAAGGGTGGCCAATTGATGGGCCACCGATTGGGTGTGGCATTTCCCGCCTCGGTGGTTTCTCTCAGTTGGCCTCCAGTGACTGCGGAATCGTTACGATGTCGCCTGCTATATTTGCTGGCAAAGAAAGGTGAATCACTCAATGCCCTCTTACTGCGATTCTTCGGCTCTTCCTCATCAATTTGTTCTAACACTTTAGCCAGCGGATCATCTGCCTGATCAGTGTTTTCCTGATCATCGAAATCATCAATTTCTGGCGGTTCCGACGAGTAATCTGTAATATCGGAGTAGCTATAATTTTCCGGTGCATCTGATGTTGCATCTGAAGCGGAAGCTATGGGTTCATCGCTGCCATAATCGTAGGAGCCGTCATCATCGCCAGTGGTGTAGAAGAAGTTGTCATCTGTCTGGGACTTTTCAGTGGTGGTTGTGGTTGTAGTGGGTTTTATGGTGCTACTGGGAGGTGAAGCAGTAGTCTTAACAGTCGTTGCTGCTGTGCTCAATGTGGCAATATTGATAGTTGAGTTTGCGATTTCACTATTAGTTGGTGATGGCTTGCTAGTGGAAGCTGCTGTTGTGTTATCAATTTTGGTAGAGGTGGTTAATAATGTGGTTGTTGTTAGTGCTCCTGTAGAGGTTCTTTCAGTCGTGGTGGTTGCCTCGGTTGTTGTTGGCGGGAGCGTTGAAGTTGTCGACGGCGGTAAAGTTGTGGAGGGAGGGAAAGTTGTCGGGGGTGGTAAAGTGGTCCAAGGTGATGTTGTTGTCGTCGTAGTTGCCTCTGTGGTTGTCCAAGTACTCAATGTCGTGGGTGGTATGGTGGGCAATGTTGTGGGCAATGTTGGTGGGACCATGGCTGGCGTTGTCAGGTTGAGAACCATCAAAGTAGTAGCCAAGTTCTTGGCACTGATGATGTTGCGTCCTGGTTTTGAGCATTTAACTGTCTTGTTGTAGCACTTAAGACGTTGCAATGTGGTGGAGATTAAAGCGGCAGCAGCTGTGGTCGAAAAGGAGCTGCCATTATCGTCACCCCAAGATGCACTTGAGGTGGAGTCATCAAAAAGGCCATCTGATGTACTCTCACTATACAGCGAAGTCGTGGGGGTCATGGCCCGCAGAGCTTCAATCGAACTTAGCAGATTCTTCAGCTCCATGGTATTTGTTTCATTCTCCAATTTTAACATCTGCAGCGGTTTCTCTTTGCTGTTTATCTTGTAGATGAAGGAGAACATCAGAGAGTACAAATTCAACATGTTCAGGATCATAATTCTGAAACGTAAAAGCTATTTAGATATACAGTTCCATCTCAATTAGCATTTTATTTTTACCGTGCCAATTGCAATCGCAGCTGCTGCCTGGGATGCCAGTTCTCAAACAAGCCCAGAGCCTCGAATATCATGGGCAGGAAAAAGGAGAGCAGAGTCATGGTCACGTTCACTGCATTGCGACTCAGCCAGTTGTCGTGCTTGGCCAAATCCTCAGAGCTGTAAATAAAGGGAATTACACAGAGAGGAATACATTAAGAAAAGGAAAATTCCTGCTTGTATGTTCCAATTTCCTTTACGTGAAACTTTATAATTAAACAATTTTAAAAATAAAGGAAAACCAATGATAACTATCAATGATTATTATTAAAAGTAAATAAGAATTTTTTGAGCTTTCTTTTTCCATTTCCCCAATCCACTTACTGATTGACCAACAGCACCACCGTGGCCCCCGACAAGGCCAGCAGTCCCATTACCAGGATATTGACCAGTATTCTCTGGAGTATCACCCGCCAGCTGAAAGGACACGGCGCATCGATTATGGTAAGTAAATAGCTTCAGTTGGCCGCGACTTACTTGCGATTATCCTTCTTCTTCTCAGCCTCCTCCAGTAGGGCCTCCTTGAAGCCAACCACCACGGATGCGATGCGATTGTGGGCCGTCTCCGCGTGTCCTATGGGAGATGGAGATGCAAAAGTTGTGTCGTTAGAGAACTGGCCTGGCCACTTACCAATCATAAAGTCCCAGCCGGTGAAGAGCTTCCACGAGAAGACGCATTCGTCGTCCTTCGAGGAAAGTTTCGAGTTGCGCGAGTTTTCCGCCATCCTGTCGACAGATCGAGAAAAAGTTTAAGCCTTATTTTCCGCCTCTGTTTAACAACAAGACATAATTTGTGCTCAAATCCCGACAATCCCCGTTTTGAATCCCGGATAGCATTTGCAGATTGGAATAATTCACGCACGCCGAGCACGTGCTCCGTAAAAGTGGCGGAAAGGTCAGTGCCGGCTGTTCACTGTTGACATTGCTACTTTGTTCAATTACGAAATCAACATAATGCCGACAAAGCCATTAAAGCGAGTCAGACGCCCAACGGTCAAAATGGCGTTTTGCCATTTCCGTTTCCTCCGCCCCCGCCCGCATTTGCACGTGTCTGGTCGTGTGCGTGCGTAAATCATAATGGCCAATGCTTTTGCGCTCCTTTTTCCTTTGCCATTCGAAGGGGCACGAAAAGTTTATCTGGACACCCCCAAAAACACGCCTTATGCCCAAGATTTGTATTATTTAATCAGCGCTTCAGTTTTGTTTAATTAATTAACGAGCATTCCGACAGTTAGTTTGCTTTTTGCGGCTTCGATGACCAGGGATTTAATGAAGTGCCTACCCAACACTGGGGCCCCACATTCCCTTGACCCCTTGTCACTATGCCCCACTCATACTCACTTCCTCAGCGTGGCCACAAAGCTGTAGATATAGACCAGAACGGCGGTAAGGAAATATGCTAAGGGCAGCTTATATCCGGACGTGCTAATGCCGGATGTGCTTGAATAGTAGCTGGGAGAAAGACAATGAGAATAGAGATGATATAAGATGATATGGCCAGCAATTAATAGACTAATTGAATTCATAACCAAAATAAAATAACCAAATGCTTATCTTGAAGATTTTATATAGGTTTTCTAGGTCTCTGAGTACGTCTTATAAGTAGCCACATCGTCTTACCCATAAAACATCGGTGAATATTTCAGGTATCCCTCGAATTCCCAGAATGTAAAAAGGTTGCCGGCAACCCGAGCCTCCGGATCGGACATCATTTTCCTCGGATCCGTTTCGCCGTGTTTCGTGGCAAAGTACTGAAGTAAAGCCAAGCGGAAATATGAATGTGTAAAACGAATTGGCTACTTTTTCAGGACACTCACCTCGGGGCCAATGACAAAGGCGACCAGCGGAATGGCAATCATGATATTGACCCACATAAGCCAGCGCAGAAATGTAAAGTAGGAGGCTACGCCGGAGCCGAAGTGCGATTCGATTTCCTTGATGCGCAGCTCCCAGGGTATGAGGACGGTAAGAAAACTGGTCGTCTCTCGTTTCCAGTGCCGCCATCTCTGAGGATAACAGTAAGGGAAAAGGATTTATGTCTCGGAGGAATTGCAGGCTGCAAGTTCGTATTTTAATTGGTTTTCCAGCGAGAATGCAGAGCAACCAAGCACACATAACTCCGTGAATTATGCGAGTGCGGATTTATTGAATGTCCGTCCCGGGCCGGAAAGTGGCCCATAAATTGTGTAAACATAAATATTTTTTGCATGGCTTGGTGCCTTGAGCTCGCCTTGGGCGCCGTTGCATTCCGCATTCTGCAGGCGTTTCCGGCCGGGGGGTGGGGTGGAAAAAAAAGGCGTACAAAATCACTTACTGCCGCCATTAAAATTTTAAACCTCGCCCACAAGTCCCTGGTGCTGCGTGACATGGCGAATCGCTCCTGGAGCGCGCCTTCGTGGCGTGCCACATATGTTTTGGCCTGTCAACACATCCAAGGGCGGCCAGATCCGAAAGTCCAAACATCATTAAAAATGCCAGGGTGGAGCGAAAGATGGGAGATAAAGAGCGGTGTGTTGAAATCGAAAAGTTTGGCTCAGCTTTTGATGAGTGTTCCGGGAGGATTGTCAGGATGGCGAGGGGAGGTCGTAACATTCTCAACGACCTGACAAGCGGCGTGAAAATGAACGCGCCCAGTTTTTGGGACCAAACATCCCCCATCCAAACAAATCCTCCCCAAATCCACGCCCATCTTAAAGCCAATAATGGCTTTAGCACCCACCTGCCGAACCAACTTGAGCTTCTTGCGGATGGGCCATGGCTGTAGCTTCACCGACTGTATGACCTCCTTGTGCAGGCGGATGTTCTCAAAGATTTGCTCTTGTGTGGACTCCTGATTGGTGCCCTCCTCTGCAAAGTGAAACGAAAGGCACTGCCAAAGTTAAAGCAAAGCAAACAGATTACACATACGCCCAGTATGCCGCCACGCCATCAAAACAGGCCGCACGTAGCATGAAAAATTACAGAAAACTGGCCCCCAGACGTTGATTAGCAGCCACTGGAGGACCGAGTACCGAAAACCGAATACCAAGGCACCGCCTCCATCTCGTCTGCTCGTTAACTAAGCGAAATCTGTTTTGGACACTTATGGGGGCTGGCACTTGCCTGAACTTGTCGTATAGACACTGGAGCGTCGCCGCTCCACACTATCCAGGACGTGATCCATTGGACTGGATGCTCGTCGCGAACTCCGGCTGCCACGTTTGCCCCGATAGCCGCGCACACTGGCACGTCTCTGCATTATTGCCGATACGGAAATTGTGTAGCTCTCCTCATCGTCAATGTCGCAGCCGCCGCCATCCTCGATTCCGATTCCTGGTGGATACTGGCCAAACTGGGGCTCGTGGTGGCTGCTTTCGGCGTCGCTGCTCTGGTTTTGCAATGGAAAATCTGTACGCGTATAGAGGAGGACATTAAGGTGGCTATTTTATATTTTATGCTTGCTGCAAGTTTAATTTGGATTTGGGCAAACTTCGATTTAAAACAAACTGATTTATAGTTATAAAGAAAATATAAATTGTTTTTTATATTACATACCGTTCAGTTCGTAGGATCTATGGTCCTCCTGTGATGCAGCTCTTTAATATGAATTAAAAATACAGAGAGCCAGATAGAGTCCACAGACTAACATTATCCCAGCAACTAGAGCACTCACCTTCTGCCTCTCTGTCCTTTGTAGAATTCCCTCTTGGCATCGGCGCTGCTCTGCATTTGCCAGCCACCTCTATCCAAGTCGCATGGCGGTGCCCAGGTCACAGATAATTGATGGGGCGAAGTGACTCCCGAGTTGTTCTACGAATTGATGGTGGAAAGCTTAGCTCAACTTATTTTCAAGTGCTGTTCCGGGACAGCTAATTACTCAAATCACACCGTCCGTCGTTCTTTGCGTGTAGAGAAACTTTCACTCTTAATTGCTTATTTATGAATTTCACTTCTAAGTAATCTATGGGTAACTTCTAGTTAGATCTCTTTTCATGCTCTCCAGGTAAATCCTTTTAAGTCAGCAATTTGTGCTTCTGATTTAGCTAGTTAACCACCGTAGCGCTTTGGAGCAGCCTTGTGCGCAGACTGAACGGCTTAGCTGGCTGACCAGGCCAGCAAGGCGCAAAAGACCATCATCCTAAAGGGGACAGCGACCAACACTATCGCCAAGGACCTCACACAGACAGGTGGAACGAGCGAACCAGCAAGCTAAAGTTAAATTTTTTCTAATAATGAATGAATATGAATGAAGAAGCGGACAGAAGGGACAAAACACCCGCCCCGCCCGATGGGCAACTTATCAAAGCCAAAACGTGCCCAAAACCCACACAAACACTCTGAGCGGCGCCATGGAATTTACATGGACATGGGCCTGAAGGGGTCGAAGCGGGGATGGCAGGGCGAGTGGCTGACTTCCTCGCCCAGTTGGAACGAAGACGAATGAGTGTAAAAATCGCTAGCGGCATGTGATAACAACGCCGTATCCGGGCGTAACCAGCTAGGACTTCGAATGTCCATTTAGATGGTGTCGTGGGCGTTTCAATGAGTGTGTGTGTGAATGTGTGTGTGGGTATGCTAGTGTAACGGTGCTTGATATTGAGTCACCTTGTATTCTTGGCCCGGGCCATGTAAATGAAAATCAAACATGCAAGGGTTGATAAAAGAAAATCGCGAAATTCTACGGTTTTCCCCGGTCTTATCCTCTTTTTCTTTTTTTTTTTTGCTTTCTATTCTGTATTTGTGTTTTTGTGATTCAGGGGAGCGCCCACTATTGAAATACTAGTATATGTTTTGGCGGTCTCCGTTGTGTTTTGTGTTTCGCTTTCACTTTCTCTGATTTCACTTTCGTCCCTTTTAATTAAATGGATTTCTCGGCTGGCTTTAATTAACATCAAATTTATCTCTACGCCCACCGCGCACGTGTAGCATAATGTTTGGCGATTATGGGTTCATTACCCGCTGTGCCAGTGGCCTAGTCCTAAATCTGAGAATGTTCCAGGTTCAGGTAAACTTGAGCCAAAGAAGTTCAATGCCGCCAATGGACCCGATGACCTAGTAAAATAAATATCCACTCCTTTTTGTAGGCCTAAGTGGGTTTCCATGTTCGACTGCAGTTTTCGCGATTTCGCCATAAATCTTAGGGCCCTAACATGGCCGAAGGCGTTGGTCGCGGAATGTGGGTCAACTATACAGAATATATATATTAATTTATAGTGACATACAAAGTAGAACCGAAAGTAACAAAAATCGAGGGATGCACATTCATCAGTTGATGCGGCACACGTTGCTCTCGCTCTTCGATCGCCTCCATTTGTTGCGGAACTCACGGCGACGCAACCTCATGGCCTGAACCTCCGAGGACATGGTGTCCGTGGTGCTGCCCAAGTGGAGACGTTCGGAACCGAAGCTATCCATGCTGCAAGAGCGACGGCATATGTGCGCTTTCGGCATATATTGCTTTCGGCGGCAACCAGCGTTCTCTTGATTATTTTCGATTATCTCACGTGCGAATCGAGCCATCACCTTCTGCTTGTGGTGACGTCCCCACAGTGGTCCATGGGCACAGTTCTCCCGCGTCCAGCGACGAGCCTCACGACATCCCACATATATACTCTGCATGCCGTTGGGCCTCCTATCTACCATGAAGCCATGATTGCCCAGTTGACCGAAACCCAGATCGAAAACATTACGACCCATGGCAAAGGGATTGGGTCCGTCTTTGTTCTTAAACTTTTTCGGGCCGACGGCCTCCATGGGCTCTTTGGTTTCCTGATAGAAGCGACGATCCTCCGATGTACAATATAACCAGGATTCGAAACGTGGCGGGCCACTATCATTCATCTCAAATTCCAGAGGCAGAGAATCATTGAAGTGAATTTCATCAATCGAGGTCAGTCTACCGTGTCTATGCGTCACTTGGTAGGTAAGGCCAGAAGGATCCGGCATTTGAATGGTGCCTCTTCCGTGGAAGCGATTATTCAGAAACTCTCCCGTATAGCGAGTTCCATCGGGAAAAAAGTAGACACCCAAGTCCTGCATGCCCAACTCATTCATGGGGCCAATATATTTGGATCCACTCATTAGTATTTCGACCTGATTGGTGGCAGAGCTTTTCATCTTTTGCTCCATTTTCACTTTTACAACTTTAGTGTTTTGGGTACCGAAATGAAAATATTGCCTATTCTTTAAAAATTTTGAAAGTTGAGTGATTATTCAACGAACTGTTGGTTGATAAGTACAAGTTGCAAACTACTTTTTTATAAATTTATCCAAATAATTACAACTCTCAAGATAAGAAAACAAATTATGCAAATGGCCAACTAAACTTAGCTTAATTACCCACCCGAGGGAATTACTATATAAACCACATAGCAATAACCAGAAAGTAACAAACTTTCCAAAAATCATGAAGCTGTTGGTAGTGGTCTTGGCCCTGGCTGCCATCTCCTTAGGAACTGCTAAGAAACTACCCGATGATCCTGATCATATTATCACCAATGGAAATCAAGCCTATGATGGGCAAGCGCCCTATGTAGTGGGCATGGCCTTTGGGCAGAGCAACATCTGGTGCAGTGGAACAATAATCGGCGATACTTGGATCCTAACGTCATCTCAATGCTTAACTGGCAGTTCCGGAGTAACCATCTATTTTGGAGCCACCCGGCTGAGCCAGGCCCAGTATACGGTGACAGTGGGCACCAGCGAGTACGTTACCGGAAATCAGCATCTCGCCCTGGTTCGTATTCCGCGTATTGGCTTTAGCAACCGTGTTAACCGGGTTGCTCTGCCATCGCTAAGGGATCGATCCCAGCTTTACGAAAACTGGTGGGCCAGCGTCTGCGGATGGGGAGTTACTACCTTTAACAATGGCCTAACCGATGCACTGCAGTGCGTCGATCTCCAGATTATGCCCAACAACGAGTGCTCGGCTGTCTACGGATCTACTACGGTTTCTGATCAGATTCTCTGCACCCGCACTCCCAACGGCAGGTCCACTTGCTTTGGAGATGCTGGCAGTCCCCTGGTCACCAAGCAAGGATCCACCGTTGTGGGGATTTCAGCTTTCGTGGCTTCCAACGGTTGCACCTTGGGATTGCCTGCTGGCTTTGCCAGGGTCACAGCTGCACTGGATTGGATCCGTCAAAGGACCGGAATCTATAACTAAAGGCTCAAGTAATAGCAGAATAAAGTATGAAATCTCTAAAACTGCACATCAAATTTGTTTCAAACTTTTTTTTTTCAAAAAAATTTACATTTTTAAAGGAATAATAATGAGGATTTACCGAATTTATTACGAAAATATTTATATTATATTTTTACCATTTTTGGCCTTGTTATGGCATAGCCATGCTATGTTAACTTACTGTTAACTGCAATATCGCACTTTGGGGTACCTGTAAGTCCCAACTGGCTTTAGCTCTTTACTACACGACTAGGGCTCTGGTGACCATCCCTAAATCAGGTTAAGTCATTCTATGATGAGTGTGATTCTGTAAGTGAAGTGTTTGGAAGTGATATGATGGAACCTCAACACATTGCTGGTACCTGGACTCCACGAGGATGCAGTGTTCATGGATTTTTTCAGAAATACATATTCTGACATACATATAAAGTAAAATTTGGTAAGTGACAAATTTATAATATTTATTTCATAAGCAGAGCTTCAATAGTCTAAGGCTTAGTTAAGAACACCCTGCTGTGATCACTCCCAGTCACGCGTTTGTTTTTTTTTTATCTTTTTTAGACTACAGCCACTGGGAATTTATGGAGTTTATGGACCACCCACACGGAGATGCTTCGCTACTCCCCATTTCTACGCTGCAAAGCGCTGGAATCCGAATTCTCATCGGTGGTCATCAAGCTTATCTCTTTGCCAGCTGAGTACATAGCTTAGACATTACCTATTACTGAAATTGTTCATATATTTTAAAATTTTATTTGTTATCTTACAAATAATTTTAATTCACTCCAGAGACTGGTGTTAACTATAATTTGAAATTTAAAAACATATATGTACATACATAAACACATCAATCTACAGGTCTATCTATAACTCAAATATTGAACGCGTCATGTCCAAGTAACTATTGTGGCGAATAAGATTCGACTGGACGACGTTTACGTTGTCCGCCGCCCGCTTTTGCATCATGGTGACGGCCGAACGATAGGTTTCTGTTAAGTTAAGGGGTAGTTCATCCTCTCCGAAGCTATTCGACTGGCAGCTGGAGGCACCTCCCGATTCCGGATTGCGCACATCCGAGGTGCTAGTCCACTCACGGGGTTCTTCTACCTTCATCATTTTGGCACAAGGATGAAGCTTCCTGTATTCCTTCTGATCCTGCTGTTTCTTATGTAGCATCTTTGCGTAGGCTCGAACGCACATTTCAGTTTCCCATGCGGGATCATCGGCGGGAACGTGATGCCTCCTAGGCGTTTCCAATGGCTCTTTTGAATGGCTACGCGTCTTGGTTAGCTTATGGAAGTAGCGTCCCCTATCCACCTGGCCATTTGGCGCATAAATGTCCGTTTTTCGTAACTGGGACTGTTCTGTGGCCAAATTGTTGGCGATAATGCGGCGACAAAAACTAGATGGTGGTTCATCTATATGAGCGGTTCTAGCCTTTCGGCAATGACGCTTGATGAAATCCTTATCCTTTTGACAACCCACGTACATGGCACCGTGAAATGGACCAGGTCGGTCCGTCATCCAGTTTGTCTTACTGTTGTAGATACCCTCCTCGACATCGTAACAGTCCTTGGGGATTTCTCTTGGCAGCATTTTTGTCGTAATGAAGGCAGTGGGTCCCACTGGCTGTTGGCCATAACGACGCTCGACGTGATAACGTCTATCGCTGGGCGTAAGGTAGTCCCATTCATCACAGTCAAGCTTCGTGCCAGTAAACCTGCCTGCAACATGTAGACCGTCGGAGAACCACATGTCCTCCACTGTCACCAATCGGCCATTTTCGAATACACCTTTGACCGTAAAGCGGTACGGCTGAGCCAGTCGCAAATGGCCAAACCCGTGGAACTGTCCCTGCTGGAATCTTCCGCGATACTCACTGCCATCAGGATAGCGATAGCTTCCGAATCCGTCCATCACACTCACAACCTTGTCCCAGGCACCCTCATAACTGCTGCGCGTGATGAAGTGCCTCTGTTGGGGCTCCGCATATTGCTGCGACATTTTTTTTGGAGCTCCTGATTTTTGGTTAGAGGAATTTTGTGTGTAGTCGAAGCAACCAAACCAACTCGAACTGACAAACTCCTGACCTACTCGGCCTAGCCTGGCTTGTTGGCTTGTTGAGATTACGCATCAGCTTTATGACTAAATAAATGTTTGCCTCCACGCCACACACTTGACCCCTTCCCTCTCCCTTAACCCACCGGTCGAGTGGTCGAGGGTGTCCAGGGTGTGTCCACCGCATCCACTCGGTTTTAGCCATTGTCGCATGTCTGGCCTAATGAACATTGGGTTACCCTTGTGCCCTGCAGCAGAGTGGGGTCCCTCGAAGTTTGTGATTTGCAGCTACCTGCTGCTTGAATTGCCGAGTGGTTTAACTTGTTTATTAACACCCATAAAGTAGAAACCTCCTGTGATCTGAGATTTTGCATGCTTATTTTAAGGGTAACTAGTTGGGCGTATTTGCAAAATTATTCTAATTAAGTTGAAGTTTAGCTAGGAAAACCACTTGATTTAAGTTTGGTTAATTAGGAATTCTTACGACTAACAACCAAGGCTTGGCAGACATTGCTCACAGATCGTATAACAAAGCACGCCATAGCAATGCAGACTTTAAGTCCGGTTAATACAGATTTTTAAGTGAGCATGTTTTGAATGAATTGAACTTTTGGCTTAACTTGTTTTTTTTTATGATAGCGTTTTATGGCCCCTACTGTTTTATCCTTCTAGTCCTAAGATACCAGTCTACTGACGGGTGTAAAAAATGATTTTAACAGCCAACTGGGTCTCACTGCATTGCTTGACCTGACCAAAAGCGAAAGCCAGTTAAGTGCGATTTGAGTTTATGGCTATTGGCAATGGCAGCACTTGCTGCAGCCATATGCTGTCCTGCCCCGTCCTCTGTCCAGTGCACATTTCTTGGATATAGCCATTCCATAGAACGTTGTCGTTGACCAGGCCAAATCGTAAGCACTCCCGGGTGGGCCGTAAATCATGCTCACTTACCTCACTGTTGGCGCCAGTGGCCATGTTGCTGTTGTGGCCATTACTGCTGCTGCTGCCCACGCAGCGGAAATCGACGGAACCACCTGATGAGCGTCGCGGCTTGCCAATGTCCAGGCGGAGAATTCCCGGCTTGGGTCGCCGGGGAGCCGCGGACGGTGGGCTTTGTATGGAGTCCGAGTTACCACCAAGCCCCGGAGCTCCAGCTCCAGATGGTTCCTCGTCGTTCTGCATGGCCAAAGGTAGCTGTGGAAAAATGCCAACCGAACAAACGCACACACATGCACACAGACACACACACGTAGGAAACGCGATTATCTACCGCGCACACGTCCGCCGTGCAGCGCCAACTCGAACTGACTACATCCGTGTCCTGGCCAGGACTTTGAAGCAACAATTACGCGCGCAGCCACGGGCACTGGAAATAAAATGTGAATTAAGCGCGCCACCCACGCGATAAGTGTCAATGAATGTGCCATATGTAAGAGTGTGTGTGTGTCCATTTGCCCCGTGTCCTGTGAGGATGACGTTGGACAGGACACGCGGCAATTTCAACTGCTTCTCCTGACTGTCACCAACTGGTCTCACATGACACAAAGTGAACTTCCTGCTTTCAGGGTCACCGCGGCCTACCTCTGTGTAATTATGTCTGCCGCGGCCCCAAAAAGTGTCAACAGCTCGACCCCAAAAAAAAAAGCACAAAATATCGCATGTCGCATTCGCCATGTGAAAAAGCGCCATTTTTCATTTTCACTTTTCATTTTTATATTTTGCGCCTTCCATTAGTGCGTTGGCTTGTGTCCTTAATTATGAGCGCACAAAAGGTGCCTTCACTTTGTTTTCTAATTGTGATATCCAGCACTGAGGGGGTGGATACGTTTTATGATTGAAAACTATTCAATATATTTTTTATTTTTTAATAGTCTTAAAAACTTACCTTCCTACATAACAGCCAACTGCTATAAATACTTTTACCCAGATAGCCAACATTCCATAGAGCTCCCACATAAATACTGACGAGAGCTGAAAATATATGTGCCTCCCCAGTGGGGGGTATTACCAAGTCGATCCAATTCCGGCTGCGTAGATGATATCTCTCCTCTACGACGCTCCCACTTGGCCAGAATGCGCTTGTTAAATGGCAGAGCCATAGCATACGAGCCAAGCCCACCTGCTGGGCTGTGCTCCTCCGGCACGATGTCCTCGCATATCCGTGTCCTGCCCCTGCTGATATGCAATGCCTTTCTATTACATGCAAAGCGCGTTAAATTAATTGAACTGTAAAGTGTCAGCAGCAGCAGCAGCAGCAGCAGCAGAAGCGCTGGCTGTGGCAATGGCAGGAGCTGGATAAGGACATGTAGCCCAGCATGTTGCATTTAATTTTTATTATTTTCACTTTATTCTATTGCGTTGAACCAGAGCAACTAATATTAATTCAACTTGGGTATGCTAGGCTAAAGTAGCTTATAAAAAAGTTTTCCTATTTGTCGTAGTGTATGTGTGGTAATGCTTGGATGTGTGAGTGTTTTTGTTTGTGTATGCGATGTATTCACGTGTGTGGGTATGCGTGTCCTGGTTTATGCTTAGTACAAATTTCAGTTTCAGTCTCAAAAATCGTTTGCATAAATTAACTAAAACCATTTTACGTAAATTAATTTGTGTTTCTCTTGGATCTATAAATTTCGTACCTAAATTGCAAAATGTCATAAAATCGTTAGGAAAATCGTCTTTTCATTGTGATGCCCGGGCGGTAAACGGAAGAGCTAGCAAATAATGCAATAAAAACTCGTCGGAGTTTGATGATGATTGAAAACCATTTGGATGGCTTTAACTTCACTCAAATTTGAATTGCAAAATTTCCCTTACCCCCTATGATTGTCACAGTGTTTCGCAGATGTATCCGCAAATTTAACTAACCTTAACTTATCTGGTTTTACTATCTGTAACTTAACCCATCAAATTTGAAGTACAATCTGTTGGCTGTACAACACCTTCGTTGCTATCTAACTAGTATGTATCTAGTATCCTAGCTACCTTACGAACCCTCCTTTTTTATAGCCAACAAATCCTCATAAATTTCCAGTAAATCGCTTATACGCCACGTATGCCGCAAGTTCGGTTTGCACTTCCCAGCAGCAGCTGACTTAAATTTATAGAGTTACCCCAATGAAAAAAGAAAAAACAGGAAAGGAAAGGGACTGCCAAGCGTAAAAGTAGAATCGATTTATGCATAAAAACGGTGAAGCTGGCAAAAATTTATGAATATCAAACATTTGATCTTTTTGGCTTTTCCTGGCTGCAGGAAAAGCTCCTTCCTGCGTTTCCTGCTTTTCCCCAGCTTTTTCTGTTGTCTCTGCTGCTGGGGCACTTTCCCCTGTTTGCTTAGCTTAATAACCAGTTTTTCTCATACACGAAAAGTTGGTCAAGTTAAGCAGTAAATGCTCTTTTGGCTTCTGGCAGTAGGTGCTGTAGTAGGGGGGCTACGTGGCGTATGATTAATGTGCGTGGTTTGTTCGCTTAATGAATTTGGCTCTCACTATGGGCTTACTGGCCAAAATACTACCATTCAGTTAATACTTAAATACACATTGAGCTTACGTTTTATGCTCGCTAATTGACTTATGTCCTATGCCTGTTGCATGGCATCTCAATGAGCATGTCGTTCGTTCCACTTCGTTTGGGTTAATTTGGTCCTTTAGTCTATTGGTTTTCGTACTAGCTAGAGTATGCCTATGGAAATATATCAAAAAGAACCTACACTTAGGGCTATGCTAAAAACTCACTTAACAGCTAATAAACGCACACATTACGCAAATGCGAGGGCTGACCTCAGAACGTTGTCACTTTGCCCAGACGCATGCCGAGCAATTTACGACGCTTTTTGGCGCTCAGCTTTGTCCAAATGGTGCTGCTGCCCTCCACCAGCAGAAATTCATCGCATAAATCATCCGTCTCCTTGGCGATGCCGCCGTAGAAATGATCCTCCTGATACTTCTCCGAACGGGAATCGCCGGAAACGAAACCGCTCTCCGGACGGGACAAGGAGGCGGTGTGCCAGGGAAGCTGCTGGAACCATCGTGCCACTTTCGCCGTCGACGATAACTGTGGGAAACGGAAAATCGGTGGGTGTGGTAAAGCATAAAGCGGGGCGAATAAGTAAAGTCAGTGTGTAAATTTATGCAAATGAGTTATGTGCGCAAATTGCTGCCCACCAGCGAAATCCGTAGGCAACAGGGAGTACAAAAAAAAACATCGGAAAAAAACGAAAAACCAACTACCGAGTAGAGTGAAAAATGGCGACACTTGTTTTTGCTGCTGTTTCTTATGCCACGGCATCGTTTTTCATTTATCCAGGGTGGGAAATTCATATACTGACCGTCCCAAGGGGCGGATGCTTAATGCGCTTAAAAGTATGCTGCATGTTTTTGTCGGAAAAGTCATTAGGGAAATTGCTCAGCCTGGCGTTAACTTTCAATTATTAACGATATCACGAGTACATGAGTGTGTGTATAAGCGTATAGAAAGAGTCGCCAAAGGTTTTTTTACATTATTATGCGATTTTTATTATTATTTCTGTTGTCTGCCGTTCATTTTTGCCGCCTGCATTCCATATTCAACTGAATATTTGAAATTGTAATTTACATAAACCTCTTGCCGGGCAACTAATTAATGCATTTCACATGATTATTGCATTTTTGCTGGTATAGCCCATGCGGGTCACGCATAAATTGAATTAAAATACAACAATTTACAAAAATAACAGTATCGAACTTAATCAGTTTAGACTAGACTCATTAGCTTAAACACTAGGTGTATGGATATAGATTTCATTTAGGGGAGACAAAATACTTTCAAACGATTATTGTGAACTTGAGTAAGTTACTTCGTTGCTGATATGCTAAGATTATGTTTCACAAATACTTTTACTTAAGGTTTCGCTGCTGGCCCGGAAAATTAACCAAACTCCAAAAGGGTTATTAACTTTGACTTTGGCACACTTTGAGCTAGAAGATAATGCTAAATAGATACGATATATATATATATAATATTTATATATTTTACACTTAGTTAGACGTTGAGCTGGGCAAATAATTGGCACATTAAACGCTCTGCTAGGACACCTAAAATGCAAAACTAAAGTAGGGTTTTTCTCCTAAATTAATACTGTTACACCCATCATTCACTCGATCCTCATGCTCTCTTTCTTTCTTTCTCTCTGATTCGTTTAACCTATGACCTGGTCCATATGGAGTTTTCTCCTATTTGGTGGTATGCCTGGCCCAAGTGGTCCTCTGCACCTGGCTCATCATCTGGCTACGATTGGGTACCTTCTCGCTGGTACTTCTGGTTATAAAGCTAGGCGTGGCCGAAAGCTTCCTTTGGTGACCCGCCTCGTCGGTGACCCTCAACAAAACCGTATTGAATCGTGTATCCCGACTGCTGCTACTGTTGCTATTGCTATTATTGTTGTGGTTCTGGTTGCCATTGCTGCTACCAGGACTTATGTTGTTATTGCTGCTCCTCAAACGTGGTGAGGAAGGCGAGTCCAGGGTTGAGGAACTGCGACTGGTATCTCGGGTGCTAGTCGATCCTCCGCAGGCCAGACCAGCCAAATTGCCATTGGATACCGCCGCCTTAAGTTGTTCCTCCAAATTATTCAGATTCTGCTCGATGCTCATGCGTATATCCTCATTTAAGGACGAGCTCCCGGCAAACGAGTTCCGATTCATGGTACCCAAAGGGGAGGGCGTCAGAGTTCCGGTGGCCGCCGGTGAGGTGAGGAAATTGAAACCTCCAGCTCCGCCAGCATTGTTATTCGGCGTGGCCGGTGTGCAGGACAAGGGGTTCACGTAGAAATATGAGTTGTGCCCGGAAGCCGCAGGCGTTTGCTGGCTCTGTCCTGGATTCGCGTTTAAATTCAAGGCCTGCAGGCGATTCAATAGCTCCTGATTAACCTGGAACAGATCCTTGGACAAGGCATCCTGTTGCTGTTGCTGCTGCTGCTGTTGCAACTGATTGCTGATGCTCTGCAGGGCGCTCATCGAGGGATACGGGCTGCTGGCCCCAGCAACGGGCGGCGGCGTGGCCGGGGTCGGTAACGCTGCTGCAGATTGTTGTTGCTGCTGCTGCTGTTGCTGCAAATTCTGGAGGTGCTGGCTCTGTTGATTTAGACCACTCAGCTGGTGACTCAGCGAGGTCAGCTGCTGATTAATGCTGCCCAAATTGCTGATCTGCTGATTGATCGTGGCCAAATTGTTGTTGTTGCTGGTGGCCTGCAGCAGCAATTGCAGCTGCGATTGCTAATCGAGGGGTGAAAGGTCATAGGTCATTAACTACCACAACTCTCTCTCAGTCAATACAACAATAACGAGAACGAACGCACAACGAAATGGAGGCAACAATAAACACTCGTGCAAAAACAAACGGCAGCCAAGAAAAACAGAAAAAACAGAAATCATGCAAAAGGGAGGGGCACAGCTTGGAAAAAACTCGAACTGAGCGCAAATTTACGATCGCATAACTCAAAAGCTTATAGAGCATATATATTATAGAGCATAATCCTCACCTGCGGCGCCATTCCGATATTGGCCGACGTGAGTCCGGCACTCTGCTGCTCGTTGTAGGCCCCCAAGGAAGCCAGGTGCTCCAGAAGCTCCCGGTTCTGCTGCAGCAATTGTTGGGTGCGCGCCTGGAATATAATAATTTTGGAATAGTTAGTACTCTATCCCATTAAGGTGTGTGGGGATCTCCCCTTGGGCACCCACCTGCGCCTCGATGCGCGCATTGGTCTCCGAGATGAGCTGCTCCCGCACCAACATCAGCTGGCCAAGAGCCTGGCGTGTTTGCAGAGCCTGTGCCTCCAGCTGATCCTTCAGTTGGGTAATCTCAGAACGCGGCGAGGAAGGTGAACCTGGGGACTTGTCGTCCACATCGCACTAGAAGAGGAAAAACAAGATTTGAGGTAAGGTCAAATGCTCAATTAAATTCGCATGTTTTCTGAGATAACAAAGATGGTTCAAAGAAAATGTGTTGTTCAAAGTATAATAAACATTTTTATATATTCTAATTATTTATGATCCCAAACTTTCAATTAATAGCCTCGTTTCACTGTGTCATTTCTGAAGCCATTAAAAGAATTCATACTTTTCCCATAAAAATGTTTCATTTGAAAAAATACTATTAAATTGACATATTTAGTTATAAATTTGGCCCATTTTCGCTTTTATAACTAAGATTCCTTTCTTTTATACACCTTTCAGCCTTGACAGTTCTCAGGGGCAACGAAAAGTTATTGAATCTGAAATATTATTGTTTTCCCAGCTTGTTTACCCTCTCCTGACCGCGTTCGTAAGGTAAACAAATGGGAAATATTATTTTATACATTATGACCTAAACAGAAACGCCAGCAATGGGCCACATTGTATTTGATTTCATTTTCAGAGATTTCGGCTCATTAAAATTCACCAGCGCCGGCATTTTAATTGCCCTGCCAGGATATGGCTATGATTTCGGTTATTATTGGCGCGCCATTGGCCAGAATGATTATGATGGACATAAGTTACTCACCAGCAGGCTATTCGATTTGCGTAGGCTCGAATGCGATGGCATTAGCTCCAAGTGGTTAGGTCGCTGCGGCTGCGTGTGGTTCAGATCGGGCGTTATGGCCAAGTGCTCTAAAAATAGTAAATAGAATTGGATTAGCGAATTAAGTGGCTGGCTGGTTGGCTGGCTGGCTGGTTGGTTTAACAAGTGTGCTGTGTAAGGCCAGCCCCGACCGTCCTCCAATTTGTCAAGGTCGCGGGACACCCACGCAGCCCACCTGGTGGTGTAGTGCCCCACGATCTGCTCTGGCGGCCACTTTCGCGCTTAATTTACCATTAATTACAGCGTCTAGAGTTCAATATTTGTTTTGATTATTCTCGTACTGTCTGTCCAATAAATAATGAAACAATTATTCAGATCCTCGCGCCATCGCTAAGGAGATAATGATCATTGATAATGAGAATGGAACGAGCGAAGCTCACTTCTGTTTTTGATTTGTTGGAAAATATTTAAGAAATTTCTTCCAAGAACTTGGATATCTCGCGGATTAAATATACACATATAAAGGTGCATGTGTATATGCGGTGAACATTTTTACGGATTGGTTTCGTTTCGCACCTGGGGCACGTGTTAATTGCCGATGAATTGCTACAAGCGTTGTAAAAATCCTTCACAGCATGTAAATTAATTTGCCGATTCAGATGGTTTTTCATTGGCAATGTTTTTGGCAAATAATTATTGGAATTATAGCTAGTTTATTCCCTGAAAACGTACACTAAGGGTTCCATCAAACACATGTTTCGTTATCTAAATTTAGCCAACATCTTTTGTATAATTTTTACAGCCCAAATGACCCATTTCGAAGAACACATCATACTCAATTAGATAGCCCCACAAAACAGCTGCAAATAGCTATTCCTTGACATGGAACAACAATTAGTAATCCAAATGTTGAACATTTACTTATAGCCAATCTATATTATATTTTGTCTTTGGGTATATTTTGCAAATAGCCGTGCCAAAGACAATATATAAGATGCTGATTAACGTAATGGCGTGCTTATTACATATACGACACGTGGTACCAGCAGTGCCAAAACAATAAACAAACTTTGTATTCTATTTTGATTGCTTTTATGGTTTATAACTAGCTTGCTCTGATTTTAAATTCATTAGAACTGTTAGTTTAACAAAAGTTTGAGTGTGTGAAAGAGAAAAACTAGTTCTGAACTCTAAAATCAACTTCAAGTCCTTAAGGAATTCTCAAACTTATTCTAATAGTGAAATTCCTGTAGTCTTACAAATTGCAGCACACTTCAAGGCGCAGACTAGGCTATTGAACTTTGAACTTGGCTGATCTAATCTTCCCTAGTCTCAACGGAATGTCGCCCAGACATAGACAAACAGCCGTGTTCATAATTCATTATTCCAATGTCGAGTCGCTTTGGTTTGGCTACTTAAAAGTCAGCCAGCGCAGGCGGGAAATTACTATATAGCGAAAATTACAAGACCTCAGAGCGGGGAGGATGAGTTATTGAAATAAATAAATTATTTTTGGCACACGACTTCAGGGCACGCCCACACATTTCTTGTTGGCCACCACGTGAGTGTTTCGTGGTCTCGAATGTCGCCTGGTAACAAATTCGGTTTCAGTTTTCCCGAATCCAATGACTCGATGATGCCATGGTTATGATGAAGGTATCAGCAAATAATCCATCTCCGATAAGTAGCTACCTTGCCATCCCCCCGGCTACCCAATTTTCCCTCTTTTCCACTTGGCCGTTATTTATATTTATATTCTCAGAATTTCTTGCGAATGATGTCGCTGGTTGGTTTTAGACAAAAGATTGCAAAAAGAATTGCTTTTCTCGTGAGTTTTTCAATATTATTATATTTTGTTCATCTTATTTTTGGCAGCAGCAACGCGTTGATGACGTCAAACTGCGCCTTGTCTGTGTAAGAGTGTTGGAGGGGTTGGGTGTTAAGGCGCTGAGGAGGGGGCTGGTTGGCAAGATGGAAACCGCACGAAGATTATTGAAAATTGAAAGCAATATGTGGAAATTGCTTAACAGCGTCGAAGTGTATGTCGAAAGCTTCTGCCTCAGTTCTCGGTACTTTTATTTTTATATTTTATATTATTTTTTTTAATATTTTCTTATGCGCAGTCATCTTTTATATTGTACTTTTTACTTGGGAAAGGGGTATTGCAGATGTGTATACCCGAATGTATATACAGATTATATCTTGTCTGCAGTTGCATTTTGTATATTTACGGAAATAAAGAGAAGAAAACACTGTAAAATGTTAAACAAAATAAACAAGATAATGTGCGAACCGAAATTCACCCTCCTTTTCGAAATATTAAACTATAACTTTATAAACTCATACTGCTGATGGGAATTCCACTTTAGTATGTTTCGTAATTTGGTTAATTTTAAAGACTTAACCATGAAAATCGCTGCTTCACCTTTACAAACTCCCCGGGGAATGAAATGCAATTTAAATGCAAATGACACGCTCGCCGGCATCGAACTGAATTCGAAATTAAAGAGCAGACATTTGCATGGGAATGCAAAAATGAATAGGAAACTAATGCGACCAGCGTCCAGGCTCCAGAGATTCACCCAGGAAGCAGCTGGCGGCGGCAGCGACGACGACAGCCAGAGCTTTTCATTTATTTATTGGCCAGGCAGTCAGGCAGCCAGGCAATGAACCATTTTCCCCATTTTTCACCCAACCATATTCCCCAGAATGAATTTTACCCGACACTCACCTTTCTTGGGCGTTTCGTTGTCGCCGCCACCGCGTTCGCCATCCTCGCTGAGCTGCTGCTCGCTGATTTGCTCCACGTCCAGCAGCTCCGATGAGGATATGTCGGAGCGTTCGTCATTGGGTTCCAGGGAATTCTTATGAAGATTAAATTTGTGGCACACTTCAAAGGCTTGTCCCACGGTGCGAACGATGCGCATGGCCTGAGACTGCAACAGACGGAGAGTAAAGGGGATTAATATAATTGCATTATGGGTAGCACACAGCGGCCCCATTAAGATATAAAACCCCCCATTTTGCACATCCTCTTCTTCCATACCCCAATACCATTGACAGCAATTAAGCCACCACTGGAAGGAGCAAACGCGCATTACGCATACGCCCCGTTGTTGCATTGAACCCACCTCTGGATCGCTCGTCGCACAGCCGCAGGAAATTGCATCCTTTGTGCGATTATTGCATAAATTATCACAGTCCGCTCCCGTTAAACCCCCTCTGGTTCGCTCTAAGGGGGAGCTGCGACGCCTCTGTCGCGCCTGACGCTGTTCATTGAGAATGAGTGGCAGCACTTGGTCTCCGGCTATTATGGGTTCCCGGAAGGATAGCTTCTTGCGAGGTTTGTCGGTCTTGGGACGCTCCAGCATAGTGCTACCATTACCACTACCTCCACCACCACCACCACCACTACTCAGGCTGGAGCTGCTCTGCTGATCGCTGAGACTCTTGCGGCGCTGCAGCTGATGGCGCTGCTCGGTTCGCTGGTGGAGGAGATGTGCTCGTCGCAGTGCCTCCGGCGAGGCCTCATAATGATCACCGGGTAAGCGCTTAAACTTTAATCTGGCCTTCAGAACATCTCCATTGGTTTGGGCAGCGGATGCCGAGGAATTGCTAGCCTTGTGACTGGACTTGGCCACAGGTTGCTCTTTCTTTATAATATACACCGTATTCTCATCATCATTAAAGAGTATGTGCTTGGGCTTGTGGTCTATGTAGGTGTCATCTATGAAACGAGGTGGCTGACTTATAGAAGCTCCTCCCGTAATGGGCACCATTTCGCGCTCCACACATCCTATGAGCTCCCGGATATCTAAGCTCTTGTTCCGCGACAAGTGCTTCTGTTTCTTTTTGTGCGATGGAACTGGAGATTGTGGCGGCTTATCCTTCAGTTGAAGATTTTTATCGCCTACCAGGATATCCCGGATCAGGCCACCGCCACTACGGAAGATGTTCTTGTGATAGTGAACATCCGAGGACTGCTTTTCGGGAGAAGTGGGTGCTGAGGAAACAGATGCCTGCTGTTCCACCGACTGATTCTTGGCTTCCTGGGCCTTGGCCATGTTCACCTTGCTGCGACTCCGCGACCATGGCAGGAAGTCAAAGGCCTTCGTTATGGGACTACGAGGAACGTGGGCGGTGCTATCCGTGAGATGTGGATGGCGCTGCTTGTGCGGAGCAGCCATGGCGAGGGTCTTCTCGTGCTTCATGGCCACGCTAACAGCTGGACAGAGAGTTCGGTGATCTGCGAAAAGTATCCGCAATCCACAAGGTCGTTAGCTCGCCAATTTGTCACTGCTCACTGTTTTAAGTTCAATGCTGTTCAAATGCTGTTTTCAATCGGCCAATTAGTTGGCTATCAATTTCATAATTGCTTAGGGTTCCGTGGGTTGCTCCCTTGATCCAGGTTGTTCACACACCACCGATGCGCCATTTTTCACACCTCTGAGGTGCTATGTATATGTATATATATATTGTTTATGTTTCTCATTCGGCCCCGGGCTGTTGTTTTTGATTCTGTTTCTTTTGCGTGTTCATTTATTTGTATATTGAATTATTTGCAACTTTTCATGTTGCCTACATATCGGAAAAATATATTTTTTCGATTATTTTCCGAATATTTCTGCCGCGTGCATGCCCGAAATTTCTCGCTTTCAGCCGACCCCCAAAAACCCCTCCAAAAATACAAAAAGAAAAACTGTCAATCTGATGTGGGTATTGTTATGGTTAGCCAGCAGGCGAAATTTATGTCAATCAGCAAGCGAATGATTTGCATCGGCTATCTGTCAGTGAATCAGTGCAGTTTCGTGAGCTATGAGACTTCGAAGGTCTCTCATTTATAAATATTTTTAAACGATTAGGAGTTGAAAAACAATATCCTACCCCAAACATTTTTGACATCATGCTGAATAAAATGCTATTGACGAGTCCCAAAATCTGCTCAGCACTTTACTATTACTAATTAAGGCTGAGCTGTGCCGGATAACTTTGTGGTTTCCCCTTTCAGGAGATTCTCGAGCAGAACTTGGCCACCATTCAAGCACTTTGAAGGGCTACTTCAGTGGCGGCAGGTTGAGCACTCAGTTGAACGACATTAACAGCACATCAATTTGAATTATTTTGACAAGCAGTGACAGCACTTGTTGCGCAAGTTGGCAAACAAAATGGGCAGTGCAGGAGGGGAAAGCAGGCTTACAACACACATTCAATATTTGAGCATATTCTGGGAAACCAAACTAAATCAACCATTTAACAGTTCTTTCGAGGTGCTCTTACAAGAGGCGTCGAATCGTCTCATTCAGCTGTTTTATCAATCCGTTCAATGTTCTGGTGTTGCGCATACGCCACGTGCGCCCAGAAAAATCCATCTTAACGAAGGTGCCAACTGATTGTCTATCTCGACCGAAAGCACACACATATATTCCTCTTGTGGCTTGTGCAATTTCGCATAAATCAAATTGAAAACTATAAAAAGTAAGCGGATAAAGTGTGTGGCAATTTACATTCGTTACAGCAAAGCCGAAATGAAAACTTAAATAAATAAGAATGGGAGAACGGGAAAAGAAAATTGCGTGGCATTTTGTGGAAAACTACTTGAAAATTTATGGCGTTAAGAATGACTTTGTTAGCTTTGTTTTATGTATTTATTTGAATTTTAATTTCCATTTCACTCTGCAGAGCAATCAAAGCTGGCAGTTTGTTTGTTTTTCCCGCGCTGCCTGTCATAAGGGAAAATTTTTACAGAAAAATCTTTGTGTCTTGTGTCTGGCTTTTTAGCACCGTTTTAATGGCATTGCCATTGCCCCTGGCCCATGCCACACGCCCCTGCCCCATGCCGCACATCTCCTGCCATCTGGCCGGTGTTTACTGTGGCCATAAGTCGTCGGTGGTGGTCACGATGCTACAGCAACAGTCGCTGGCCACCGCAGATGCCACTTCCGCAGCTGCAGTTTACCACAGTTCGCCACTGTTTACCACAGGGAAAACTGCAGCTCGTAAATTCTGCACATTGTCACGTGGTCAGGATGGGTGGTCTTATGTTGCCCCTGCCCCTGCCCCCTGCCCCCTATGCTAATGAAGTTGTCATTAGTCATGCAGGCGTCGGCGTCGGCACTTGAAAATTAAATTTACATTTTCGCCAAAGAACACACACCCCGAAGGTATACCAGAATATACCCGAAACGAATATAAACTTAAGTATTTATAATTCGGTTCTCGGACAAAGCGAAACACCTGCCCGCACTACCTGCGTCTTTTTCCGCTGCCTTTGCTTGTTCGATTTTAGAAATACTTTAAAGTAGGCTATTAAAATAATGGATCTATTTTGGCTTGAAATGCAAGAAAAAAAGTAAAGCACAGACGAAGCAAAACAAAGCGAAACGAATGTCGATGAGGGCAGCCATTTTTGGGAATATGAAAATGGCAAGGAGAGGGGGAGGAAAAACACGAACAAGGCACGTTGCGGTTTTCCCCGAGGCATTGGCTTTTGCCAATTCCATAGACAGCACAGGTAAATTAGAAATATTTCACCCTCCTTATATTATTCTATGAACTATTCGCCAAAACTTGAGAGCAAAGTTATGTTCATGAAAATTCTTATATTCCAATGTTTATTTGGGATTTTTTCAGCTGTCAAATTTAGTTTAGCTTGTTTATTGTACCAATACGAAATATAGATATAAATAAATAAGCTAAGCAGAAGAGAATCGTAAATATTTCAGCCATAATATCACGTGTGCGTTCGAATTATTGACCATAATTCCGTTTATTTATCCCAGCCTCCTCATTTCCGTGGACTACCTGTAGTGCGGTTGGCTCATTAACAACTAATATGCATAAACAGTAGGTCTTTTTTTTTCGGTAAGAAGTACGTCACTGAACTAAGTTTGGCTAACAATGAATGAATTTACTTTGCTCAAAGCCCCAAGCAAGAAGTAATTATTTTCTTTCAGTAAAAAGTACACTTGAATTTGGGTTTTTTCGTTTTACTACAGTCGTATTACTGTCCGCACTTTGCAAACTTTTTTCAAGTGGCTTGTGCTGCGGCTTTTCTCTGGTAATTAATTTTCCAGTCAATTTTCCGCTCTCGTGGATCATTATTCAATCCTTAGTATTGTTTAAAAGTATTACGGCTGTTCTTTTATTCTGGCCACAGGCACTTAATGGCGTCAGCAGCAGTCCAAACGGCTGAACGAAAATCGAATGACAAAACACTTTTGGGACTTGATTCCTAGGAACGATTATTTTCTTTCACATTTTCAAACATTTCATTTATCGCCTCACTGATGATGCTGATCTATGGTTGTTTTTAAATATTTTCCCTAACGCTGTGACATGCCATTGCCTGAGTTTATTAATTTGGCTGATATCAGATGATGTTGAGTTTTATTTATTGGAGGTGAAGGTCTTGCAGGTGGCAGAAATATCGGTTTAAAATCGTTTTCTTTTATTGTATTATTATTATTTTTTAGATTCACTTCACTTCACGGACACTCACACACTAGTTGCATAATTTTTGGATATTAGATATGGGATTAAACGTTTTTCAATCGCCGCACGTCTGCAGAGGAGCGCCGTCTAGAACGCACTGGACAAAGGCCGAAATGAGAGAGGGAATGGTCCGATCGATAGATCGTCTCGTAGCCGGCTAAATGGAAAAGCTTTTCCCAGAGCTTTTCCGCTCAGCTGTTGGCACGATCTTCGGACTACATGCTGAGTTTGTTTTGGTTTTTCTTGCCATTTCAACGAAGATATACTCTTATATATATAAAAATATATAGAAACCCCCTGAGGCCGGTCCAACTTGGCGTATGCATGGTTGCAGCAGCTACTGCTGTGACGTCATTGCTTTGTGTTTCGCGGAAGTAAACAAAGAAGCTCCTTTCGCTTGTTTCGGCCATTTTCCCCCTTGCTTAGCCATTAATCATATATCTTTCATCGCTTTGTCTGCTCGGTTTGTGTTCATTCGGCTTCCAAATTGCGTTGCATTTGTAGTTTAACTAATGCCTGGATGTAACTTGTATATGTTATGCCTCAGGTGCAACGAAGCCTTCTACTGACGCACACGGCGTATGCGCGATTTCCAACACGTGCAGTCGTCGTGTGGTAGATAATGCCCCCCCTTTGACTACCACCACTGGCCTTAATTTCTTGTGTCACTTGTCAGGCATTTCGACAGCCCAAAAACATCGACTGCCTTCTGATGTATTGGAATTTTTTCGCCAGAACAACGCTTGTTAATTAGAAAGGAAAAAATAGAAATGCCAACTTGACATTGTCTACCGACTGAAGTTGAAGGCCAGACGATTATACCAAGAAAATTTTATTTGCGTGCTTTAGCGCTCTTTAAAAATAAATTTGGAACATCTTTCAGACTTGGAATTAATCAAAAACCGCATTCGTTTCGAAATCAAAGCAAATGCATTTCCCCCAGGCGATCACAATGTTGAAACTGATTTATTTATTTGTCTAATCCCGGCAATAGCTTAATGGCTGGGCAATGTCGCCTCGCAAATTGGGAGAATCTCTGCCCATCCACTGGTATTCACATATAACACGGAAATGGATGTGCCGGTGCCGGCTGGCCGTCCAACTGATGGACAGTTGCGCCTTACTTTTCGCCGGGTTTGTTTAGATCCCGATGCGCTGTAATGGCCAATGAAAAATTGGTCTAGACTCAGAGGAATTGACAATGAAAAATAAGTATGGAGTCATTGGTTCAATAAATAGAAAACGAATGGAAGAAATGATGGGGAAAGTGACTCAGCTGTAAGTACTAAAATTATATTTTTTTTTTACAATTTTAATTTGCTTCTAAATATGCTAAGCTGTTAGTTAGTTTAACAGCTAGTTCCACCCACTTTTAGTCACTACTAATTAATGGGAACTAGAACAAATAGATCGCAATTTTGGCACATCTAATAAACTGCACTTCGCTCTTTATAGCACAAATACGTTTCTTTTTGTTTATTTGCTAGTTGTTTTCGTTTCGGTTTTCCAATGCTGGATTCTAGCCAAAATTATGCATACAAGTAGACATTTTGCACAAGACCAGAGTTCTTATTTTTAGAGATTCCATGGGCGGCAGTTGGAGGGGTTCCCGATGCACGGGAATGGGTAATGTCAAGTAAGTCACATGCAGACTGCATTATGCGAATTGCGGTCATAAACATTTCATTGGCCAAAAGTAAAAATGAAAAGCCCAAAACAAACATTCGATTCTTACCTTTTTGTGACTTTTGAAGACGGAACACTTGAAAGTGTCCGTGCTGGCATCGCGCGCTATGTAGCTGAATATCTTGAGATCGCTGCTGTCGTGGGACACGTAGAATATTCTATAGATGGGATGATTGAGCAACTCGATTTCCTCGGGGTCATTGGTCCAGTTCTTTTTCTAAATATTAAAACAAATAAGCTATTTGAAGTAAAGAAACCTCGACATTGACTTACTTTTCGACGACGTTTTTTGAGCACAACGCGTACGCCATTAACCGATATGTGGATGGTGACCTTTCGCTTCTTCAGATTCTGCACTTTGCACTCGTACTGTGGAAATACAAAAGGAGGGCAAATATCTATATAAGTTTTCTGCGATATGTTCAAGCTATATGGGGGCCACGTAATTCCAGAATTTTCAATTAACATTTGACTGCCTGTGACGGCTTGCCTAATGGCAAAGACATGACAATAACAAGCGCCAAATTTACCACGTCTCCACATCCCCATCGACTGACTGGCTGGCTGGGGCTGGCTGACAGACAGGGCTAATACACAATAACCCATATACTGGCATACCCCCAAGTCAACTGGGCTAACACGGTTTAAGCCAGGGCACGCACGACTTCTTGGAATGGAGGGCAGAAAAAAAGAGGGGAAAGAATAAACAAGCCTCGTTACTTTTTATGCTACTAGAATGGTTTTTCTTTTTAGCCAGCTTCCTTTGCCTTTTGGCCATACATATATGTAACTGTAATCAAAGTATGTGACGCTGGCAAACAGAGAGCGAGAGAGTGTTGCCAGCTTTTCAGGGATGGTGGGACATTTCGAGGTTCGGAAATTTAAAACCGCCTTCAGCCCGGACAAAAGTTTCTTTAATTGGCAGCCGGAGATGTGAATATCCTACGCTATGGTATGTGGGCGAGGAAATCTGTTAACTTTTCAACACGCCAGGACTCAAAATTCATTTGCCTGCCACGCTGCGTATACTTGATACTTACCCTTATACGTCGCATGGCCTGAACAATTTCAGCTCGAGTGTTGGGTCGTGGCACCTCCTCCCAGCCAACAAACTGCAATGAAAAAATATAAGAGTGGTTATTCGTTATTGTTGATTGCTCAAGCAAAGGCCACAAAAGGGTTTTCAAGTTTTCCCAACAGACTTTAAATTAAACAAACTAGTTGCAGGCAAAATTTTGCCTATGAAAAATTCACCAAAATATATGGCAATATTTTCTGCAATGAAATAAAATTAGATATTGTAACCACAAGTGATTCTGTTGCCAACAGCCTCGACATAGTAAGCTGCATTTCTATTTATAGTTGGTTTTATTTTCTAAATTTAAGCGGCGATCTGCCCTTTGCCGAGTTCTTCAAGGGGAATGATCCATCATCGCTGCTAAACTCAAACACATTTTTCATTTCGCTGTCAGTCAAACTATATACATATATAAACTTAGTGGATTTGTGAAAATTTATGGCCAAATATGAATGCAAAGTGCGGCGACAGCAATTGTTTGAAAATAAAAATTGCAATTTTAATGCAACAGAATTTGTGTGTTGCTTGTATTTGTTTTACGGCGAATGCAGCTCAAGGATAACAAATGCGTAGATATGGACCTAGATTTGCGAATTTTATTACAGTGACAACAACAATTTAAATACGAAATGACATGACAACAACCACAATAAACCGAAAGCGAAAGAGACGCTGATGATGCCATCGTCGACTGACAGTGACAAAATGTGCATGAGATAGCAGTCACGCCCCCATCGCCTCCCATTCCACCACATATACACGCACATATATATGAGAATTTTCATCTTCACACACACACTTTACACTTCTCCGAACAATACAAAAAAATATATAGCAAAGAGGGTTCATTTTTCGTTTGAAAAGCCTTTCGCCTCGCCGAATATCCTTATGGAGAAAAACTTTTCAAACATTTCGGGGGGTATTTTTGGGGGGTAGTAGCTATTTATAAAACCCAGCATATGTCTATTCTCTATGATCTATGTCAAGTTATCATAAACAAATCGAATATTTTTGCGCCACATTGCGATGAATTTCTGCGAATGCTAATTTGTAGGATGATTAATGTTCTGGTTTTTGGATATAAGGGATATGGCGTGTGCCGAATCCATATTTTTCCAGACTAAGCCAAAAATAGCTCAAGTCAAATGTGGAAAATTCAGCAGAAAATAGATTTTTGCACATTAATTGGTGAAATTATTAAAAAGGAAAAGAAGAAACTGAGGTAATGGCAGCGCTAATTGATTTCCACCTACACCATAACGAATGCCATGTGCCCTAAAAGTCTGGAAGGCAGTTCATTAGTCAGAAAGGCAAATGTTTACTTCTCCAGAATACACTTATGATTATGCAGATGTTAAATATTTTTAAAATACTCGCTGGCTGAAGTATGTGTTCAACCCTCTGTCAGGACATATAAATAGATATTTGCATGCCATTACCATTCAAAAGGTTATGGAACGAAGCTTTAAATTCCCCACAAAAGCCATCCGGCAGTAAGCCCATAAAAAGCCATTTACAAAGCGGAAAGCAGACGAAGATGGAGCAGAAAGTAAGGAATAAAGAAGGGGACGGAGGAGATGGAAAAAGAAGGAAGGAAAAACGGCAGAAGCGAAACTCTCACTCTCGCCCACAAATATTTGGATTGCATTAAATTCATGCAAACACAAAGGATAAAGGATACACAGAGCGCTTATCCTCTCCAGCTAGACAAATCCCCGCGCAAATAAAATAAAGAAAACCAACTTCAGACTCGCTCTGAGCTGGCAAAACGTTTCGCTCACTCTTTTTCCCTTGCTTTTCCTATTGCTTTTACACACCAAACCATTTTTCCCCGCCCCCCCATTTCCATTCGCATCCTTTTTTTCACTTAAAAACCATTTCAGTGCGACGGCTCTATGCAAATAGCCGCTGGACTTTGTTCGTCGCTTCGTTTAAATTCATTTACTTTGATTAAAACCCTGGCCAAGAGCGGACCCTTCCATCCTGTCGGAGTAGTAAACTTTTATATATCTTTTCGCTGGGGCCTAGACGCCTTTACTCACAGCCGAGTTAATATTTTATTTTAAGCCATAACTTTACCTTTGTACACAACAAAATGTATGGATTTATTTTAAAAGTCTCCACTGCTACAAGTTTTCTACTAAGTCTATGAAGTTCTCTTTACTCGCCATAAAAAACATGCCCTAAATATTGGTATAAACTTTCATGATAATTTCTACTTTTTTCTTATTTAATATAGTATAAACACACTCCAGTTTATTGCATTGGTTTTTTGAAGAACAAATAATGAAATTGTTTTCTTTATAAACAAATAACCAATTGTTTAAGACATTTTATCTTTCTGTGTATACGTTTTAAGGCTTCAAAGGTT